AATACACACAATATATTTTATGTACGACTGGACGCATTCGAGATTTTACGAATATTTATTTTATGCTCAAACACAGACAAATATGCACGGATTTCCCAAATATGCACAGATTCTATGCACACAAATATTTGTAAAAGCTTTCTTACTCCATAGTTTTAACTCTTAAAATAGGTCTCTGAGGTACTTTTACTTCTTAAAGGAGTTCTGTGACATAGACTCATGTTTTAAACTTTTAAAATAGTATGTGAGTTAGGCTTGTGCTTTACCACCAAAGAGTCCCGTAAGGCCTGTGTTTTACCTCTTAAAAGTAAGTGCATGCTTATCTTCGTATGAGTAGGTGTGGACAGTGATTCAAAGAGGAATCATCTCAGTCATGGAGAAATAAATGTCACCAGGCTAGTTGTTGTTCCTCTTCCTGGCTTTATTCCAGCGTTGCCACTCTAAACAGCAACAAACACAATAATCAAAAATAAGGGACGTACAATAACATTACATCTTTCGTAAGCTAGGTAACCATAAAATAGTTATTGAGGATTGTTTCAGACGGAGCACTACTGAAGGCCTAGGTGTGAAATGCACGCTCTGCCACTGGAATTATTTATTTATTTATTTTTCCATGAGACCACTTTTCATCAGCCAATTTATTCCTGTCTGTGTGCGTGTGTCTGTGGCAGTATATTACTGTTGGAAATTGGCCGTAAATTTACAGCAATTGCTTACAGTGTACATATTACATACATATATACATTATTCAAACATGTATGATTGAAACATAACTCCAGGTATGTTTTTGATAAGGTATCGGCATTATAACAGGTTAAATCTCACAAGAATCAGCTCTGTGTAACATAGGAGCTTTAATGATGTAGATGTACCTCCCCTTGTTGTTTAGACGGATGAAGAGAATGTCCCACTGCTGCACTCTGGCCTCTGTGTTGGCCCTGATGATGCTCACTGTGTTTCCTGTGATGATCTGGAGCAGCCCTCAGCCCTGCGACACTCAGACTCAGGTGAGAGACGACCCTATTCATACTTTACAATGACATCACGCTGGGGGTCTTCTACATGTATCTCTAATGGTGGGATGTTCAGTAGTTAGCATGGACACAATACACACATTAGCAAACACAGACAAAAAAGTTTAAATAGTCTGAAAACTAAAGAAAAAATATAAAATGGATTTAAACAACACATTTTCAGGAACTTGTAGACAATTTTGTAAACAATAAGCCAGTCTATAATTTCTCAGTGATCACTTTGCCTGGGTGAATTTGATCTTACATGTAGAGTATAGCAGTAACTTAAAACCATGAGGTGGCTTTAAAGGTGCACTGTGTAACTGTAAAAAAAATACCTTAATTTATTTATTTATGTATTTTTTTCAATTTTGATGATGCTTGGTCATAAACTAGATATTTGAGGCTGAATTTTAGTTTTTGTTGTTTCCTCAGAGTGACGCTCGATGCTGTGAGGTGCAGGACTTTGCGCTGAAAAGATTTGAAGACATCGACCAGGACAGTTTTGTGAGTTTATTTGGACGTAGGAGCGCTCCAAAACAAAGTGAGATTATAGTCATGTTGCTAAAAAAAGCATGTAAGGACACAGAACTCTTGTAAATAATGTGTTTTTGTATGACACAGGAATCATAGACCGGATCTTGGGAGGACTTTTAGGAAGGACATCAGGTGAGCAAAGCAAAGGGTCCATATATTATACCATTTTCTGATCCAGGTTATAGTGTTTCCTCATCCCAAACAGACATGGAGTTGTGTTTTGTTTTATTCACACATGTTTAACACACAAACCCTGGTTATTTAGGCTGAGTTCTTCTCTCAGACATTAAACACATTGTTCCACCTTGTGATGTCATGTGGCAATATTTACATACACTTAAATAAACCTTCCCTGGAATTATTTGGTTAATTTCAGCCCTGGAATTGCCAGTCTTAACATAACAATAGGTAAAAGGTAGCTGTTAACTGAAAACTGCTGCTTCTTTACATCACAAGGTGGAACAGAGCGTCTTGAGTTTTGATGATATAGCCAGACTAACTGTAAAGGGTTACTCAAATATGTGTGAATCAAACAAAACACAACTCCAGGTATGTTTTTGATGAGGTAACAACATTATATCATGGCCTAAAGTTCACAAAGGTCAATTTTTTTTTTGTGTAATGTAGGACAGTGCTGCATATTAGTTCAAGTAAATAAACGGTTTTCTATGATTCATTATTAAGGAATTAAAATCTAGATTGAAAGGTTTGCTTCTGTCAGTCTATCCCAGGGCAGCTGTAGCCAAGTGAACCATGTGTGTCACTAAAACAAACAATGACTGTGTGATTAATGAATGACTTGAGCTGCAACGACAAATATAGCTTTTTTTTTTAAAGAGTTGAGTAAACAGTGATTAATTTCATAGCTTAATCAAAGTAGCAATATAAGAGGCTTTTCAATAAAGTAAATCACACTGAAGCGTAAACTATAATTATAATTATGATTCATTTAGTTAAAGACTGTTAATAACTGCTTATATAAACTGACACGCCTAAAAACATGCACGACGGACTATAGGTGGAAATTAGCTCTAGTGCTACAACCTGGCACGATGCATCTCTCTCTATCAAGGTTAATTTATATTGTGCACTGTCCCTTTCTTATAAATAAACAAAATATATAAAATAAAAATAAAACACGCACTAAACCTATTAAATAATTAATCTTACATTGTTTAACTAGTTGCCTTTAACATACAATTATAGACTTTAAAGGTCCTGTATTACACAATTTCCTGATCTGTTATAATGTTGTTTCCTCATTACAAACAAACACAAAACATTCTGATCATTTCATTCACGCATGAGTAACATACAAATCCTACAAATTTAGGCTGAGTTCTTCTCTCAAACAGAAAACACTCTGGTCCACTTTGTGATGTCATGTGGTAATACAAGAAGTACTCCAGTGTGTTTTTAATTTTCACACATCTTCACTATTTCAGCCCTGGAATTTCCCATCTCTACTAAACAAAAAGTAAAAGGTAGCCGTTAACTTGAAAACTCCCGCTTCATATCATAAGGTGGAAGAGCATTTTGAGTTCAGAGAAGAGAAGTAGACTTTAGAGAAGTAGACAGTAATAAAAGGTTTTTCAAACATGGGTGAATGAAACAAAACACAAATCTAGGTATGTTCTTGAGGAGAAAACACTTGTGTAATAGGATTGTATAAGTTAACATATTATAAGTTATGCATTTTGTGTCAACAGAAAAAATTCAGAAAAGCCTCACTGTGACCAAAGACCATCCTGGGTAAAAAAAATATATATATATTTTCGAACTAAATTTGATTGTGCACCAGTTGAATTGACCTTGTCTAATGATGTTGTTCTTGGTTAACTTTTCAGAGCAAGATTTGAACGGCGACAAACTATGGACACATTTGTATAGCAAATAATTAGATGCATTTTGTACTGTGAAAATACAGTGGTTCTATTGATACTTTGTACTGAGATCTTGCTGGGGGTGTTCTACATGTATCCCTAATGGTGTTATGTTCAGCAGTTACCATGGTGACACAATGCACACTTTAGCAAACACAGTCAAAAACATTTAGAAAATGTATGAAAAAAATACAAAATGATTTAAACAACACATTGTTTAACAGCACAAATCAGCTCACCTGTTGTAAACTCAGTCAGTTCTTTCTGGTCAAATTAAAAACAAAGATCAAATTAAAATTGAATAAAGCCTCAGACAGAGCCTACAGTTAGTGTGAATGTTGATGACATCAGCTGCAAAGTATGTTCAGTTTATTGTGAGATTTACAAACTTTTAAATTCAGGATTTACATATTAAAGAAGCACCAGCGCAAAAACAAATTGTGGTGTTGTCTCTTACATTTAAAATGTCTTTCAAAGAGAAGACGTACCAGTCTGTGTCATGCTGAGGTTTAAAGTTAAAGCTGCTGTATGTAACTTTTCGCCAACTGCTTGTCTCCATGGAGACGGTATTGCTTTTACTGAAAAGTTTCATAGTATGAACTAAAACTTATTTTATACTGCATTAATACAGTTAACATATTGTTACAGGAATGAGGTCACGATTTGACTTTATCGCTATATCACCCAGTCCTAATGGAGAAAGATTGGTTTAATGTCATACTGTGGAATATTCCAGGCAATGCAATAGCATTTCCATGGAGACAAGAAGGCGGCTGACCCCTCACTGTAAAAGCTACATAGTGCACCTTTAATCAGATTGCTAATGTTTACAGAAACATTTACACCATATTTAAATCAGTGCTCACTCCATTATTTACATTTCATTCTCCATGAGACAAAACAGATTTACTTAAACAAATTTGCCTAATTATCTCACTGTAAAGTGCAGTTTGCATGTTCTCCAGGTAGGTCAGATGCAGTGCTCCTGATATGTTTGAAGGAAGGGTCAAATGTAAAAAAAATAATATTAGTAACACATTGACAGTTTGGTATTGAGGGTCCTATAATGCGCAAAATTTACTCTTTTGAGCTTTAAATCATGTTTTAATGTTATTTAATCAAAAACATTCCTGGAGTTGCATTTTGTTTAATTCACAAATGTTTGAATAATCCTTTATTATTAGTCTGTCTACATCTCCAAAGTTCAAAATGCTCTGTTCCACCTTGTGATGTCATGAAGTGGTAGTGTTCAAATTAACTACTACCTTTTAACTTTTGTTCAGTAGATTGGCAATTCCAGGTCTGTACTTATCCAAATTTTGTGGAAGTGTATGGAGTTTAAAAACACAGTAGAGCACTTCCTATATTACCACATAACATCACAAAGTAGAACAGTGTTTTCTGTTTGAAAGAAGAACTCAGCTTAAATTATGCAGAATTTTATGTGTTAAACATGTGTGAATGAAGCACAACTCTACTCTAAGTACACACAACATTAAAACAGATCAGAACACAACATACAAGCCCTTTAATTAGTTGTAAATAAATTGCAAAGACAAAATAGTACAATAAAATATGCATTTATTTATAGTGATTAAAGTACCATTCACTTCAAAACTTTCTGGCTCACACTGCTCAAGGCTTATTTACACAATTAAGAAAGGTCAACATAAATACATTCAGATTTCATAAATACACTGCTGTACACGGTCCCTTTAATACAAGAGTTAAATGTTCAAGATTGTCACTGTCTGAACACTTCACACATGCTCAAAAATAAGTCCAATACAATCAAGTTAAAGACCTGCACACCACACTGCAAAAATATAAAATATAAGAGTTTAAAGATCCTATACTATGCAAAATTGCCTCTAGTGAGCTTTTAGCCATGTTAGAATGCTGTTTCCTCATTAAAAACATTCACACATTCAACTAATCCTTTATTATTAGTCTGTCTACAACTCCACAGCCTAAAATGCTCTAGTCCACCTTATGTCAGTAGTTTTTTTAACAGCTACCTTTTACGTTTTGTTTAGTAGAGATGGGAAATTTTAAAACAGTTTAAAGGTTAAAAACACAGAGGAGCACTTCCTGTATTGCCACATGACATCACAAGGTGGAACAGAGTTTTAAGTTGAGAGAGATGTGTCTATATATGCAGGATTTTTGCGTTAAACGTGTGAATGAAACAACACACTGGATATGCTTTTGATGAGCAAACAGCATTATGACATAGCTCAGAAAATAACATAATATAGGCCCAGAATGCGGATTTCAATTTGAGTATATATATTTTTTATTTTTATTTTTTAACAGTTTTTAGTAAGTACTTGTAGATAATGGAAATTATATTGAAAACGGTTCGTAAAACTACCTGGAAACATGACATCCAAAATGTCAAACAAAAGAAAACAAAACCCAGACTAGCATTGCCACAATACTAATATTTCAAACTCCATTGAAATACTGAGGCTCAATACTTTATATTGATTTTAATACCACAATATTTAAAAGCAGTCTTCTTAAAAGCACTGGTGTTTTCTATACAAAATAAGAACAATTTATTGAAGAGTATCATGGGATCTAAATGAACTAGTCTTGATCAAATTAAAAACATGTGCAACTCAAGTCCAACCAGTAGATTTGTTACCGTAATGTGTAACAAATGTTCAGTACTGATACTCAAGTGCCTAACTTTAGTATTAGTATTATTTGACAAACCAAAAAACAACTATTCAAAAGAAGATTCTGAATTCAAGTCATTTTAAGTCAAGTGGATGTATTTGTTTTGCAGTGCAGTGCTTTTGAAGGGATTTTTAATTTTTTCTCATAGCTGTAAAGACAAAGAAGCATCAGTGGTTAATGTTTAAATGTTCTTCAAATCTGATCATCAAATAATATGAAAGCAGTTAGAAATATTATTTCTACATAGATTGTGTTCATTTGAGAGCTCACCATTCAAGAATTAAAATGGAGCTGGGGGACAGGGGAGATGTTTCCCTTTATTTTTTCCGATATGGGCAGACTCCATTTGAAAACAGGGAGATTCACCGGTGACCAGGATTGAAAAATGTGTGTATTGTGGATCCTAGGCAACAGCCCTCACGCTGAAATAATGTCAAATTCAAATGTGACCGTGAACCAAACCTACTGACAAAACACGTCAGCTCACTTTTGTCAAATAGGTTAAATGATGGAAATTATTAGAAACAAAGAAATTTAATTTAATTTAGTCAGAGTTATTCAAAATCATCTCCTTTGTTCAAATTTCAACTGTCAGAACTACGTATCTTTGTGCTTTCAGATGATTCAGTGAGTAAGAGATTTGCAAAAGTATTACGCTGGCTCAACCTTACAGTTTAGTTACAATACTATGGTAAACTTTTATGAATTCTGAACACACAACATATATATAACAATAGGTCAAGAAATGCTGTTTTTGGCTCTCCCAATTTTAAAATCATCATTACAATCCACACAAATCATATTTCAATAAAAGGAAACCATTCATTGACTTTCCTAAAAAGGCAAGTGTCTAAAATATTAGGTACATTTTAAATCTTTCTATAACATCACAGTGCAAAGTCATATGTGCAGCGTCTCCATGTTCAAGGCACAAGCTAAAAACAGTTCACATGACAGGAAGCAGGAAGTAGAAACAGGAAGTACAAAGAGAGACGAATAATGCAGGTCAATTTTCAAAGCTTCGCTCTAAAAACGTCAACTCCTCAGTCCCAACATGGACAGTACAAGCAGAAAATGGGGATTACTTTAACCTTTTGGTAAATAAAACATTTCCCATTAATACAAATATGGTGACATTTTTTCCATACAGACCAAAATATTAGTCAAATTAAGACAATAGTTTAGGCAAGTAAAGAATTACTTGAAGGGCTGGATAATATATTGTAAAGTATTGCAGAATTCCACTGAGATTTCTCCCATTACACAGGGTAAAATGGTAACTATTGAATTAAATGTGTTGTGGCATTTAATTCAATAGTTACCAAACTTTGGTTGTAGAAATCAAATGTTAAAATGTAGTTATCACAATAGTTTATCATATTGCGCAGCCCTTATCAAAAGTAAATGTGGTGGTTTTGTACTACTACATATTTTAAGCCAATATCACACAAAGTTCTGGGGCAAAATAAAATAATTTCATTTTATAATTAAGATTGGACCCAGAAGGAAGGTTAAGACATAACTCAAAATGAAAGGACAGTTGAGGCTTCGAGGAGGTAAGTCAACGGGAATGTGGTGCAGCCAAAGGATAGTTGCTTGTAAAATACAGATTACTTCCTTACTGTTTAAACTGAGGCGAGTCCAAAACCACAATGGGATGAAAGGGCAATGTAATGATATACATATGTGCAACGTGTTCAAGTTAAGAAGAAAAATTACATTTTTTTCTATGAGAAGTGGCCTATTAAGCAGATGCACAAAACCTCTGCTAATGTTTGAAATATTTGTTAGAAACTGCTTTAAGGGGGTGACTAGAGGTGTGTGTATGTGTGTGTATGTGTTTTATTACTTTAATTGCTTTAATGACAGCATGAACCATGATTATCAAACAAATCATTCACAAACACAATACTTTTTCAAGATATTTAAGATAGGGTTAGGTTTTTTTTACTTTCATTTTGGACTTATATAGTATCACATAAAAAAATATATTGAGTTGCTTCCTTATTTTAAAACTTATTTCAAATTAAAGAGAGCATTTATTTTTGTCCTGGTTTAATCCTTTTTCCACTGTCCCACTTGGAGCTAAGCCCATTGTAAACTATAGCATGTCCCTGAATGGAGGTTTTCACTATCAGAGAACTGTCAACATTGCACCCAAATCTTGTTCTGTTACTTTAGACCTTAAACGCAAGTGTAAACCGCTACTATGTTATTGAGGATTACAGTTGACTAAACAGTTGTAGAGGGCACGTGTTCACGAAACAGCCTAGATTACAAATTTAGGTTTAGAGATTGTGGTGAGTTTTGCAAATTTGAGGCACAAGTTTAATCTTACGCTTTACCACAAAGCACTGTGCAATGTGCTTGTCTAAACAGGGGTGGAAAGTGTATATTGGAGAGTAACTTTGCAAATACATTATGTGGTATGAATAACAAAAGTTATAATTCCTGTTTTTTAATACTAGTTAAAACAACACTTGCATGAAATACCTCACTATGTTAATTAAACGTATATTAGGCTAAATTAATTCGTGAGCTTTGAGCCATGTTGGAATGCGGTTACCTCATCAAAAACATGTTTTAAATGTTTTTAAAAGTATATTACATAACTTTTATGCTGTAGACTAAACTACTCTCCATGGAGATGTTATAATGCTTTACTTCAAATGTTCTAAGATATGTCATTAATCTGATGTTTCTTGCAATGTTTCTCATTTAAAGTTTTTATTGCTTTTAGAAATATACTGAAAAACATGCTTTTCTACTGTGAGAGGGATCACCTCTTCACACATCTGATTTGTAACTTTGCCTGCTTATTTCCAGAGATGGAGAAGTTAAATGCCATACTGTGGATCATCATCAAAGTCATGTACTGTACCTTTCTCAACATTAAAGGTGTATTGTGTAACTTCTCTGCTGGAGGGTTCATCAAATTATTTTCTCCGTGGAGATATTATTGCTTTGTCTGGAATGCTTAACAGTGTTTAACCTTGGAGACCAAACTTTATCAGAATACAGGTCAGATCTGTGGAGAGGCAACTCTGCTCAGTTATAATGCCTGTTTTTCTAGATATTTTTGAGCTTTAAAACCATCTAAAATGAATGTTAAGTACAGCTGTTTAATGTCATACTGTGGAACATTTCAGACAATGAATAATAATAAAAGCAGACCCTCCAGACCCTACACAGTGCATCTTCAGTATTTAATATTTGCAATTTAAAGATGATGTTTTAAAAAAAAAATACTTCGTAAAACACAATCTTTAGGTGGCGGATACTTTGAGTTTAAAAATATATATCTGACTAGCAGCAGTTGAGAGGTTTTATAGTCCAGATGAGCCAAACACAGTGTTTGACAAACAGCTAGCTACACCATTGTCATTGTTTAAACACAGACAAAAGAGCCTTAAGCTGCTTAATTTTAACTAGATCTAAGTTACAAACTGCTGCTCAACAGAGAAACAATGGGCAGCATTTAGTTTCGTGAGTTGGGGTGGGGTTAGTTTTAGCCCAACAGAAAAAGTACACACACATCCCATTGTGGTTTGAACAAATGTTTGAGCCTGTAAAGTAGAGGAGGGAGATATATTGAAAAATTATGATTAATTATTTAATTATTTATTCATTAATATGAAGTATACCGTTCATAATTAAAGGAACTACCTCCTTTTCCCATATATTTGAGCTAAATTTGTGTTGACCCAATACAGACATATTCTATAAGCAGTTCTTGAGGTCAAAATAAGACCATAGTCTGTAGAAGTGCATTTTAGCATGCTAGTTGTTAGCATTAGCATCATTGCAAAACTTCAGTGGTCTCTGAAAGTTTTGAAAAGTGTTGTTTATCCCAGTGAATAATTAGGTTGGTCAGAATGCATCAGGCAAGTGAGGAATAACTTTGGACCACTGCAAACTGTTTATAATGAACTAGTTCAGCTCTGAAATGAAGTGAAACAAAATATTCATTTTTTGACAATATTGCCAACCCCCAGATAAGTAGCTGAAGACGCAATAACAAAGATTTATAATGTAAAAGCTGTTAATACTCACTGGCAAATGTCAATAAATTTGGCAATGGTCAGAAAGTCTAATAAAGAACATTTAGTAGTAAAAGTTATACATTATATAATTTAAAAAATGATCTCTAACTAAAATATTATCAGTAATAACAATAACAGTTAATACGCAGTAAATGTTAAATTTTTACTTCCATTTTATTGGCGTGACCAACTTTTCGAATTAAAACCATACATTCTCCCAAAATATTTCATCCAGTTCTCACTATTAAAATAAATATTTGTAAAATTTGACCACTAAAATTTCCCTTTCCTATTGTAATTTTTTGACATTTGCCGTGAGAATTACAAGAATAACAAAATTAACTTAAAAAACACACAAATACTAGGTCACAGTTCACTCTTATCTGGTTATCGTGTTCTTTGCCGTTCATCTTTGACTCCTTATCAAAGAAGTGAACTGTCTCAGATATGAAGCAAGGTTAAAAAGATTCAAAAACATTTAAAACAAAGTAAAATCCTTCAGTTTGGTTCTGTCCTACTGTCATCAATGGCCTTCACTGTGCGCCTCCTCTGCCGCCTCGACTGGTTTTTGATCCTGGGCAGGGTCTTGGACTTGGTTTTGGACATGGTCTCGTTGGTCCAAAGCAGGAGCAGGGGGGGCTTCCAGGACCCCCTTGTACCCGGATGGGACAGGGGGATGGTAGCGGTACTTATAACCAAAGGCACGGAGGTGGTAGGTGTAATACTCCATTAAATACATGAGAGACGGATCAACATAGTGGAAGGAGACCGAAATGTCCGAGCAGCAGTTTGGACCCTGAAGAATAAGAATATTTAAAAGGGTTACACTTGAATGGGACATAACTGCTAACTAGGCCTGTCACGATAACAGAATTCTAGAGAATTCTAGAAATAAACAATAACACTGAAACTACTTTATGTCACTGGCAATCCATAATTTTTAAATACACTACCATTAAAAGGCCTCATCGGCAACAAATAGCATGAAATAAAATAACAAAAATCCCCCCACTCTTACAAAGAAAATAAAGATACATATCAAGTTTAAAAATATATGTAGTTCCAGCTTTTCATATTTTAAATGCTTGATATAGTAAGTTGATATAGTAATTATAGTGACATGGCCTACTGCTTTTGTACCAAGTGTATTTATGGACAATTGTCTTGTGGGAGCATGGGTGACAAAGACTTGTGGGCCAAGCATTGGACACAATCTTATAGCTAAATTTAAAGAAGGGTTGAAATAGGGCCTAGGAGAGACCTAAATTACTCAAACATGCATGATGACAAAACCACTTCTGGTTAACCAGGAATCCCATCAATTTAAACTAGAGCTGGGACCATAAATTAGACTGATATTTGCACTTTAGATCTCCAGCACAGGCCAGCGGTTGCTCTGGATTCAGTATCGGCCATAGGGGTGAAAAAAATCCACATAACAGCCGATCTTCTATTTAAATGTGTATGTGTTATATATATATATATATATATATATATATATATATATACACATACATCTCTCTATATATAATGTGTATATATGTGTGTGTGTGTGTGTATATATATATATATATGTATACACACATATATATACACATATATATGTATACACACATGTATACACACATATATATACATACACACACACACACTCTGCAAACAATAACATGTATGAAACCAGCTAACTCTGTAATTTATACCTCTACAAAAATGTCCTGAAATGTCTTTACAACTTTCATTTACGCTGACCCATCATCATCACTGTACCACATTTACAACAGCTTTATGATGGCTAAGCTACAGACTGGGTCACATGATAAGAAGTAAAATAGGGAAGTGCAGGGGGAAAAAATATCACAAATGAGCTCAAAACTATGAGACTTGAATTGAAGGGTCAAATTCAGATGATAGGTCTGACTTCATCATATGTTTTCAATTTCACTTATTTTCAGTAAATGAGATTAAACTTAAAGCCATAACCTTATTTTCTGGGAAATTGTTTTATTTGATTGTATCAGTACATTTGTACTGTTTCTATGGGTCAAAGTTGTGACTGGCTGTCACTGGGTGCTTTTCAAGGCTGTTAGCTTTAGGAAAGTAAACAAAGAAGCCGGATCCTAAAAGTGGACTCAAAATAAGTCACATGTATCGGTCTGGGTTAATCATTATGAGACAATGTGTCAGAAAATATATAAACGTCTTATTTTGATATCATTCCAGACAAGGTGCAAGAAAACACAAAAAAATGATTAAAACTTAAAATTGCATATTGAATGAGGATTTAGTGTAATTTAATAAAACTTACTATTGTATTAGTTTTGGTAATAAAATAAGGCAAATAAAGGTTCTTCTGAGACCTAAAAAGCATCAAGATCACATCAATATAGTTGCATCCCTATAAATTACCACATAGTTGATTAGCTCCCCGTTCACTCCTTTTCAGACTTTTAAAGAAGATGTATTGTGCTTTTGCTGGCTGTTCAGTTATAATCTACGACACCAATGGATCATTATGATTATCATTATAATTTGGACATTTTAAAATCATAATATTGATCTAAAAATGACTTAATAACAGAAACCAGTCCTCAAATGTCATCACAACAAAGAGTTGACACCTCACATTTTTTTTACTTTTTACTTGCACCAAAATTACGAAGCAGCGGTGCTGAACCCTACGTGTATCACCTATTAAGAACACACACATTGGACAACGAAAGTACAGTGGGTGTATACCAGGGACAGTGAAAAAGAGCTGATTGGCAATATGGCGTTTTGAAAATAAGCCATTAAGATTAAGGCAGCGCAAACATGCACAAGTCACTACAAATACAGCCTGGAGAAGATAAATGAGAAGGGGACACAACTAAACAACTACATACTGTATACACATGGTTAAAAGCTCTAAAAAGTTAATTGTGCATAATCTACTTAAATATTCATGTTTTTTGGAAAGTCTGCTTCATACAAAAATGAGAGCTGAGTGAGTCTCTTACCTCTGAGATGGGGTAGTAGCAGTAGCTCCAGTACCAGAAGCTCTTGGGGAACTTGGTGGTGAGGTGTTGTTCGGGCACAAATGGATGAAACGTTTCCCTCAGTGCTGTGTCTCTGGAGTCCCCTGCGATCACACCCACCTTCTCCATGCACTGCCCCATGGCCAAGTCCTCCACCGAGGTAGTATGAGTGCACGTTTTACTCTTAAACCCCTCCACAAATCTTTTCAGTGCCTCTTTGCTCAGAACATAACCCGCTCCTCCACTCATATACCCCTGTTTGGTGTAAGGTTTAAACCTCCTACCAAAATATATGGGTTCTTCTGGAGTATGATTGGCCAGAACCCATCTCAAGTTATCAACAATGACGTAAGTATCATCGTCTGCCTTTAGAAACCAATCGGCTTCATGTACGTGGTGTTCATAGACATAATGAAAAGCACGAATGGTTTTCCAGTAAAGCTGGTCACGTCCCTCTTTGGTGGCGAGACCAACAGTAGGGAAATCTGGGTCATCGACGGAGCTCATGAAGATTACAACATTACAGTGGCGGCTCCAGGTGGTTTTACATGGCGAGCTTTCTTCTCCAGGTTATTGGGTCCAGTCATGACCCAGCACAAGATACGAACTTTCTTATAGAGTTCATCTGCCATTCGACTGTCCTCACCTGGAAAATAGACGTACAGTTTAATGTAGAGTTATCAAAAGTATTGAAAGTCAGATGCTAATTGATACTAAAACTATTATCAAAACTAAATACTCAACTGAGCAGGTATATAATAGTAATAATAAAAAGTCACATTCACGGGCAGATATGAACATTTCCTGAGTTCCTAGTACTTTTTCTGCAACTTTAATGTAAAGTTCAAACTAGGTCAATTTGCTGCTTTCTGGTTAAAAATGCTAATGTTGACATCAAAAGACTGCTCTGAATAAATCCACGAAGCAAGTTGAAGTGAAAGCCTGGCTTATTTGGCCAATCCAGGCTTATGAAAACCTCAGTTCCGTTCCACCAAAGTGACTAACCAGAGGTGGTGCCGAGTTGCTGCATTAACAAGCACCGGGCACAAACCTGATCAGGACCAGGCTAACTGTCAAGATTATTTTAGCTTTGTCCTCGAGAACGTATAAAGAAACAAAGTTTCAGACCGTGCACTCACACACCTGTTACAACACCTGTCTCTGTGTGATACAGTTGAAAAAGTGACTAGTCGAGTGTTGCTTGAGACTTTTATAGTCCATACGCTCCTACACATGGGACACGTGTCTGGACGCTGGACACATCAAAAAGGCACAAACCATATAAATGCATATGGCCATTATTTCATTAAAATGATGAAACGATGGCTATTGTGAAGGACAGTGCCGCTTTTACACACAAACAGACGCTGGTTTGGATTCTGAGGATGAGTGTGTTGCGTTGTCTGTTCACTCCTTCCTCACGTCTGTCTCTCTCTCTTCATTCCCTCGTCTCCTGCTCCCTGTCAAACTGCAAACACGCGGGCTTTATCACTTCTTCTAGGCTACGTGTGAAGAGGTCTGTTACAGCTTTACTTTTACGCACAGTGGAACTTAAGCTCCATACGTACTAACGCATCAGGAAGGGGTCAGGAAATGCGGGGATTGTTTTAAATCACTGTAAAGCACTTAGTGATACATTTTTTGTAAGAAAAGCTGTTTATAAATAAAGTCTGATAGAAAAATACGTGTTAAATGCCACTTTAAATTAACCTTGTTTTCTACTGCAACTGAGGTACAGCATGTAAAGTATTTAAGATGAGTATACAATTAAAAACAGGTAGAACTGCTCAAATGCTTAAGACATGAGACATGCATATTTCTTCTTGCTATCGTGTAATCGCATAATGACAAATGAAGCATGAAGCACTCCTGTTTCCCAAACACCCTAGCAACATCTAGCTGTATCCTAGCATGGGCCATATTTATAACTGCTAAAAATTAATAGAAATCAATGGGAGTCAAAGGGCGACCCTGATGTGATGGCGAATGACGAGTTCTTGCCATCAGCACTTTGTGTTACTTTTTTGTATGAAGTGCTTTATAAATAAAGTTTGACTGATTGATTAAATACCACTTTAAGTTGGTATTTAACACCCAATAATGAAAATGAGTATATAGTTACCATCTAAAATTACTCTTGAAATTGAAAAATATTTAACTTAGATATTTTTGTTATGAGAGGGCTTTGTAGTTAGTGAAATTACTTATTTGTAGGTTTTAATCTGTCTGCGTTTGAAGTTGACAAGGACTGTTTGCCAAAGTTGAGTTACATGCCTCAGAAATTAATAGTGTTGTTGTACCATTGAATGCTCATTTATTTAGTTAGTGTGTGTTAACTACTAAAAATCAAGCCTTAACAAGTCAAATACTGCTACTACTAGCACTATGGAATATTCCACTTTGAACTACTACCATTACAAAACGAAACTGTTCTGACCAAGCCAAGTACAAAATCTGAGTTTGGTCCCTGAGGGCAGTAGCTCATAGTTCCTGACAAGTTGCCCCAGGGGCACTGGTAGAAGGATGGGAGACATACAGAAAATGAATTTTCCTCATGAGCTCCAGATTTGCATATAGTGACAAATACTTTTGACATTCCACCACCTCTACTACTACTTACTACAAACTTTTTACATGCATTGAAAAAGAACCACATTTGAGCTAATACACCTACTACCTCTGCTACCACTAATACTAGCACTAAATACTAGGCTTAGTTTAAGTATAGTACATACCTTGGTGGTGTGGGTGTTCCAGGTTGAACAGCGCTGATCTGTCTTTCTTCCATACTTTCCTATCTTGCTCCAGTTGGAGTTGATAATCGTGTATTTTGTCATAATTACTGAAACTAGCCGTGGCAGTCCTTTCGTACCACAGCTGCCGTAGGAACACGTACAAGGTGAAAGTCCCCACTACAAACCCAGCGTAAAACGAAAACCTGGACCCCAGTGCCTTCATGCTGCCTCTGTCCTCGGTTTTGACAGTCTATTCGGCGGCTGTCAGTCCTTCAACTTGACAGGATCTGTGGAAAAAGCGACAAAACTGCTGAAATTCAATATGAGATTCAAACACGATTTGGGCCCCTCGGTTCTTCATAGCTAACTACATGTCTGCATTCTCGCACAATCTGCCATGCTGCCGAGTGTGAAAAATCCACGTAACAACACCTGAAAACTCGTCCCAGCCCTGCAAAAGGAGTGGTTTACTTACCAGCCTTATCGAGAGCCCCATCTTATAGTCTGTCCTTCTTTTAGCCACTTCAACACGTCTAGGGAAAAACAATGCGGATCTGGTTGGTTCATAGTTAGCAAACAGCAGCAACACTCGCAAATTAAGATATCCGTGATGCAAAAAAGCAGGTTTACAGATGCACCAGCTGGTATGCGTGTAGAAAGTAATTCAAGCGAGTTTATGACTCCTCTTGGCCTAACATCGTATTTGCACAGCTGGGAATGGCTACCTACTAGCTTTCCCGTTATGTGGCGACCCTGTGCTAACACAAACTTAGCCTTTCCGATCTTGATAAAAAAAAAAAAAAAAAAAAAAGCGTCCACTTAAAACAGCTGTCTGGAAATGGAACTGTCACACGATTATACGCAAAACAAATGCCGAGTAAAATTAACAGCGCTGTAAAAACTACGTCTAACTTGTTTCACGCTGTTACTTTCCTTTTTAAAACCACTTCCGGTACGACAATTCAAAATAAAGTGGCGATGACTCGAAATATTAAGGGACTTTTGTCCAATCTTTTTGGGATGAGTTATATTGTTGGCTCATCGTGAATGATGATACTATTATGATACACGTATTCAATAGTATTGTAATAAATTATATAGTATGGTAATTCGGTTAAGTAAAGTTTTTTTTTTAACTCTCAAGAATAAACTGATATCCTTGTATAACTATAACTAAACGGTTTTAACATTTTATAAATTTTTTGAGAAATATATTCTTTCAACAACGCCACCCAAATCTAGTTTGGGGAAATGGAGTCTAAATATAAGGCACACGGGTAAGCATATTAATGACAGGGAGAGAGCCAGGTTCCATCATTTACACAATCTTTATTTTTCCATTTTAAAAACACAAGTTTAAGTTCCTTAAAAGAAGCTACAACAATTAATAAAAATAGGCAAAACAGTAAAAGAAGACAGTGGAGGAAACACCAAACAGACAGCAGTTGTGCAAAATGGGGAGACGAGAATAGAAAATACAGCTGCAAAACAGGGCAAAACAAGCAAGACAACAAAGCAAAAAGAGCAAAACAGTAAAAAAAAAAAAAAAAAAAAAAAAACAGCAGAGGCGGTGTGCTTACGCCGCTGCAGGCCACCGCAGGCCACCGATGACACCTAAAAATGTCATTTTTGGGAATTATAATCAACTCCATAGATGTGACGTTCCGTATCGAGGCTTCGAAGCGTGTGCCGAGTAGGGAGTAGTAGTAGTTTCCGCGATGCGCGTATCAAGGCTTGCTTCATTTAGGGGAGGAGCTGAAAATGATGACGTCCGAAGCCTCGCTGCCCGGCTGTACCACGTGACTGATTCAGGAAGTGGTTCGGATTTTGCTGCGATTTCCATTTTCATCATTTCCAAATAATAATTTTCCATACTGCCAGTATATAGATACACAGTACACTGCCATCACTACAATATACATGTTTTGCATACTTCTTTATTTTGCTGACAGTTTTATTCACAGGCTTTCTGCAAAATGTCACACACTTCAAATTCATGGCAACTGATATTTTTGTGTCCAGTAGATGTCCTGCTAGAGAAAATGAAGCTTCAAGAAGCTTTGTGCTTAGTGAACCAATTGGATGAAAGGCTTCAATGAAGCTTCATTTGCCCATCACTAATAATCAGCCTGCAGTACAAGATTCTGTGCTAAAGAACACATACCGCAGTTGGAAGTGACAGTGCGCAATCCCAGGCTGAATCAAAGACAACTTTACGCAGAACAACTTCTGCTCCCAGATGTGGCAAGATTTTTATTTTATTTTTTTAAACATTGGTGTTTACATATTTGCGGCACCCTCAGGGCGACATCAGGAACATGCACGTAAAGATGTTTTATCATTTGTATCTGTCGTACCGTTTCATTTGCAGATTCGACAAGAACAAGCAAACTTGTCTAACATGACTGCGATTAATACATGGCTTCAGAATAAAGTAAATAAGTCGTTGCAATTGTATATATGACTTTAAGTTGTTTGGTGTCCTTTAATGACTACGATAAGCAGGCTATAAAAATATGAGTAAGAGTGTGTGGGCCTCGAACTCATGTCACCCGTAAAGAAAATAGCGAGTCCAGTATCCATACTACTGCGCTAAGACAAGACAGCAGATTATCACTTCAGCACCTATATCTGAGTTTGCGCTGTTTTGAAAGCTAATTTAAGTGCACTACAGTGCTGAACTAAAGTCTGTAGAAGTTTGCTTGATGCCGTTTTAAAAGACTACAAGGCAAACTTCACTTCCACAGCAGCGCACAGCAAAAGCGAGGGACTCACTCGGCTCACCCGTGGAACTAAGGAAAGACACTGGTAAGAATTTGGGCATGGATGAATGAAGGGAGGAGTACCGGCGTGTAGGTGTGTATTACCTGTTGGTCAGGCTGGGACCACCTAGTGCCTCCGCTCATTTTCATTTCTCTTCAACAACTATTCGCAAAAATCGCGGAAGTGCAAGTTCGGGCACCAGCCAATCAGCAAAGAGCCATACAGTGTTGTCAACGATTCCGATCGAGATCGAGGATTTAAAGTCGGAATCAAGAGAATGTTTGGTGAATTTCATCAAGGGGAAAGACGTTACTAAAAGAAGAAGGGATTGTATAAATTTGAATGTAATGTGCATGGGAGCTTACGAATAGGAATTTACCAGAGCTGAAGGACAGAGCGGCCACCAGGAGAGGCCCGGAAAAGCGTGTGGGCAAAAGGGGGCAACGGAGAAGGGCACTTAAATAGTCCAGCAGCTCAGCGCCACCAAATGACAGGTCAGAGCACCTGCAGCCAAGACCCTCAAAGCCGGTCTTGCCACATTTGTCACTGGCACAATAACCTAAGAAGAGATAAATACCACAAAAACTGTTCTAAATGTACAATATGGTCAGAAAAACATAGAGTGAAACTCTTTAGATCTAATAGTTTGCATCTATAGTGAATCATAGTAATTATTAATTAAGCTACAGCTCAAATCTTATAATTTTGCCAAAAAATAATCCAGCATTTCCTAGTAGTGCAAAGAAAATGTACATGTGATAAATACTGACCTAAAAAATATCACATTCAATATATGATAGATGAACAATAAGTCGATATAGTAATTATCGTGACAGGCCTAACATAGACCTACATTTAGTAAGTTCTTAATAAAAACAATAAGCAGAAATGTGTCCACTTTATTGAAAAAAGCATTTACTGTGCCCTTTAAATCGATATCCCACACAAATGGAGATCATTTACAACGCAGCACAAAGACCTTTAGATTTGGCGTTGACCACCTGGGAAAACTTAATTTAGGACATTGGTAACCTAAACCTATTCAATAGTTTGTAAAGCTGTAATGTACAATGCTTTTAGAAAAGTGAGTAGTTACAATCCTCTACTGATACAATGAAGAAAGTCATATTACAAACACAAAATATGATTGTAAACTGTGCTTATTTTAATAAATTAAATACAGTGTTTGGCTATAACCAACAATAGGCCAACAATGAAATGTTTTTCTTGCAAATTTACAATGAAGTTTTAACAGGGAATATAAACAATTTGAAATGTTTCAGAAAATGTATAAGAGAGAAAGAAATTAAACTTTTTAATTTTTTTTTTATCTATTGATACTTTGCAGCTGATGTTCTTAACATTCTCTGGGGGTGTGATGATAACTGTAGGCACAGCTCTGTGTTTAATCTGAACTTTATATCTTTTTAGCACAATCTGGCCAAAGAGACCCAATTTAGTTGGAATTACAACATTGATTTGTGCTGTTAAACTCATCTCTCTTAAATAACATTACAGTCACAATCTAGCTAGCATTAGCCAACAGTGTTTCTGTCATTCTCACCTTTTTGTTGAAAATCAAAGTCCTTAACAGGATCATCAACACTTGTATTGACCACAGGTTCCTGAAAATGTGTTATTTAAATCCATGTATGTTGTATTTTAAAACCTTTTTTGGCAGTGTTTGCTAATGTGTGCATTGTGTCACCATGGTAACTAGTGAACATTCCACCAATACACATACACGTAGAACACCCCCAGCATGATGACACCACAAACTATCAATAAATAATCTGTACAAAAAATGTAAAATTTCTGCTGCATAAACAGTTAGCCCTATAGAAGCAGATTTCACTGTCTATAACAGTTTGACAAAACATTATTCAACTTAACTCAATTAAACGTGGAAGTTTCCCTTAGTTGCTCAGAGTCTCTCAAAACCAGCTCCAAAAGGATATAGCATACATGTTTACAGTGCCTAATTAAAAACACACATTGTAGTTGCAAGACTCACAATAATCTTGTGCAAAAGTATGAACTCCTATCAGTTATAGCCTGGTCAAGTCATTTTAATACAAATAAATCCATATAGTCAGGCCCCCTTGTGATTTTAGTTGGATTTAAAATATCTGTAATTTTAGTCATTATTAAATACTTTTATATTACATTTTTATAAGTAACTGTGGTCAGCAAAACATGAAATTGCTCGAAAACTGTGACTAAATATTTTTGTTTAAGTGGTTGTATAGAATTATTTTGTGTAGTTAAGCAAAATTAGTTTTACCCCAGTTCAGATGAACTGAAAGTAGTGAGATGTGCTTATTAACTCATTGTGGTGAATAATTTGGATGCTCAGAAAGCATAAGGAAAGTGAGGCATAACTTAACTGCAAACCTGTTTATGTTTTTAAGACACTAAAAATCAGGTAGATTGACTGACCAGGCTACAAATTACAATTATCAGTTGCAAAAATTACACAAAGTTGGTTCTCCTTATTATTATTATTTGAGGCAGCATTTCACAGTCTCTCTTCTCCACAGGAGTTTACTATAGAATGTCAGGCTTGTTTGAGCTCAGATGTCCATGTCTTCTGAATCAGAGGAGCTGGAAGTCTGGCTCTCCTCTTTTGACTGGCCCCACACAAACCTGTAATTATCCTCTAGCTCCTGCTGCCTCTTTTGTTCTTTGTACACCTCCTCTGTGCCACCAGTCTAGAAGAGCAGAGAACATATTATTCTAGATGTCACCAAGATACATGACACTCAAAAGGGTTGTGACAAGTATGATTCTGCCCTCCCTAAACAAACGTGTAGTTTGGCAGATAATGAACAGATTTGAAATGAACACTTTTGGGCTATGTTTATTGCCCCATGTGCTCAAGCTCTTTAGTTTTTGCAAAACTGCAAAATAAAACAGACACAGAAAAGATAATGAGTCTCTACATCCAAGAAAAAAAAAAAAAAGTCACATAAAAAGGTGACTAACACAAACTAGCACAGATACTCAAATAAGCTGGTACTGACCATGAAAAACAATGGCAAAAGAAAATGTCAACTGGACAAAAGTTTTAGAGTGTTGATATTTGCTGCTCATCCAAGAGGCTTCTTCAGTTCTGAGTTGCTGATGGATACTGCCTTATAATTGAGTGAAGGGAGCCAACTACAGTGTCATGGCGAAGAGTTTTACCAAAGAACACAACAACAGTTTTTGCCTCTGGCACCCCACTGTGGTACCTGATATTCCCAGTGGTTTCTCATCCAAGTACTAACCAGGCCCGGCCTTGCTTATCTTCTTAAATCTGATGAGATCGGGCCTTGACAAGGGGGTGTGGACATTTTAAAAAGGCATGAACTCAGAAATTGATTTGAGTAGTTTACAAAAGCAGAGAACGGGCCAGAATTAATGTCATCGGGATTAAAACTTTTTTTTTTTAATGAAAGAACAAATAACACTGGCTGCACGCTACCTTTTGTCACAGTAATAGCATGATAATAGAATGGAAACTTTGGTAAGTAATGCTCTCTTCTTCCTTTTTATATCATTTCCAGAAAATAAAGTCTTCATACAGCAGAACAAAATGATACCAGTGCAATCGTGCAAGTAAAGTGCTACTGAATTAATCTAAACTAGTCAAAATTACAGGATAAACTAAACATATTTGCATTCACACATTCACCACGTCATTATTTGATCCTTAATGGAGCCTGATGTGAACTTTCTCTGGTCTGGTCTTCTTTTTCTGGTTTAGTCCAAAATGTTTATGTTGTCAATGTGCAAGTGTGAACACAGCCTAATAGTGTACAGTACATTCAAGAGGATTTCAACTGTTTACACTGAAGCTTAGTTTAACTTTGCCAGTAAGCTATATCCTTATTCCCATCTTAAGTGTATTTTATGTGTGTGGTTCATCCCATTGACTAACAGTAATTTCCTGGAGACTTATCCTAGCCTTAGTTACTACTTGCTTAGCCTAAACCTGAACCACAACCAATTTTAAACCATATTTTTAAATGATGTTGTTGATCTAATAATAAGGGATTTTATGTCATGGACCTGATTTCGTAAGGGAGATAGATGCCAATAATACGTGTGGTGTCGTCACTATACTAAAAAAAACTCAAGACAATAGAATGTGGTTCTATTCCATCCCTACTGATGTTGAAAACGATAGTTACAACTGTAACTGCGGTTCTATGAATCCTGGATGACCGCCAGAGGCAGTGCTTCAAGCACTGGATCATCATCCTTGCGCATGCACAGGTCGAGAATTTAATAACAACAAAGTCACCTTTGACCTCCGGTGGCTCAGGTGAGTATATATAATCACATGACACCAGAAACAGTCCCTTTTGCACACAGGTTGCACGGTGAATGTGTTGCAAAAACTTTTTGCAATTCCCACTGTTTTGTTATTGCTGCTTGTCACCTGTAGCCCCGTGACTGTAACAGTCGGTGCTGCGAGTTCCCTCGCTCTCCTGGGGCTGCACAAGCAGTGGATCGGCCAACTGGTGTTCATTGTGGAGGTAGGCTGCTGTTATTTACATTAGTTTCGCCGTAGGTACACACTCGGTAGATTTAGGTTGCCGTTTTGATATAGCTGCTTTCGGCTTGTGTTCAGTTTTCTGTTTAACTTTGATTCATTGTTTTTTCGGATTCACCGTGTTCGGCCAGTTTCCGTCACTTTGTTTGTAGCCATATATTGGCGTGACTGCTACTTTATTGATTTACTACTGTCACTGAATAGCCGTGTGTGGTTTATTCTTTGCGATTATTGTTAGTACCATTGATTGGCGTGGGTCTCTAGTGGCGTTCCCTGCTCGACCAGACCCCGTTGCAGAGCACCCCATTTTAAAGTGCAGCGTTGTTTGCGGGTCACGAGTGGCGTCCCGGCTTGACCTGACCCTATTACTGAGCTCCCTGTTTAATATACAGTGTTACTGGCGGATCACTAGTGGCGTTCCCTGCTCGACCTAATCCGGCCTCATCTTCACTGGCACACGCTGGTTTATTGCTGAGTCGCTAGTGGCGTTTTCCGCTCGACACGACTCTAATGTACGGACTTCTAGGTTTCTACCCTATATTGGGCTGTGTTACGCCACCACAATGCTCGAGTCCTTATTTTGTCTGTCCTGTATGGCTTCACTACAGCCTGATAATGGGCATGACCTGTGTCCCGCCTGCCTAGGAGAGGAACATCTGCAGGAGGCCCTCACTGAGGATGCCTGTTCTAACTGCAGTATTTTGCCCTGGTCTGTGCGTTTAGCCTGTTTGGCTGCATTTCAGGAGCCCTCTTCCTGGATGTCTGCGGGACCTTCGGACCTTTTACCGGCTAGCCAGCATGTTAATTACAAGAGACATTCTACTGGGGAGGAGTGTGTTCCACATAAGAAGCCCAAGAAGGGAGTTCTGGGGAAACTGTCTGCTAAGGTAGATACACTGACATCTGAATTGGCCCAGATGTGGGGCTTAATTCAGAACCTTCAAGCGGATGCCAGCCGTGTGGTGGCTCCCCAACAACAGCAGGATGTGGCCTCTGTATGTGATGATGCCATGTCTGTGGCGGCCTCTGACACCTATTTTCAAATGGGATGTGATGACCTGAGTTCTAAAGTCTCAGACACGGGGTCCCTGCGCTCTATCCATTCTCAGGCTGGGAGTGATGAGTCTGTCACTGCGGCAATACACACAGCTCTTGGCCGTTTAAAATTGGATGTGCCGTTGACTGAAATGGCTCCCTCTAGTGCTTTCTTTCGCCGGCAGGCTACTGCTTCTCACTTTGGAGTTCCTCCCTCAACAGAATATGTAAAGGAACTTCATGCCTGTTGGACAGATACAAAGGCATTTTTGAAGCCTACTTTAGATGGTCAGGCATTGCAATGCAGGATCCTCACAAGTTTGGTTTGGGACACATGCCGGTGATGGAGCTGGCCATCGCCTCACTTATTGTTTCCCCTAAAGCGACACTGCGGACGAATGCCCAGTGTCTGCGACCGCAATGCTGTGTTACAGACAATCTGTTCTGTAAAGCGCATGATATGGGAGCCCACATGGGTCGAATTGGGAATTCTCTGTCCCATCTGCTGCTTGGCCTGTCTGTTTCATTGGAGGCTGTTCCGGTGGACTGGCCTGGACTGGGCGTCTATTGTCAACATTAGTTCAAGCCCGGCGTCAGGTCTGGTTGGCACAATCCCGTCTCGGAGGCCAGTCAGCGGAGATTGCGGAGTGTTCCATTTTTCCCTGGAGAGTTTTTTGGCTCAGCTGCCCTGGAAGCCTTGGAACGTACAGCCCAGGCTAGTCGCACAAGACAGCAGTTGGCAGGGCTTCATAGACAAGCCCCTCCTTTTTCTCGGAGGTATCCAATACAGCCCCACTCCGTTGCTGTACCTCTTAGCTCAGATACTGGGGCTGCTCCACAGGCCCATACCAGAGATTCCCACCCTCCTCGGTCTCGCCAGCCCAGGCGCCGCCCTCCCAAGCCCTCCAAGGGCCAGGAGTCAACCAGGTGAAGCTGTGGTTCCGGCGGTGGGACATTTTGCCCCGGAACAACTTGACTACTGGACCACCCACAGCCCAGATACTTGGGTTGTGGCCACTTTGTCCCCGAGTTATCAACTACAGTCCCGCTGCTGGCCGCCTATTCCCGGTCAAGTCAAGATGACGACTATCCGGGACACAGTAATACATACATACATACATAGGCTCAAGAAATACATGCCTTGCTGGACAAAGGTGCGATAGTTCCTGTGGACCAACTGCTGGATCCGGGGGACTTTTACTCTCGTTATTTCCGGGTACCAAAGAAGACGGGTGATCTGCGTCCAGTCTTGGACCTCAGGGGTCTGAACATGTTTTTAAAAGTCTTCCCTTTCAAGATGTTGGGTGTCAGGCAATTCTTCCCGGGGATTGGTTCACTTCCATAGACCTGAAGGATGTCTATTTTCATGTTCCCATTGCTCCTCAACATTGGAGGTTTCTTCATTTTGCTTTTCGAGGGGAGCACTTCCATTCCATTCAGGGTCCTTCCATTCGGCCTATCTCTATCCCCTCGGGTGTTCACGAGGAGTGTTTCTGCTGCCCTGTCCCCCCTGTAGGTCCAGGGGTTAAGAATTCTGCCCTATCTGGACGACTGGCTCATCTGTGCTCCCACTCGCAATCAGGTCCTTCAGGATACACAGCCAGTGCTCAGGCACGTGAGCAAATTGGGTCTACGAGCGAATGTGGCAAAGAGTTGTTTGGTATCATCGCAGGTAACCACTTTTCTCAGGATGGTTCTCGACTCCCGGACAATGACTGCACATCCCTCACCCAAGCGGATAGGGGACATTCTGGACATGCTCCCAGAATTTCAGTGTGGGAGGGCCCTCCCTTACGTGATGTTCCTCAGCCTCCTTGGCAAACTGACAGCTGCCTCAGCTGTGGTTCCTCTAGGGATCCTGTCCTTGCACCCACTTCAGATGTGGCTCAATGGCCTACACTTGGTCCTCGCGTGTTATTCCCACAGAAGGCGATGTCTACTTGTCACCTCTCAGTGCATGGCATCCCTGTCTCAGTGAAGGAACGAGGTATTCATGTTACAAGGCGTTCCTCTGTGTCCCCTTCCCTCCAGGAGGGAGGTTGTACACACAGATGCATCCCTAGTGGGTTGGGGTGCAACGTGGAAGGAACGGACAGCACAAGGGTTGTGGTCCATACACCAGGGCAGGCTTCATATCAACATTCTGGAGTTCATGGCCGTTTGGTTTGCTCTACATCATTTTCTCCCATATCTGCGAGGACGACATGTGGTAGTGAGGTCCGACAACACCAGTGTGGTGTTGAGCGCAACTGCTCCTGACTTGGGCTGTGCCGTGTTTTGCCAGTCTGAGAGCTGTGAACCGGGGGTTCAGAACACATCGGCAGATTTCCTATCTCGACAAGGGCCATTGCCAGGAGAATGGAGGCTTCACCCAGAGGTGGTGGAGCACATTTGGGAGATGTTCGGCAGGGTGAATGTGGATCTATTTGCCTCCCAGAAGACGACGCACTGCCCCCTTTGGTTTTCATGGACGGAGTTTGCCAGCCCTCTGGGTCAGGATGCACTGGCTCACGACTGGCCCAGAACCCTTCTTTATGCGTTCCCACCATTTCCTCTGATTTTTCAAACACTGCTCCGGGTCCTTTGGGAAGGCCACAGTCTTCTCCTGGTGGCTCCATTCTGGCCAGCGAGGCCCTGGTTTCCTCTGCTGCTCAGGCTTTGCAGCGGCCCTGCACGATGTCTTCCCTCCAGGAGGGATCTCCTGTCGCAACTGGGGTGTCAGATTCTGCATCCCGACCCCAGTCGCCTGAAACTCTGGGTGTGGCCCCTACAAGGCCCGGCTTAGCCTTCTCGGAATATGCCAGAACAATAGGGGACACAATGACCATTGTGCATGCCCCACCTACACGCAGGTTGTATTCTTGCAAGTGGAGGCTCTTTGACACATGGTGTTGTGACATGACCCGGTTCACTGCCCCGTTTCCATGGTTCTTACCTTCCTGCAGGGGTTGCTAATTCAGGGTCGTACGCCTACCCTAAAGGTATACGTTGCTGCCATTAATTGCTGGCATGCAGGGTGGAATGACTCTAATGTTGGTCGTAACCGGGATATTTTGGTGTTTCTGAAGGGTGCGTGCCACTTGCATCCACCCAACCGCTCTGTTGTCCCGATGTGGGATCTTTTCCTTGTACTTGAGGCCCTGTGGGCTCCTCTATTTGAGCCACTTGCGCAAAATGACCTTAAGTGGCTCTTATTGAAGACTGCATTCTTGTTGGCCATGGCTTCCACTAAACAGGTGAGTGAGCTACATGCTCTGTCTGTTCATGAATCCTGTTGCCACTGGCAACAATGATGGTTCTGGGGTTTCCCTTTGGCCTAATGCAGCTTTTGTTCCGAAAGTGCCCTCGTCTACACAGCATACTCGGCTTTCCCGTTTTGAGGCGGGAACTCCTGCTGAATCACTGCATCCGGTACGTGCGCTCGAGATGTATGTTCACTCCACAGCTTCTGTGCGGAGGTCTGATAGCTTGTTTGTCTGTTTTGCTGGCTCACGCAGAGGTCAGGCCCTTTCAAAACAGCGCCTCGCACACTGGATTGTGGGGGTCATAACAAAAGCATATGCTTTACAGGGTCAGTCGTTGCCATCTGGGGTCCGGTGTCACACCACAAGGGGCCTCTCGACATCATGGGCCGCTGTCAGTGGTGTGTCGTTAGATGTCATTTGTTCGGCAGCTTCCCGGACCTCCCTCAACACCTTTGCAAGGTTCTACAATGTGAACATAGCTTCCCCACACCCACTGCAGGGGGTTCTCTAGCAACACTCCTCTACATCACAGTGAGGTACGGTTTCTCCTTAAGTTGATGATTCCTTGTGACCTTGCTGGTACTCGTCATCCAGTGCTTGAAGCACCGCCTCTGGCGGTCAGTCGGAGAGAAATAGAAGGATAGTTACGACTGTAACTACGGTTCTATGAATCCAGGATGACCGCCGGTCCCTCAGAATCCTCGTGCTTTCACAAGAAGGTTTGAGGGACTGAGCTTCCGGTGCCACGTGATTATATAGACTCACCTGAGCCACCGGAGGTCAAAGGTGACTTTGTTGTTATTAAATTCTTGACCTGCGCATGCACAAGAATGATCATCCAGTGCATCCATTGTGTAATCCCTCAGTGGTCCAGATAGGTTCCATAGTGGTTCGTGGGTGTCTATGTGGTCTTGTACTTGTTCTAATACAGATGAAGATCATTCTAAAGCTATTCAGCAAAGGTTCATTTCTGTCCTGTGAATGTGACTTTTTAAAATTATCGATACCTGCTCAAATGTATCATTTATTATCTGATTTTCCATATTTTGACAACTCTATAAGAGAGCGACACATTGCAAACATTTTTTTCTGAATAATGCATTACTTTTATGCCCTTTATGCCTAGGTCAATCAGACCCAAAAATAGATTTTCAAATAAATTCTCGCCAGGCGAGAAAATACATTTTTGGGTCTGACTGACCCGCCCCGAGAGAGCGGGAAAGAAAAAAAAATTTCTTCAGGTCAATGTGACCCCGAGGAGAGCATGAGGGTTTTAACAACACTGGAAAATGAGGCCTCACAGTTGTTAGCTAGAAACAAAACAAATTCATCTAAAGGTTTTGATTTTTGTCCAAGAATGCATTTTACAAATGTGTCACTTGAACAACTTAAAAATAAGGGACTATTTAAAGCAACATTAAGGGATTTTTTTTAAATACTTGGGACACCTTAGCCTTCATGTCTCTTAGAATAACTTAAAACAGTGTATGGGTATTAGATCTAGTTCATAGTTGGGCTGAGAGATGTAGATATATCACAGTTAAATCAAAAGCGCAGTTTGAGCGGATGAACTTAGCAAAATTATTTAAACATCATAATTTAAGACAAAATGTATGTATTATGTAAAAATCCCTGCTATTTGTGTATACTTCTACAAACATTTCAGTCGTCTCTCAAATGGACAAACAAATCTGATCGTAATTGATTGTAATTTTTCCAAAATTGTTCAGCCTTGGTTGATAGCCAGATAATTGACATGAAATGTCTATATTTAAATCAAAACACCAGCAGAGGGCACTATGACTGTTATCTGTGCTGAAAAGTGAAATAGTTCATACAATAATGCTAAAACAGTGGCAGTTATTGAGAAAAATGCTAAACTGCATGCCGAGAAAAGACTTAAAGGTACACTATGTAACTCTGAACGATCCTCGATCCTCGATCCTGCTTCTCTCCATGGAGATATTACTGCATTGTTTGGAAAATTCCACAGCACACTATTCGATTCCTCAATATCCAGTTAAAGTTACAGGTTAGAACTGTGAAGAAGCAAGCCCGCTCACAGTAAGAATGCATGTATTTTGAGGTAAGTAAAAAAAAAAAATATATATATATATATATATATATATGTTTATATACATATATATATATAAATACATATGTTTATGTGTGTATATATATATATATATATATATTTATTTATTTATTTATTTATTTTTTTTTTTTTTGAGGTAAAAACACTCCTTATTGGATAAATGCATACCAGTACATATAACGCCATACTAAGAAACATTACAGGCAAAGCTAACATCTAACACAAGCAGGTAGCAGCCCTTGCACCACAAAGGTTACATAGAGCAGCTTTATTCTCATTTAAAAGACACAATGTAAACTATTACCAGGAGATTTATGAGTAGCTCCCTGAAGGACTTTGTATCTTCTTCTGTCAGCCACTGGTCTCCTGCTTCATCTGCATTTTTACGAGTCAAGATTTTAACTTCAATTTTACCTGAAACAAAAAGAGAGGAAGAGAGATAACAAAGCAAGTTAGACATGTTAAACTAGGATTTGCAGTAAGTGAAATTTAATCTACCAGAATGACAGACATGCAAGCAGACAAGGAAAGATGAATGAAGATAACAAATGATGTAATCTTTACTTGAATAATATACAGAGATGTTAAAGGACCTGTATCAGATTTTTTTTACATGTATGTAAGAAAAATTAGTTTTGCCCGTGTATAGATATATTGTCAACATGAAGTCAACATAAATCTGCTGTGTGCTGTCCACATCGAATTATAAAGTGTTTTATTGTATGAAAAACAGGAAGTGAGCTAGTTGCTGTTAGCATTACCATAACTGGTCTCTGTAAGTTGTGAAAAGCGCTTACAAACTGACTGCGGTGAACAGCTAGGGTGCTCAGGATCCAATCCAATTTTTTATTTTTAGGACATTTATGAACAAGACTGTTTCTGCACATAGCAATGTAAAACATTTAACTCTTAAAAAGTATGCATAGGGTTAAAGTTACACAGTGTACCTTTAACAGATGCTGGAAGAAATGTTTATGTTTAGGTCAGAGACAAGTAAATAAAGTTTAAGAAAAATGAAGAAGAACTAGAAATGATAGTGTATGATTTAATTAAATGTAAAAATAGGCCGTTGTACCTTCGGCCTTGAGTCCTGCCTTCTCTAGCTGCTCTTTAACCACGTCCTTTATGTGTTTCCACTGTGGATCGCCTTCACCCAGCTCCTGAACTTTGACCTCTCCGTCATCTGGCCTGCTGCCCGCTTTGTACTTAGTAATTTTGATCTTAACATGGTCCTCTGCTGCTTGTTCTAAGGCGACGAGACAGAAAAACAACACAAGTCACCTCCAAACTACACCAAAACCATTATGATATGTTTATGATTTCATTTTCTTAATAAAGCATACACAAATATTCAAAAAGAACAAATTGTTCATTAGGAATGATTCAGATTTAGTAACAACTTAAATAAGGAGTTAGTTGTTTGGGTATTAATTTAGTTGCTAAGCCTTAATCATTAATCAAACAAACCAGTTGTTCAATATGAATTAGGTCTTGTTCCTGCTTAATTACAGCTAATTAAGGTGTAGTCATTATAAAGTGTTACCAGAATTATTTAATGTTTGCGTCTTTGGATGAATTTTTATTTTGTGCACTTTCCACTGAATGTAAGACTAAACAAAGGCTGTGCTTTATTAAGTCATGTATGTTACAAATATAATAGACATAATTGTTTATGGCCATATCTTGCAATAACTGCTATTAGTCCAGTTCCTTATTCTAATTTTTTGACCTTAGTGGGAAGTTTTTGGGGCTTTGCTAACCTATATATTTTTGGAAAGCTTATAGTATATGGAGTCAGAAAATCAATGTTTGCATTTGCCCAGATGTCTTTATGGCGGCCATATTGGATTTAGAAAAAATGGCCGCCAAAAATCTCTTTTTGGAATATCTCAGCCTCTGAATAAGTTGAAATGTTGATTTTAACTGCTAAACCCACATTTTCAGGGTCAGGGAATCAAATGGTACTAGTTACAAACCTGTAAGACCTACCCACATTAACCCTTAGATGCATAAGTTGGTCAAAAATGACCCGATTTGGTTGTTTTCTTGCAATTTCATTGTAATATTTGCATGTAATACTCCATGTTCCTCCAAAATCATGTTGTTGTTTTTTTAATTATTATCCTGTTGAAATACTTCAACAATATGGGTAAAACAAACTATAAACATCACATGCAGTTGCTCAGATAACTCAAAGAGTTTAAAAGTAGCCAACATTAAATGTGTATGTTGGATGTCAACAAACACATTTAGACACAATATGATTATGCAACCTTTTTATTAGACATTTTCTATACATCATCATTATCATTATCACTTTCATACAACCATAGACTGTATATATGAGTGGACAGGTCTAACCCTGTAGCCACCATGTGCCAAATAGGAAGTTCTCCAGGAGGCTCTTCCAGCTCCTTCTGACTCTGGCTCTGACTTACTTTAGGATCTTGTGGCTCCTCTCTCTGTACCTGTTGCTGTGAACCTCGACATTTTGGTCTTAAAATGTTTGTATGAACCCGCTCTACATGATCCTGATTTTTATTTTTTTTTGCTATTTTGTCTGTCATAAAAATCCTATTCATATTATAAAGCCCGTGGGCGGATGAGATCCGTCCTGAGTATTTCAAGTCTCTGGATGTTGTGGATCTTGGCTGACACACCTCTTCAACATCGCGTGGCAATTGGGGACAGTACCTCTGGACTGGCAGACCGGGGTGTTGTCCCTCTGTATAAGAAGGGGGACCGGAGGGTGTGTTCCAACTACAGGGGAATCGCACTCCTCAGCCTTCCCGGTCTATGCCAGGGACTGGGGAGGAGAATCTGACCGTGGTTTTCGTCCCGGTCATGGAACACTGGACCAGCTCTACACTCTCCATCGGGTGCTCGAAGGTTCATGGGAGTTTGCCCAAACAGTCCACATGTGTTTTGTGGATCTGGAGAAGGCATTCGACCGTGTTGTTTGTGGTGTCCTGTGGGGGGCGCTCTGGGAGTCTTTGCTAAGGGCTGTCCGGTCCTTGTATGACCGGAGCAGGAGCTGTGTTCATTGCCGGCAGTAAGTCAGACCTGTTCCTGGTGCATGTTGGACTCCCCAGGGCTGCCCTTTGTCACCGGTTCTGTTCATTGTATTTATGGACAGAATTTCTAGGCGCAGTCAGGGGCCGGAGGGGTTCCTGTTTGGGGACCACAGGATCATCTCTGCTGTTTGCAGATGATGTTGTCCTATTGGCTTCATCAAACCAGGACCTGCAGCACTGGGGTGATTTGACCCGTGTGTGAAGCAGCTGGGATGAGGATCAGCTCCTCCAAATCCGAGGTTGTGGTTCTCGACCGGAAAAAGGCGTCTTGTCTCCGGGTGGGTGGAGAGTCCTTGCCTCAAGTGGAGGAGTTCAAGTATCTCGGGGTCTTGTTCACGAGTGAGGGGAGGATGGTGCATAAGATTGACAGGTGGATCGGTGCAGTGTCGCCAGTGATGCGGTCGCTGTATCGGACCGTTGTGATGAAGAGCAAGCGGAGTCGAAAGGCAAAGCTCTCGATTTACTGGTCAATCTATGTTCACCTATGGTCATGAGCTATGGGTAATGACCAAAAGGACGAGATCGTGGATACATGCACTTGAAATGAGTTTCCTTCGCAGGGTGGCTGGGCGCTCCCTTAGAGATAGGGTGAGGAGCTGTCACACAGGAGCAGCTCGGAGTAGAACCGCTGCTCCTCCATGTTGAGAGGAGCCAGATGAGGTAGCTCAGGCATCTGTTCCGTATGCCTCCTTGACGCCTCCCTGGAGAGGTGTTCCAGGTATGTCCCACCGGGAGGAGGCCCTGGGGAAGACCCAGGACACTCTGGAGGGACTTTGTCTCTCGGCTGGCCTGGGAACACCTCGAGGTTCCCTTGGAGGAGTTGGAGTAAGTGTGTGTGAAGAGGGGACTGCTGTCCCCGCGAATGGAATAATATAAAGCTTGGCTCCATATTCACTCCTGTAACTGTGAACATCATGAGCCTCATTTGAGCGGCGCTGAACACTATGGGTGTATATATATATATATATATAATATATATATATATATATATATATATATATATATATATATATATCTCGCCCATTTCCGCCGTGTCCGGACAGCACAGAGGCACTGATCCTGGCTGCTCAGGAGCAGGCCCTGGGCACTCGAGCAATAGAGGCCCAGATCTACCACACCAGACAAGACCCACGGTGTAGACTGTGCAAAGAGGCTCCTGAGACAGTCCAGCACATAACTGCGGGGTGTAAGATGCTGGCAGGGAAAGCATACATGGAGCGACATAACCAAGTGGCGGGCATAGTGTACAGAAACATCTGTGCAGAGTACGGGCTGGAAACCCCAGGATCAAGGTGGGAAACACCTCCAAAGGTTGTGGAGAATGACCGAGCCAAGATCCTGTGGGACTTCCAGATACAGACTGACAGAATGGTGATGGCGAACCAACCAGACATAGTGGTGGTGGATAAGAAACAGAGCAGAGCCGTGGTGGTTGACATCGCAATACCAAGCGATGGTAATATCAGGAAAAAGGAACACGAGAAGCTAGAGAAATACCAGGGGCTCAAGGAAGAGCTGGAGAGAGCCTGGAAAGTAAAGGCATCAGTGGTGCCTGTGGTGATCGGAGCACTCGGGGCTGTAACCCCAAACTGGAAGAGTGGCTACAACAGATACCGGGAAAACAACGGACATCTCAGTCCAGAAAAGTGCAGTACTGGGAACAGCAAAGATACTGCGCAGAACTCTCAAGCTCCCAGGCCTCTGGTAGAGGACCCGAGCTGAATGAGGGTGAGAGAGACCTACCACCGTGGAAGGTGTGAAACACATTATTTTTTTTTTTTTAATATGTATATGTATATGTATATATATATATATATATATATATATATATATATATATATATATATATATATATATATATTATATATTATATATATATAATATATACATACATATATAATATATATATATAATATATACATACATATATACACACACACATATATATATATATATATATATATATATATATATTATATATATATATATATATATATATATATATATAGATATATATAGATATATATAATATAGATATATATATATATATATATATATATATATAATATATATATATATATATATATATATATATATATATATATATTATATATATATATATATATATATATAGAGATATATATAGATATATATGGCCGGATCATATCACAACATCTTCAGGGCCTTTGCGAATACCATGTGATAGCAAATATAAGCAAGACCGCAGCGTCAAAAAATGAGCAGGACATCCCTATTTGGACGACCCAGGAACCGGAGCTCGGAGCCTATGGCCAGGCCAGAGCTCGGAGCCGGCAGAGCTCGGAGCCCATGGAACTCGTAGCCCAGACGGCCGTGGATCTGTCCATCTTGTTGAACAGTAGCTAATGTTTATTAAACAAATATATGAAATAAGTGCATGTGCGATTTGCTTCATTTAGTTTTCTTTAAATAATTCATGTCATGATGGCCAGAAATTGGTCCTAGTGAAGGCCCAGGGTCCAGGTCCACGGTTCACCAAGATTTAGCCTGTACCGACATGTGTCAGTGCAGCAGCCAGTGCCAGAATGATGATGATTCCCAAGCTGTGTTGTTGCATAGACTGGATAAAAGAAGTGGACTAAGTGAGTGTGACCCACAGAGTTCAGCGCTGCTCAAATGAAGCTTGAGATGTTCACTGTTACAGAAGCAAATCTGTAGCCAGACACTATATTATGAATAGGATTTTTTTGACGGACAAATTAGTAAAAAAACAAAAAACAAATTCAGGATCATGTAGAGCAGGTTCATATAAACATTTTAAGACCAAAATGTCGAGGTTCACAGCAGCAGGTACAGAGAGAGGAGCCACAAGATCCTAAAGTAAGTCAGAGCCAGAGTCAGAAGGAGCTGGAAGAGTCTTCTGGAGAACTTCCTATTTGGCACATTGTGGCTACAGGGTTAGATCTGTCCACTCATATATACAGTCTATGGTTGTATGAAAGTGATGATGATAATGATGATGTATAGAAAATGTCTAATAAAAAGGTTGCATAATCATATTGTGTCTAAATGTGTTTGTTTACATCCAACATACACATTTAATGTTAGCTACTTTTAAACTCTTTGAGTTATCTGAGCAACTGCATGTGATGCTTATAGTTTGTTTTACCCATATTGTTTGTTAAGTATTTCAACAGGATAATTAAAAAAACATGTTTTTTGGAAGAACATGGACTATTACATGCAAATATTACAATGAAATTGCAAGAAAACAACCAAACTGGGTCATTTTTGACCCACTTATGCATCTAAGGGTTAATGTGGGTAGGTCTTACAGGTTTGTAACTAGCACCATTTGATTCCCTGACCCTGAAAATGTGGGTTTAGCAGTTAAAATCAACATTTCAACTTATTCAGAGGCTGAGATATTCCAAAAAGAGATTTTTGGCGGCCATTTTTTTTTAATTCAATATGGCCGCCATAAAGACATCTGGGCAAATGCAAACATTGATTTTCTGACTCCATATACTATAAGCTTTCCAAAAATATATAGGTTAGCAAATCCCCCAAAAATTCCCACAAAAGTATATAAGGAACCATCTCTTCATCTCTTAAATGAACTAATAAAGTCAAAATCAAAAGTAAACCACTGAAATAATATTTGCAAAAATGTCCATGTAGCCCAATAAAACAAAATATTGTTAAAATGGCTGATTCTGCACCTATTGAAACTAAGTTATAGGAACTTACTGAAACTACTCATTTTCTATAGTATTTGATGTATCTCTGTACTCCATGTAATATTATCAAATGCAATGAAATGGACAAAAATATGGAGGATGTTGTTAATGGATGAAGACAACAATGACATAAACAGTGCACTGCAAAAACAGAATATCTACAGGAGTAATTATTAGTTACTTAAATATATAATTTGTTTTGACTAAATATTTATTGAGCTAGTAGTATTCTTTATTTTATGTGTTTGTCCATGAAGTGTACGTATATAGTTGACTTCTTAAAGGTATTTTTTAACAGAATTGTTGATGAAATGAGACAAATATCTAAATACTAAATAGCTAAAAACTTTGATCCAAAATTCTATGGCCTATCAATAAACCAAAAAATAAAAAACTCAAAATTACTCAAAATTAATTTTAAGTCATTGTAACTGTATTTAGTCTGTTTTGCAGTGTGAATATAATGATTTTTTATTTTGTTTGATGCTTTTACCTGGGTGTTTGGGTGCTAGACTGGGGCTCCCTCGGGTAGGGTCGTTGCCTCTCTGTCCGCCCCCTGCTGGTGACTGCTGGTCCTGCTCCTGCCCCTCTTTATCTTCTAAATGGTCAAGCAGTTTGTCCAGCGTTGTTTCTAAAGCCTGTGTGGCCTGAGAGCGGTCAAACTCCCCTTTAAGACCCTCTGTTTCTAATTCTTGTTGCGCCTATAGAAAAAAATGAAATCAACAAAATCATGTATTTGTTTTTCTTCATAATTTTTTTGGAACCACTTTTTTGGAACTACACTTCAATATGCCACACTGTATGGCATAGAATATAATTAATCTCCATGGAGACAAGCAGGTGGTTATTTTAATAGATCCATGGTGACACCACCAGTAGCAAAGTGACAGGTCACAGGAAAAGCTTAGAGGAAAGTGTAGAGGAAAGCTTACTCAATTAAAAAGTGGGTCTTTCAAGGCTTTTCCATGTTTAGCACTTAAATAATTGTTTTTGTACAGGAAAAGCAATAAAATCACCATGGAGGCAAGCAGGTTGCTAGCCTGATTCATCAGCCGGTTTCACTTTGTGGAAACCGCCTGACCTTGCAGCATTAGGATTTGTTCTCTTGACGGTAGGTAGGTTCTTTTTTTATTTGACCAATCACTGCTATTTGGTCGTGACGTATGTAATGCGCCACTAACGGGGCTGACTGGTATATATTACGCTTTTCCTAAATCCCATCTCTTCTTTTCCCTTGATAAAATTCACCAAACATTTTCTATGTTCTAGCTTTAAATCCTCGATCTCGGGAATCGTTGCCAACACAGAATGTATGGCTCTTCGCTGATTGGCTGGTGCCCAAACTCGCACTTCCAGGATTTTTGCAAAGCATCTAGTGTATTCCAATTCCTGACCTAGTCGCTTGAGAGAAATTAAATTGAGCGGAGGCACTAGGTGGCGCCAGTCTGGCCATACCTTCCACCAGAAAAGTCACTTCCAGCAAATAAATATTATGAGTTTCAGTCACAACTTGGACATTTAGTATTGCTCATTTGTCAGAAACTCCCTATTTAGTGTAAAGCCTCTTGCATTCTTGTTTATTTTCTCATCGTTTGAATATTTATAATTTTTTTCTCAATAATAAAATCTAAACATTTACACTGTTGTAAACAAGTGCACACTCCTTCAGCCTCCTCAACATAACTATGCACATAAGCAAGCTCCAAAAATACCACTTACCTCATCTATAATGTTGTCAAATTCTTTCTGAATTTCATCTTTTATTCCCTCTATTTTATCAGAGGGCACTGTGAGGCCATTTATTTCCTCCTCAAACTCCTCCAGTAATCGCTCATCTTCATCTTTGTCCTCCTCTGTGACACTCTTCTGTTTCTCCAACTGCTTCTGTGCTTTCTAAAAACACCCACATACAATGGATAATAGTTTAATATGTCTCTATGGGGTACAACCAGCCAGTAGAGTAAATTTGGTTAAGCACATGTCCTTGTAGGAATGACAGATCAAATTCATAGCTATTTAGTCTATATGTCTAAAGCTCAAATTGCTCTGTTCCACCTTAAGATGTCATGTAGTGGCAGTTTTTAAGTTAACCGCTCCTTTACAGCTTTCGTTCAGGAGAGATTAGTAGGGCTGAAATTATCCACATGATATTAGTGAAGATATATGGAGTTTAAAAACACAGTGGAACACCTACTGTATTACCACATGACATCACAAGGTAGAGTGTTTTCTGTTTGAGAATTTTGATAACTAAAAAACAGGCCTGGTACAGTTTTAAAAAATACTGGAGCAGTTCACTGTCTGTTTGTCCCAAATGCAGGATAATCTCTGCATTTTTAGACAGTAGATGGAGACATCATTGCATTGCAGCTATTATCACAACTGACATGACCGATATAAGCACTGCAACAATTATTACAAGAGTCTTAACAGGTTACTCAACTAAGAATTTAAATAAAAAAGGAGAATAGTAGATTTCCATTTGAAAAGAGACCAACCTTTCTGTTACTTTCTTTCAGATGCTGAACGAATTTCATCAGATCTGCAGGATCTGTGATGATTTTAAAGTTAAACTGCTCTACTGCAAAATACATAAACAGATATTAAATCATCATGAGAGTTAATAAATGTTATTAATTATGAATATTATTAATACTATACCTTCTTCACCATCTATTACTTCATTGTTTGTAATCTGTGTGTCCTCAGTTTCCTAAAAAAAAAAAAGAGAAGAAAATACATTCTGGTTTAAATGCTTGACTTAATATCAAATTAGATATATAAATAGTTTCTTTTGGAAAACAGAGTATAAGTGCTATTACTGTTGAAAAAGAATGTTTTTAAATTATTATGGAAATTGGTGTTTACTGTGACAACACTATTTTCAAGTAGTTTTTATTATTTTTATTAGCTGACAAATATCTGGACATTTTATTCTAAGTTTAGTCATCATTAACTTAACCAACTTGACCAAATAGATTGGTCAACAATATGAGTCACATCCGCTGTATTACAATTGTATTGTTCTTGTACCTCTGATTTAGGAGCCGTTCTTTTCTTTTTCACTCCATCCCAGAATTCTGAGTCTTCCTCTTCTTCAGACGCATCAGTTATATCTGTTTAATAAAAGATTACATGGTGATAACTTTATTTGACAAGCTTGGATGTTTTAACCTACAGCCTTACAAAATTTAAATAAAATTGAAACTATAATTGCAGAAGTCTATGTTATACCATGAGAGGACTTTTGCAAAGGCCAGCACAGACAGAGGTGGGCAATTTAAATTAAAATTATTTAAATTTCAAATTTAAAGGTTCAATCATTTCTAGTGGTCAATAAATGGTGTGCTTGAGTCTTATTAATTGAGAGGTCTACAGTCATTAATCTGTGTCACGACGCAGAGAGTCTGCATTGACGCATACCCCCTACGCAGAGCCTCTGCGTCGACCGACGTCCACCTCTGAAATTTTCTAACTACGCATCAAAACGACGCAGACAGCAGGGGAAGCGACACAGACGATAAGAGCTGTGATTGGTCCTCCGTACCACCCCTCTGTATACATTTCCTGTTGGCTTTCCTTTCTTTCAGTATATATTGAGAAATAATGTGTTTATTGCAGCTTTGCGCATATGTGTTTACGTTTTACAGAAACGAAACTTAAAACCGCATGGCTAACTTGCATAAACTAAGCGCTCAAAAAACAGCTCGCTCCTGGTAAGCGGTCACCTTCTGTCGGATTTAAAAAGGACACGACTCTGTGGAATATGTATATATTATATATATATATAGTTCTTTCTGTGACAGAGGGATATTGTACTAATGGTGAGTCTGTTCTGTGCTTTTATCGTGTAAGAGATGGGTCATATTAAACTTTTCAGAGATTATACGTCTGCGGGTCATACACACAGACCGTATATATGAATGGACTATACTTCACCATTAAGAAGTGTTTAGGGAGGTAACTCTGGCTTAATTGACTCTGGCTCCATTTGACTTTATATTGGAACTCGGCTCCAAATTTGTTGCAAGTCTCACGAGCTTCATTTGACTGGAGATGAAAGCTAGTGACATTACACTCCTTTAGTCCACTTCTTCATACAGTTTATGGTTACAAGGAAATTACATTTCTATATTATTTATGTTCAGAAAATAAATATAGTAAGACATATTTTAATAATTTAACTGTACAGCCCTTATGTGAATAGTACAGCTTCAAGATGAACTGCAATAAAACTAAAATTGAAATTTGAATTCTCAGAATTCAAGACCTCCACTACAGACATGTTCTGAAATGAAAGATACTCTTGATTTACCAGTTCATAATTCAGTTTTAATTCTCAGGGACATTAATGAATGAATATTAAAATATGCACTATGGATTGAAATTTGATTTTTAAACACAATTCAACTCCAAACTGTAACAAAGATTGTGTTTGTTGATTCATTGTGTAGTCTAAGTGGATAACTAATTCACAAGTTCACCTTATTTTTTGGTTGAACCCTACTGTAGATTTATTTACCTTCATGCATAAGTGGTTCACTGTCCTGCGTTGACTCCAGAAGTGAGTTCACTGCCCCCTCGGGTGTCTCATCGTCACTGCCCAGAATCTCGTCCAGACTCCTCAGCTCCTCAGAGATTTGCTCCACTTTACGCTTTGTGTCCGCTGGGATCAAAGGAGGAAAAACAAAAGACATAATGAGTGCTAGGAATATTCTGATTTAGGAACATTAATTAAGTCAAATTAACAGTTTTAAGAAATAAGTTTTATTTATTTGTCAGAACTTAGTCCATGTACTAAGTTCTAAAAATTGTCCAAAATCTGTACACAAAGTAGAATTATGAGAAAATTCTAACTAAACCTGACAAGTGATAGAATAAAATGAGAACAGTAGAAGTTTCAGAAGTCAATTTAAAATCTTGCACATCTATGTTTTGTACTACTCTGTCTGACATGTCCCCACTGTGTTACAAATTTAAGTTGTCTAATTGATACAGTTAACCACTCTCACCTTTTTTTTTTTTTTTTTTTAGTTTCAAACTTACAACTTTTTTGGCAGTTTTAGCTAACAAATTTAATTTATGAATTTATAAATTCTGTCACCATGGTAATGGTTGGACATTTCCCCATGTATATACATATAGAATATACTAGACGTCTCCATTTACCAGGTACAATCCCAGTTTTGAGCCCTATGTTCCCTGTCCCAGCAGATTTATCCAAAACTAGTGCTTAGTCTCAGTTTTATACAAGTATAGGTGTCCCCATTTCTGACAAATTTGATACCCATTGACAGTGAAGAGGAGAATATACATATTTGTTTAGCCAAACTACAGAAAACCGTGATTGAAAATGACCATAAGGCGAAAAAATGCATGATAGAAATCCCGCTGATTATGACAATGGACACTGTTACATGCTCTTTTCACAGTATTATTTATACCAACCCCCCCATCAGGGTATGTCCCAGTTTTGAATTTTGAAAATCTTGTCACCGTAGTGATGTCACTGCACAGTATCAATAAAAACAATATAATAAAGTGTAATAAACTAAACACTGCTGTCACTTGATGGTTCGACTCACAGACTTGGGCCTTGACATAGTCCATGTACTGCTGTGGGCTGAGGGCAGGCTGGCACAGGATGCTCTGAGGTTTGGCAGTGGAAGGGGGTCTGAGGAGAGGGTGCTGACAGGTACGTCCTGTGTGCACCGTCAGGACGTATCTGCAGGACTGAGGCTCATCCACACGAGCAATGAAGTCTCCTGAACCCTCCTCACAAATGAACTGAGCACAAGACAGAGAAGGGAAATGTCAAAGGGCTGTTCTGGTTTACAGTAATAACATGTTAAAGCAATCCCTAAATCAGTTACGAGAATTATTATTAGTGCTGTCATGCGATTAAAAAAAATGAGAGATTAATTAATTATGATCTGTAATTAATTAATCTAATTAATCTAATTTTAATCTCACCTAAAAATTGCTGAGAAAAGCCTTCAATTTGAGGTATTTTCATTTAAATTCATTATTACATTATTGTGGCAGATCAAAAGACTGATATAGAACAAAAAAAGTTACTTTATAAAGTCATTTATTGTTTAACAAATCTCCCCAAATTGGCTGTTGAGCCCAAGTCTCCATGAATAAGAAACTGTTTGCTGTAAAGTAGCAAAGACGAGGAAATCTGAACATAATAACTTTTGTCTACTTAAAGACAATAAAAAGTCCAGTCTTTCCTTAACCATATTACAAATATTATTGATAGATAAATGCTTTATATATGAGATCACTGGTTTTAGTCCTTGTTTTAGTCCTGGTTTAGACCTGCTTTAGTCCTACTTTAGTCCTAGTTTAGTCCTGGAATGGATTAATCCTGGTTTTAGTCCTGGTGTTAGTTCTGGTTTGGTCCTGGTTTAGTCCTGGTTTAGACCTGGTTTTAGTTCTGGTTTAAGTTCTGGTTTAAGCTCTGGTTTTAGTTCTGGTTTAGTCCTGGTTTTAGTTCTGGTTTTAGTTCTGGTTTTAGTTCTGGTTTTAGTTCTGGTTTTAGTTCTGGTTTAGTCCTGGTTTAGTCCTGGTTTAGTCCTGGTTTTAGTTGTGGTTTTAGTTCTGGTTTTAGTTCTGGTTTAGACCTGGTTTTAGTTCTGGTTTAGACCTGGCTTAGTCCTGGACTGGATTAGTCCTGGTTTTAGTCTTGGTGTTAGTTCTGGTTTAGAGGCGCACAGGAGGAAGCGCGGTTTACGCAGCTTACTCGAGAAAACACGATCCACACGCGGCGCACGGGAGCACGTCGGTGTCCGCGCAGTAACTACGGAAGGAAACGTGGTCCGCGCGTTCTCAGGTTAATGACGATGATGAAGGTGTATGTTTGTGTTTGTGTGTGTTTGTGTGCGTGTCCCCTCATGTGGCAGGTCACTATAGGACAGTAGTGCAGACATCATGAGTCTATGCAGGTTGTTTTCACCAGTGACGTTTAAGTTGTAGGCGATATTATATTAGTTATTTTCTTTTATATTTCACGTCGGGAGAATAATTTCCAAGACACGAATGTGTTTTTACCTGTGCGCTGCTGACTCTGTTCTACTGGCTCTACGACCTCGTCCACTGTGCGACTGACGCCGCCAACGTTAACATGACGTTTACTTTGCTCTTACTGCGTGCGTTTTGTGTGGGTTTCCGGCAATGAGTGGAATTACCGAAATAAAAAAATGTATAAATGTGTTTTTTGTGTGTGTGTTGTTGTCCCAACAACACATAAAAACAGGTTTTATAATAAAGCAACTCGCATACAAAAACACTAAAGTTAGAGATTAAAAATGAGATTAACGCGATTAAAAAACATAACGCGCTAAATATGACTGTAATTAATTAATCGCAATTAACGCGATAATTTGACACCCCTAATTATTATATCAACTTGTAGTTCAACCAATGACAAATGTAACAATATTTATCATGGGTACTCTTTCTTTGTACTAGTGGAAAACTATTTATTCAACCATCGACAGCTCAAATCTTATGACACTACAGAAACATAACAACTTAAATGACTCATTATAGATACAAACTCACTATTAAAATAAGTGTATTTACTGCAGCTAATGCTTTTTAACAATATTTAACAACATTTAGAATATTTATTATAGTTCAACACATGACAGATAGAACAATACATTTTGAAGGTTTATTGTGGGCACTAGTGTACTAGTAGTTTAAATCTTTGGTTAATTTTTTTGTACTACAGTGAGATATGAGCTGTAGAAGGTAACCAACTACTTGTTGCATTCTGTTATTCATTTATTGCAGCTTATATTTATTAACAATATTGTACATTTAGAATATTTTTTTGGGGATAATTCTGCTTTATGGTTTGATTTCAGTATTATTATTTATCATCTATATTTACTTCAGCAATATCACACTTTAAAATTTGTTATCGTGACCGGCTTGTATTAAGGAAATATATCTAATTTGTATCAGTGTTTTTGACAAATAGAGACAATTTTTCAAGTATATAAGTATCCCCTATTGTATAAAAATATTGCTTGTGCTACCATAGTCTCAGCATAAACCCGTGAGAAACACTAAAGTACAATTCATGTACATGTAGTAAGTAAGTACCGGTATAAAGATGTAACTAATTCTAGACCACTGTAAGTGACAATAGTACTGTTAAAATATCTTACTCTGACTTCTGCCTCTCTTGGAGTCCCATTGAGGTCACACTTGGAGCCGTTCACATAAGTTTGACTGTGGTACCGCTTCAGTCTGTGCTGCTTAGAAGCCTGGAAAAAAGATAAAATAATATAAAAAACAGATTTACCTTTTTGTCTTTCAACAACAATGTCTTTCAGATATTAAAAACAATCAGCCAGTAAAGTAAATTGGGTTAAGCGCATTGTAGGAATGACAGATCCATTTCATAGCTCTTTAAAGGGTTCTATATTACATGTATTATATGTTATAATCCCGTTACTTCATCAAAAACATACCTTTAGTTGAGTTGTATTTCATTCACACACATTAAAGCAATCCTTTATTATTTAGTCTGTCTACATCTCCTAAGCTCAAATTGCTCTCTTCCATCTTGTGATGTCATATAGTGGCAGTTTTTAAGTTAACAACTCCTTTTACCTTTTGTTAGGGAGAGATTAGTAGGGCTGAAATTATCCACATGATCCTAGTGAAGGTATATGGATCTTAAAAGCACAGTGGAGCACTTCCTGTTGTAGCTGCCGTCAGTGGCAGCTGTCATATATTTAAGTTCATGTTTTATAATAAATTATATTCCTATTGAGATATATAGTAGAATATTTTAAAAAGCAATATAGCGTAAATAAGTAAATTTTTTTCAGTAAATTTATGTTAATTCATTTCATTTTATTTTGGTTAATTTTCCTCTCTTCCAATTGCATATTTTTTCGAGGGGAAGTTTTTACGGCTGCACATCCTTAATTGAAAGACCCGCGAGGAGCTGCGCTCTGTCCTCGGAGCTAAAAGGACATTTTATTTTTAAGGTAAAAAGTTTCAAAGTACAAGACTTTATTCCCTTTGAGTGGATGTGGCCAATGAGGTACATTTGTGTTATTTTTATTGTGTAATTACTTCTGTTTTGTATCCGAGGGTTAATTTTAAGTTTCTTTTTATCTTTATATCATTCTGACGGCATGCGTCGACATTAAGGTTGATTTACATGTGAAGACATGTGAAAGACTGGAGTCAAATAAATGCTTGTTAAAAACAAAACAACTACTTTGAGCCTGGTTTGAACTCGAGGGGAGTAACACCTGTATTACCACATTACATCACAAGGTGGAGTGTTTTCTGTTTGAGAGAAGAACTGAAATGCAGGGTTTGCATGTGTAAAAGAAACAAAACTCCAGATATGTTTGTGATGAGGAAACAACATTATAACATAGATCAGAAAATAGCGTAATTGGTTATTACTACGTATCTATTGAAATATATGTTTTATTTTCTAGACCAGGAGTGACCCAGTGCCCATGGTAATATGAATGACTATAGTTAAGTGTATGTAACTGTTAATTATGGCCATCTTAAACATGTTTTTAAATCATTCTCCTCCCATCCCCCTCCATTTGTGAATCCTTTGATTGCCAATAAACAACTGTGCGCATGTTTGCTTTAATGTACTGCATGTGTTTTTTATTTATTTAATCATTAGTCTCAACAAATATTTAATAACTGGGAAGATTATGAACGTGCTTTTGTAAAAATTTTCTGCAATTAGGAGATGCATTGGGTAATTCAGTTGATACGTTGCAGCTAATGTCGTCAGTATTCCTGGTAGTATATAAGTGAAGGCTCTGTCCTGTCACTGCTCTGTTAGACTTTAAAGAAAGAAAGAACTGACTAAATAGAAACAACAACAGGTGAGCTGATATTGTACTGTTAAACAAGCCCCTCTCAAATAACATTACAATTACAAACTAGCATTAGCCAACAATTTTTCAGTAAGTCACCCTCCCGGTTTTTATTGAAAATCAAACAGGACCATGTATGGATCAAAGGCTCCTATGTTGTTTAAATATTTTTCTTTTCTCAAATTTTCAGATCTTAAACGTGTTTTTCTTTGTTTGCTAATGTGTGCACTGTGTCTCCATGGTAACAGCTGAACATTCCACCATGTACATACATGTAGATACCCCATAGTGTGATGTCACTGCAAAGTATCAATGGATAGTTTTTACCTTTGCGGTTTCATTGCTCCAGTCAAAATCAGACTCGTAGTAACCCAAGAAAAGTACATCGCCTTTGATTTCTGTGTCTAGTTAAATAAAGAGAATTGTTATTACTGTAGTATATATATAAATCGGTCTAAAATAAAGTATGTTCAAATACATTCTGAATCTCTTTACCTTCAAGGTGGTACTGTCTGATGTGTTTTCCATTACAGAACTCGTACGTCCACCAGTCCTTTGTCTACAGAGGCCACGAGAAAGATACAAATATAATCATATACATTTTCAGTTATTAAAATACAAGGTGACGTTATATTGTGGTTATTTGGTTATACTGAAGATGTGGGACAGAACACTGTAACAACAAGTAAATAACAAGTAATTTTGGAGCCAATGTCCCTAGAGCACACCGGAAAAAAAAACATTATGGACATTTATACCACACCCAAGAGATAGAGGTCAATAAAGTGTCTTGCTCAAGACTACTACAACAATGAATGTAACATCCGCAGCCCTCAAATTAGAGAATGATGAGCTCTATCCCCTAAACTATAGCCTTACTTCCACTGGTTTGCTTTGGAGTGGATCAGTACAGTCCTTTATTCTACCCTCTACATCTGAAATCTTAAATCGTTATTTGCAAAAAAAAAAAAAAGCAAAAATCTCCTCACTATTGTACACGATAAACACGATAAATATTAAGCCCCAAAATATATTGTTCCATCTTTCATATATTGAACAATAAGTCAATGTATAGTTCCTGGTGTGAAAGGCCTATACATGCAATTTTATTCTCTTTTTTTTATTCATTCTGCTCAAACAGTGAGAGCTACAGGACTACATTCATACCATACTCCTTACAACTCATCCTTATGTAACAAATAACCTCTCAATGTCCTGTCAATCATCATATCAACCTTGTATGGTTTTCTCCTTACGACCTCTTGCATATAGCTGAGAAATAGAAACATCCTGCTCCTATTTTCGATACAAAATTTGTTTTATGTACTTCCTGATGTACCTGATGTTGCCTGTGTGTTCTTTTTATTTTCTGTTTTGTTTTCATGCAATTTTTCTGTTATTGTGTTTTGAACCCCGTCAAAAATAAGATGTTACAGCTCAAGGATCTTCCCGTCTAAAAAAAATAAATATATTTTTTATTACTTTATTTGTATTTATTTTGTTCTAACTTGTACATACATTTATATAATTATGCCTTATTTGACACCAGTGTCTTACTATTTCTGCTACTTAGAATTTATATAATTTATTATTTATTATTTATTACTACCATTTATATTTTTTTGTCTTTCTTATTATATTAGATTGTGATGTGTGAGCTACTGTGTCCAAGTAATTTCCCTTGTGGATAAACAAAGTTTTTCTAAGTAAGTCTAATAAGTGTCAAAATGTTTTGTCCCACTTGTTGGAGCCCTAACCTTGACCAGACAGGGGGCCTCCTGCATGGGGCTGAGGAGCTGTGGGATGTCAGGGCCGCTGTAGCTCTGTGTCTCTGGCTCTGAGGCTGGGTCTTGATGGAATCGAACCGCCTGAGCAGGAAGACGACACTCGTACATCTGCTTAAACTTATTAGACACCATCATCACCTCCTCGGCCTTCGTCTACAGGGAAGAAACAACAAGGAGAAGAGCACTGAGTAATCCAAACCAACTTTATTTGTATAGCACATTTTACCAAGTTGACACAGAGTAGATACAGTATAAGTTAGCACATAAAAAATACAGCATTAAAAAATAGGGGTCTTAATGTGAGAAGGAGAGAGCGTTCCAAAGTTTGGAGCCACCCCAGGGTCAGCCCAGTTTTTGAGTCTCGTTTTTGGGATGACTAATTGGAGCTGGCCCTCAGACTGCATGAAGGAGTGTAGGGAACAATGAGGTCTGAGATGTACGTTGGTGCCAGTCCATGAAGTGCTTTAGAAACAATACAATTTTTAAATCAAATCTAAAATGAATGGGGAGCCAGAGCAATGAGGATAAAATAGGTCTGATCTGTTCTCGACAAGGTGTGCTGGTAAAAAGATCATAATCATTAGGGATGTAATAATACCCAAATCTCTCCATATTTTCACACATGCATCTCATGATACGATATTGATTGTGATATTTTGTGAATGCTAACAAAACTGTGAATATGCTACTTTTCTGTCATAATCAAAATAATTAAGATTTAAAAGTGTTAAGTAACAGTTTTTCCATCATGTAGATTGGACTGAAACAGAGAAAAGGATCATGACATATGTAGCTCTCCAGCTGCACCTTCACAATGTATTTAAGCAAAGAATCTTGTAATACAATATATATTGTGATGGCCCTCGATATTGTGAGTTTTGACACATACAATATCAAGATATTTCAGTTATGGTTACATCCCTTGTAATCATGCCACTATTATAAGAATACATACTTGAATTAGGGCTGTAGTCTAAAGACATATCCTGCCAATAAATTAGTCAACTAAAAAAGTATAAAAGCACTGATCCGAAATGTAATGAGTATTTACTGTTCCCGAAAGTCTCTTAATGTTTAAACTTTTATTTACTCAAAGCTCTCCTGTAGTTACTTGAGAGGTAAATAATTAGTCTTTTTAATTTTTACTCAAAGGAAATAAATGCTGTTTTCAGTCTGTCCTGGTATTAGGTTTCAACAGATACTTAAAGCCATAATATCAAAATCAGTTCCAGAACTGAAAGAGCTGAATCCATTGGTGTGAAAATATTTGGGTGAGAACAAAATAGAGATCTTGGGCCCCATCTTGCCTTCAATCTTAGTGCTAGTTAAATTGTGGGGCATGGAGCTCTAAACAAGAGGTGTGCCGTGCTTGAATATCAGGTGCAGTAGAGCAGACAGAAGGCGTGGTGTGCTGTGTTCAGCAAATTGCCAGAATCGTAAATATAAATACCAAGCCAGTTCACTGAAAAACAACGTGTAACATGCTCAAGGCTTCTTTTATTTGGAAATATATTAGGATGATAAATGCTTTACATTCATAACATGTTTGTGTGTCATGTTCTGAACAGATTGGTTCAGATATCATCACCATATATATACTTGTACCATCCCACTCCAGCCTCCAGCATCTGACCCAAACTGCACTCACAAGAATACACAAGAAAACTTGTGCATCCTATGTTTAATCTGACTTTTTACATGCAAATACCAAATTAACCCACTCACTAACTTCTCCTTTCTTTTCTATTATCCCATATAAATCCTTATAATCAGAATAAAATTAGTCAACTAATAAAATTTTTGATCGACTAAGACAACATTGACCGATTAATCAACTAAACGACTAAAAGCCTTTAGCCCAAAGATTTATAAGAGCTTATAATTGGTATCTTTGACAGTAAGCAAGTAGGCTACACATTATCAATGCAAATCATGGGAAAAATCTCTGGCTATGTTTGCACGCACATCAAAAATTTTATCATTATCTGATTTCTAGTGTTATTACGCTGTTGAAATGTCATGTAAACAGTTACATCTGACCCCTGTGCACAGATTATTATGCAAAAAGGGTAAGGTAATGTGACAAAGACAAAACTGAAAGACTGAAAACTGTTCAATCATGCAATGTACTTAATAGTCCAAATGCAAATCATTCTAAAAATCCATTGATTAACTGACACACGTGCTTTGATGATCAGATTTCTCACATGTAAACACAAACCAAAAAGATTATACTGGGCGGTAAATGTACCCACTGACTGGACTACTACTGACATCAGTATTATTTAATAATAAAATGTATGTGTTTTAAGGTATTTTAATTAAGAAATGCATTAGCAGTGAGAGTAATAGCAGATGTGTAGTGTGTACTGACAGCTGTCAGCAATAGTCTATTGTTTCATCTCGTGATTTGCATGACATAAAACCTTATTAGCTCAGTGTATTTTCTTGCCTTGCCAAAGATAAGAAAGATATGTTTATATAACTGTCAAAAATAATCCAAAACTTAACAAAGGATCCCATAGCTGCACAAAATACGTGACATAAGTCATATCTTTAGCTAAAATGGCTAATGTTTAGCTCCTTTTAGCCGTTACGCACCTGTCCCAAAATGACGGGATCGGGGAGAATTTGAATTCCATATTTCATCTCGTTTAGCTCTTCTAAATTCAAAAACCCCGTTGCACAAAGAGGGCATATTAGTAAAAAAGCGAACAGCCTTTTGGACCATAAGGAAGCAGCCATGTCTGACTCCGCTCACGACAAGACAGCAACAAAACAGTGGACGCATGACATGGGAGCCACTGATTGGTCCAGCTCAGTCGCGCCGTTCAGCAATTGGTCGATTTTTCTGTCAATCAAATGGTTTCCTGTGAATTTGGGCGTTCGTTTTAACAATTTAAACAAATCCGACGGGCGGAGCCATATCACTTCCTAATGAAAACGATCCTACACGAGAACTATCTATGTTTAGACGTGTATAAATTAAATGCACATGTTATGGGCAAAACCTCCCTTATTTGGCTGGATTAAAAAGGCGTGCTACAAGCTAATTTGATAACATATTTAGCGTATATAAGTGTGGGTTTCAGAATTTGTTAGATGCACGATATTCATTTAAATTTGTAAAATGTCCAAATGTTATATGAGGTTTACTAGAGCGTTTAAAGCTGTTTAATCGCATGTCAAAGATAGGTTGCTTAAAGTGAGAACCATGTTTAGGTTAAACTCAATCAGATTACAGTTAAAATTAAACTAAATAGACAATAGACTATTATCACGCTTCCGGGTTTTGTGGGCGGGGTTTATCTACTTTGTGAACTTCCACTTCCGGCGCAACAACAACAATGGCTCAAACGATGTCTAGATGTTACTGCTCTTTTTAAATTATGAAATAATCAGCAGGATCAATGCATATTCTTTGTAAATACTTTGTAATAGCTTTATAATTGGCAAAAGAAGTTACTGGGACCAGTTAAAGCTCCACAGCGGGAGCAGGACAAATGTATCAGACACAAAAAGGAGGAAAAAAGTCCGCTTCAAACAGGTGTTCTCGCTGTCTTTTTTATTTTCTTATAGCATCGTAAAGTCCATTGAAGTACGAAACATCACGGTGCTTTGAGAAAACAAAGCACCGAGAAAGCCTGGTTAAAGCCGACTTTTTTTTCCCTTTACGTGCTAGCAAAAGAGACACTCGTATGCCGACGTTAGCTGACTGAAACTGAGAGGCGAACGTTCTTCCTCTCAGAATACAAATGACATGGGGAATTTACTTAGCCTCATTTAAAAATTAATACTCTTGCTTTTGTTGGGTATGCTGGGTAAACGCCTTATATCCATACACCAAACTGACGTTAGCATAAGCTAACCCTCCTGTTCTAAAGCATAGGCAGAACCGCCATCCCGTATTGGAGGGTATTTGGCGTAAAGCTCTGTGCCATTAGAGCGCGCAGAGCTTTACGCACGCTGCTCTGTTGGCACAAGAGGGGGGCACATACGCCTGACCTCCTGCAGGTGAGAGCGCGTGGAGGTGCCAGGTTAACGAGTGCGTAAAAGTCCACAACTTTAAGTGCGCGCAAGAGGAGAATGAGCGCTGCAGCCGCCTCTTTATAAACTTTTATGAGTTTAAAACTTTTCTGAGTTTATAAACTTTTATGAGTTTATAAGGGGCCGACGCATTTCTGGGTCCCTGTGTAAGCCGCTCTTTCCTCTATGACCAGGTATTATTGTAATATTTTAGCCCTTATTCATGAAAATATCCAGATTCCTAAATCATTGATCTTTTTAGTGTCTCTATCTGACTGCGAGCCCGGCACTAGAGATGCGCGGATTGCGGTTACATCCGCGGTTAATCCGCGGGTCGGGCGGATGACGTGACGAAATATTATATTTTAATTAAATTCGGGCGGGTGGCGGTTTAACTACTAAAAAAAAAAAAAAAAAAAAAAGTTATTATTAGTATTGTTACCCACATCTGAAAAGACGAGTCTCATTGTCTATGCTTGTAGTATGAAGTGTACGTCATGTCCTTAATTAGCCCATTTGACCTCGTTTTTATGTTCTGAAGGTTAAGGTTGTGTCGGGTTATTGATAGCCTAAGGTTTACGAGGCACGTATTATATGCAGTTTATTTTATTAATTCTAATTTATTTCAGCTGTTTGCCAACACGTAAGTGGCTATAGGACCATATTTATTTAGTTATGCTTTTTTTTTTTGTTTCGATATCAGATATATTTTAAAACACGCAGACATTATAGCGTAGACTGCCACTCGGGGTATTTAAAACTTAAAGAAAGACCGATGGAGTGAGGCTATGACTTTGAAATAACATCGGGCAATGGCAGAATGTTCAGAATGTAACAACATCCAACACGAAGGCAAGAAGGTTCAAAAGTAGCCTAGTCGGAAAACGTTGTCAGTTAATTAGCTGCGCAAGAAAACCAGGTAAGTTTGGGGTTGTTACGGACAATTAACTGTGTCGGCGGCAAGGTGGAAGAAGTTGGCGGGAAGAAGAGATGGCCAGCAGAGCAACCGGAGTTCTAGCACCACAGATGGATCTGAGGAGAAATAAGACGTTTGGGAAACGCGGTTCTTAAGTTGCCTATACATCCTGAAGCTGAAAGAGACTATTTTGAATGAGCCAGTTGAGGCAAACGACGAGGACAGATGGAAGAATGCTGATTGTTATGCCGAACTGGTATGGCTAATTGATGACGGCAGAAAAGCCCTATGGATGCTTAAAGAGCATTATGCGGGCGAAAGCAAGCCAAGGATCATAAATATGTACACATCGTTAATAAAGCTACGAATGGCAGAAAACAAGACAGTCACAGACTATTTAATAAGAGCAGAGAACATCATTACAGCATTAAGAGAAGCAGGAGAAACCATGAGTGATCGCTTGATCGTAGCCATAGTGCTAGGCGGTCTACCAGATGCATTCAAGCCGCTAGCCGTTCATGTGACAAAATGAAGATAATGTTACATTTGCAGACTTGAAAAGAAGACTGTGCGGTTATGAAGAATCTGAGAAAATGAAAATGACAGAACCGAGTACAGATAATGTGATGAAGACGCATGCAAGACAAGGTGGAGGCCAAAGCAAACTGGACAGTAACAGAAAAGATGAAGATGGCAACATTACTTGGTTCAAGTGTGGAATAAAGGGACACAGGGCGCGAAAGTGTTATGCAGAATCACTCTACAAGAAAAAAGGGGACAAGATAGTGTCAGAATAGCTGCGGAGGAGTAAGACTGTGACCAAGATTTCCTCTTCATGGCCAAATACATCCAGAGTGAAAGGCCACCAGTCAACAACTTCCCACATCGTGAACGACATTAGCAAGTTTGAAAGCTTTGACGACTCGTTCCAGCCAGGCATGCCCTCCGTGGAGTTAGCAGATGGAAGCAAGTACAGAGGAATGGCGCAACAGAGAGGAACAGCGGTGATACATCTTTTAGACAACGCTGGACAGCAACACAAACTGCAGCTACGGAATGCACTCTACATGCCATCATACTCACACGACATCTTCTCAGTGGCAAAAGCAACAAACAGAGGAGCGAAGTTGACTTTCAAGAAAGGTGGCAGTCGCTTGTTCACCTAGGGTGGTTGCAGGTTTGATATACATGAGAATTGAAACTTGTATTACTTACCAACTGTTGAGAAAAATGTTGATCAATGTAAAGTGTGCCATGCTGTACAGATGTGGCATCAAATCAAAAGTTAAAAGTTGGTAAGGTGTTGTGAAGGGCATGGAGATTAAGGGAGGTTCAGTTGGGTTGGCTCAGTTGTGTGAGGTGTGTGCACAAGGAACATTCAAACAGACAAGAAAGAGGGAGCCTGACAGGAAAGCAAAAAAGCCCCTACAACTAGTTCACACTGACTTAGCCGGGCCCATGCGAATTCGAAGCATGGAAGGACACCGATATATGCAGTCCTTTACAGATAATTATTTGGGCTCTTTGTTTGTGTATTTTCTCAAGTCCAAAGTTGACACAATCCAGGTCACAGAAAGGTTCTTAACAGACACTACACCTTATGGAGAAATCAAGTGTAACTGTACAGATAACGGCTCAGATTTTACGAGTCACAAGAATTTACGAGACACGAGACGTCTGCACCTTACTCACCCCACCAAAATGGCACTGCTGAAAGAGTTTGAAGAACACTCTATGATATGAGCAGATGCATACTGATTGAAAGTGGGTTACCAGATAACCACATTGTTCAGACCTCAGCACATGTGAGAAACAGGTGCTACAGCAGGCGCACAGAGAAAACTAGCACAGCATACTAGCTGTAGGAGCCATTTTTCTTTCATTTAGGCTGAGGTTAATTTGGGTCACTGTTTGTCTGGGCACAGGGTGACCTATATTCTGCTTGGCAGGGTGGAGTCAAGCCCTATATAAATACACAGGTGCCAGTGCACTGGGTGTATGGGTGACAGGAGGTCACACGTTTTTTACCGCTCTCTAGACCAGTGGTCTAGCTTTCACTACTCAACTCTGTAATATTATCGAACATCTTTTTATCCATTCTACTCCCTACTCCTTTCTGCTCTACGATCCATTGTGCCAATCGGGTAGCACGTTAGGCCTGGATCCCCTGCACCCAGAAATGACAAAAGGTTAGGACTAAAATTGTCGCTACACTAGCTGTTCACAGGCAATGTACCCAGCATATCCAGATTACAAAAATTCAGATCTGGGTGTTTTGCTTACAAGCAAGAGAAAGGCAAAATGGATTCCAGATGTGAGCAAGGTTTTTTCATAGGCTACGATAAATCAGCCCACTGTACTGTACTATCCAGACACAGAGAGGATCCAAAAGCGTAGGTTGGTAAAATTCACCACTAAGACAACCAAGGAAAAGGAGAGACAGACTTCTGAGTCACACAGATTATGGGGGTGTACATTCCAGGGATGACAACACTGAGGGAGGGTTGTTGAGAAACTTGAAAATGTACCCAGTCAGGGTGTTCAAAGTTTTGTTACTGAAGCTTTTCCTGAAAAGACTGAGTACACACAGCCAGGTGAAGTTACAGAGACAGTGAACAGAAGGAACCCACCTAGAGCTAAAAGGAGACCAACTCACCTACAGGACTTTGAGACAGAAACTATGGAAGACACACTAAACACATGCATGGATTTTTGTTACAGAGCAGAGTGCAATGTACCCCAAACTTACCAGGATGCTATTGCATCAACCAAAGCAAGGCAGTGGAGGAACGCCATGAAAGAGGAGATACAATCTCTGGAGGAAAATGAAGCATTCACCCTCACTCAGTTGCCATTTGGCAAACAGGCAGTGCACTAAAAACAGAAATTGATGGGTCTGACAAATACAAGGCAAGGTTTGTAGCAAAAGGTTACAGTCAAAAACCAGGTACTGATTACGAAGAGACATTGTCACCCACAGCTGATATGACAAGCGTGAGAGATGTCATGCAAAAGGATGACCAGGATAACCTCTGACACCAGATGGATGTTAAGACAGCTTATTTGCATGCTCCAACTGATTGTGAAATGGAACAACCTGAAGTTTATGAGAGAAAATCAAAAATGGGTGAAAAACTAGTGTGTAAACTACAGAAATCTATCTGTGGATTAAAACAATAATCTCGGACAAATTGTAATGCTATATTGAATGCATCTTTGATTGAGAATGGTTTTGTGCAGAACACAACTGATACATGTGTGTACACAAGGGAAAGACACAATGAAAAAGTAATCCTAATAATATGGATGGATGATCTGATCAGAGCAGCTAACAATGAGAGTGTACTAAAAATGTAAAGAGGATGCTTACTGAAAGGTTCAAAATAAAAAAACATGGGAAAACTCAGACATTTCTTGAACAAACTGATGGTGTAGTGAAAATCTCACAGGAAAGGAACGAGGGAGATTCTAGATCGATTTGGAATGCAGGATAGGAAGCTTAGAGAAACTCCATGTGAGACAAAACCTGTGTACAAAGAAAATTCAGGAAAAAATGCAAGAGCCAAGAAAGTACAGGGAAGTAGTTGGGAGTTTAATTTACTTGTCCACGTGTACTCGACCAGACATACGTTTTGTGGCCAGTAAACTCTCACAGCATTTTGCTGAACCAACTGTACAACACTGGAACACAGTTAAACGTGTTCATATACCTTAAATTTACAACAGAACAGGGATTGTACTTCAGGAGAAATTACACAGGAAAATTAGTCCTAAGGGTCTACAGCAGGGGTGGGCAAATTACGGCCCGGGGGCCGTATGCGGCCCTTTAAACCTTTTAATCCGGCCTGCCGAACTGGAATAAATTACAATAATAAACCTTGTTGATGTTTTATTAGCTCCGCCAAGGAGGTTATGTTTTTGCCTGCGTTTGTCTGTTTGTTTGTTTGTTTGTTTGTCTGTTAGCAACATAACTCAAAAAGTTATGGACCGATTTTGAGGAAATTTTCAGGATTTGTTGGAAATGTGAAAAGGAAGAACTGATTTCATTTTGGGGGTGATCCGGAAGAAATCCTGGATTCTGGATCACTTTGAAATTTTAGTTAACATTGTGGTAAATGGGGCCAAAACTTTTGTTTCTCAATATCTCGGTTAATTATTGACCAAACCCCATGAAATTTGACTCAGGGATGGACAATGGGATCCTCTTTCATATTCCAAAGGCTGATCCGGATCTGATCCAGAAGACTGATTTTATCGCAATTTATATAAAAAATGGGGGTAGTCCTTGGCGGAGGTCTGCGCTCTCTGAGTGCTTTTCTAGTTTGTCATGCATTTCCAGCGTTTCCCAGTAGATGGGGCACTATATATACATTGAGTTGCGGCGTATTATGTTGGCCGCAATGCTTTATGGCAGTGCTTCTCAATTATTTTCTGTCATGCCCCCCCTAGGAAGAATAAAACATCTCGCGCCCCCCCGCGTGACTATAAATAGTATCATTTGTCTATAAAATTGTTATAAGTACACCTCTGCATAACACTGCCACCTTATATGATGCCAACAACGCTCGCTGGTTTACTGAAGTAGCAGTCACAAAGCGGGATGATTGTCGGCAATATTCGGCACGTTTTCGCTGAAAAAACTCAAGCGGCTTATCAGAGTGATTGGGGTGTAATGTATTTAAGTGACGCCTTAATTTATTGGGCTTCATGCTGTCCGCTGCCAACATTTTTAGACACAGTAAGCACACCGGTCTTTCCTCGTCTCCCACCGTAGTTACAGTGAAGCCAAGCGCTACATATGCTTCGTCATATTTCCTCGTCTTAGCTTTCGGGAGATTTTCGTTTGTCTCTTTATCTCCGTCTCTCTCCGCCTGTCTTCTCATCCCTGTTAAATATTTTTTCATGGTGTCACTTGAGGGTCTGCTACACTTCGTGTCTGCACTTCATACTCAAACTCTGTGTTGTGTGCAAAGCGCGCATGCTCAGTGCAAACAAAACTCCTACACCACCGAGCGAATGCTCCCTGCGCACACTCTGCCAATGAGAGCGCCACTGCCCCCTAATGTAGTGGAAGTGCAATTGCACTTTATTCTATTTATTCTTTATTGGGGGGGCGCCCCACTATTTGAGAAGCACTTCTTTATGGGAAAGTGTTCTTACAGGAGTTATTCGGACCATGAGTGAAGTAGTTGGTGCTTAAGATATAAGACTGCACTGCTTCCATTTTGAGTTGGATAAAATCAATCAAGGAAACCAGTGGTCTTTAAGTTGTAATTGTTAATGTGTACAACGTTTTGAAGGCAGGTTTTATCACACTCAGAGATGTGTATCTGTGGTTGTATGGCGTGAGCTTAGTTTTTGAGCTATTACCAGTCATATTCGGAAACGGTGAATTCACGATATACGTTCACTCGTGGTGTGCAGTGGAACAGGTTTTAACAGTTTTATGTGTTCTGAATCTTTCACAGCAGTGATGACACGTGTAGCCCGCGTCTGAAGTCCTAGGTAAATGTGAATAAGAACGTAATGAATCTGAGCTCTTAACACGTTATGTCCTGTCTTCTGTCCGGCCCTTCAGTCAAACTTTAGGACCCTATGTGGCCCGCGAGCCCGAAAGTTTGCCCACCCCTGGTCTACAGTGATGCTGACTGGGCATCAGATTCAGCGGATAGACGAAGTATCCAGGATATTCTGCCAGTCTAAATGAGGGTAGCTCTTTAATATCATGGACAACAAGGAAACAGCAAACAGTGGCTTTATCAACCTGTGAGGCAGAGTACATGGCCTTAGCATCAGGCATACAAGAATACATTTATTTAGAGCAGCTGCTCAGGGGTATACCCTCTTATCAATATGCACAGACAAAGGTGTATGAAGACAACCAAGGTGCCATAGCACTAGCCACAAATCCAGTCAACAGGCAACGGTGCAAGCATATTGACATAAAATATCACTTAATTAGGGAAAATGTGAACAATGGAAAGTTTATTTTGGAGTACTATGCTACTGAGCAAACGATTGCTGATGTATTGACAAGGCCTACTATGCTCAAATTAAGAAAGTTTTCAAGGGAGATGTTTGGTACTTGAACGTGTTACTTTGAGACAGTATAAAAGCGTCATTCTGTTATTTTGTTTCCATGTAGCTTAGCGACAGAAGAATGAGTGGGGATGTTAAATATAATTGTAATTGTAATATGTAATATATATCGCTCTTATTAATGTTATTTTGTAATGGTTTGATTGGTTCAGCTTCCTCGAGGTGACGTATGACGTATGACGTATGCACGAATTCTGTTAAGTAAATGTATGATTCAAGAACGACATGCAGTCTGTTAATAAAAAGTTAAACTGTGAAATACACGCTCCGCTTTTACGTTCACCACGTTAAGTCTGCGCGAGTCAGATAACCTTAACAGATCTTAGCAATGACATTGCTTCAAATGATAATAGAAAATGCACCCACCCATTCACCCACCCATTTCTCATAAATAATAAAATGTATTCATGGTCTTCCTGTAGATTCATTTGTGATGCGATTGGTGGAGGGGCTTGTTCATTCTCCCGGTCGCTCGTACAGTGATTGACCGCGGCTGCGTTGTGTGAGGCAGGGTGCGTTTTTCCTCTGCTGCTGCGGGAGAAGCGACCTAAGACTGCAGCAGTGGGTTTATATGCTGTATTTTATATCAACTAATCTTATCTAACTGGGCGGATTTAATACAAGCTTTGCATCGGACCATCTCTGACTCTGAGGCCGTAGTCGCTGCAGAGGGACGCACATCTTGAGGAGGGGTTTGCACGAAGGTAGGGTCCCATTTTTGGATGAGGTCTGTGAGATAATAACAGGCCTATTCCCGGTGCGATGCAATGCCATTTCAATTGCTTTGTACAGCCCCGGTGCTGTAATTTATAGCTAATTATATACGCGTATTTTAGATTTAATTGCTATAGAGAAGGGATCCCGTTAGCTACATTCATACATAATATGACGTGCGTAAAACATGGCCCGTGACGTTTTGCATGTTCTAAAACCATGTCTAACCATTTATTAGGGCAAGACAGGCTAAAAAACATATTCAAATTAATTCACAACGCACCTAAAGACCTAATTTTTATCATCACGTTGGGGATTTTCCTAAATTAGCTCAACATGCAGTAATTTAATTGTCCCAAAATGACAGCAACAATTACTGTGAAGTGCTGCTAGCCTGGCTAACCTACATACACTATGCATCACACAGATTTAATTCTTTAGCCTGCATTTTAACATATAGCATATGATTTCCTATCCTCAATGCTATAGCAATATAGAGCTATATGATGGTATATTAGATTAGCCTAGCTGCTTGATTTGACCACTACAATCTGTAGAAAATAAGAGAAGGCTGTGCAGTAATTCTAGTTCATGCATGATGGAAGTTAGGCTATCAATTCTAACACTGTCCTAAAATCTATTGGCCTACAACAAATAAACACATAAAAATCTTTTATAGGCAATATATTTCAACTTTCAACTCAGCCAGACAGACTGTGGTTGTGATCAAACTTGCACCATCTAAACTAAACTGGAAAATGAAAATGGACTAGATAAGGACTCAAAAATGAACTAGACAAGTATGAATGCACCCATATTGAGTTCTTTACAGTTAGAGCATAATGGTCTAATTGTGAAGAAACTTTTTTTTTTCTTTTTTATAAATACCAGAAGAATTCTCTAGTCGTTAATCTGTATGTATTATCTGAATCACCGTTCCTTTTACATTTCTTATAAAGCACACTGACAAAATCAAGATTCAAGATTATGCACACATGCCTCAATGATGACCAAAGCTTTCAGAGGAATTACTTAGAGAAAGTCCCTCCTCAGCATAAGTGCTCTCTCTTGCTCTTTTTTCATTCTCTCTCTCTCTCCCACTCTCTTCTCTCACTCTGCCCATTTCACTCTCTGTCTTTCTGTCTTGTCTATCTTTCCTTCCCCCTATCTCTGCTTCTTCTTTTGCCTTCTTTTCTTTTCTTACCCTCTCTCTGCATTACTTCTTCTGCTTCTCCCCCCCCCCTCTCTCTCTCTCTTTCTATGCCTGTCTGTCTTCTTCTCTTCTCTCTCACCCCCCTGCTCAGTTACCCTCACTCTTTCTCTCACCCCTTTACCTCCCCTCTCTTCCTCTGTCTCTCTCTCCTTCTCTACCTCTCTTCTCTGTCTTCTCTCTCATCTCCTGCTCTCCTCTGTCCTAACCCCCCAACCCCCCTTTCTCTTTCTCTCTTCGTATGATTAGAAGCATTAAGCTCATTATTGATTTATTTATATGACCAAAATGACAGTAAATGGCTTCCTGGGATGGGGAGTGCCCTTTAATGCCCCACCATATGTTCTTCCACAGTGGGGGTTATTAAATCTAAAATAGGCTACAATAGAAAAAACAATATAATTAAACTATATTTGTGTGGTGCACAGAGCAGATTGCAGATGACTGTCCCTGACAAGAAATGTTAAGATATTTTTAGTTAAATAATTTGTTTTGGATTCTGGTTAAAGTTGAGGATTTGCCACACAAGCTTAATCAACCAAAAATGTTTTATTCAGTTACTATGATTAAAGGTGCACTATGTAACTTTTCTGGTGTAGGGTCCAGCTGCTTGTCACTATGGAGAAAGCAGTATATCAAATCCATATGACACCACAAGACATTTTTTTTACACCAGAATATATGCAAGATAGAGAAGTTTAATGACACATTTTCTCTACATTTCAAGTGGCAGACCCATCCCAGGAAATGTTATGTATTCCACTGCTACATGAACTCATGAACTTACAGAAAATAATAGACATTGACTGACTTGGGTGTTGAGTTTGATCTTCAGAGGTTTCAGGACCTTTGACTATTTAAAAGATAGAATAATAAATTTCTGGATTTTTAATTGCTGTGGCAAGTGTTTTTCCATCATCCTGAAACCTTGGATAATTTATAAGTCAGGGCTCCTTGTGCCCAAAATATATCGATATTGAGAAGAAATAGGCCAATCAGATATTCTCATGGGAGGAGGATAGTAGGGTGATAGAGGCCATATGAATGATGTGATTGGTTAAGAGCCAAAGATACTAGGCCTGTTGTGATAGCACATTTTGAAGTTTGATATATATTGAAAATGTACAAAAATCATTTAAAAATCTGCAATAAACAATAGTAGAATGAAACACTAGCAGTTCTTTTTTTATTTATGAGTTATTTATTCAATCTTCTACAGCTCAAATCCACAGCTTTAAAATAACAAAACTCACTATTACAAAGAACATGTATCCACAATAAATACTGACCCTCAAAAGTCAATATAGTAATTATTTGTGACAGGCCTAAAGATGCCAGATTGTCATAAGCAGTGTTGGGGAGTAACGGATTACATGTACCGCCGTTACGTAATCAGAGTACAAATTATGAGTAACTGTATTCCGTTACAGTTACTGTTTCAATGAGTGGTAATTGGATTACAGTTACTTTGCTGAAATAAGTGGATTACAAGGCGGTATTTTCCTGTTTTCACATTTTGTGCTACATCCCATTTATTTATTTTTTTATTTCGGTAATTTCACTCATTGCTGGAAACCCAAACAGAACGCGCACAATAAGAGCGATGTAAACGTCATGTTAAAGTTGGCGGTGTCAGTCACACAATGGAAGCAGCAGTGCATTGGTAAAAACGCATTTGTGTCATGGAAATTTTTCTCCCGATGTGAGATATATATATAAAAAAACTAATATAAAATCGCCTACAACTTAAATGTGAAACCGGAGCTACTGGCACTGGTGAAAACAACCTGCATAGAATCATAATATCTGCACTACTGTCCTATAATGACCTGCAACATGAGGGGACACGCACACAAACACACACAAACACAAACACACACAAACACACACAAACACACACCTTCATCATCGTCATCGACCTGAGAACCCGCGGACCACGTCTCCTTCCGTAGTTACTGCGCGGACACCGCCGTCTCGTGGGCCGTGTGTGGACTGTGTTTTCCGTGACCGTAAACCGAGCTTCCTCCTGTGCGCCTCTAAACCAGAACTAACACCAGGACTAAACCAGGACTAACCCAGGACTAAACCAGGACTAAAGCAGGACTGAACCAGGTTTAAACTAGGACTAAACCACGACTAAACCAGAACTAAAGACCTGGTCTAAACCAGGTCTAAAATCAGGAGTAAACCAGGTCTAAAAATCAGGACTAAACCAGGACTAAACCAGGACTAAACCAGGTCTAAACAACATGACACCTAACAGTAGGTTGATATAATTTAAGATGATCTCATATAAAAAATAATTTCTCTATCAATAATATTTTTTAATATTAAGGAAAGGCTTATCTTGTTATTGTCTTTTAACAGACAAAACCTCTTATATTAAGATATCGTGGTCTTTGTTTCTCTACAGCAAACAGTTGCTTATCCATGGAGACTTGGGCTCAGACAGTTTGAAGAGAACAAACAAGAATTTTCAGGATGTGGTTGCTACATTCATGTCATTTAAAAAAAAAAGACAATATCAAGTAATCCAAAGTAATCAGATTACGTTACTCACTTTAAGTAATTTAATGGATTACGTTACAAACTACATTTTGGGGTGTGTAATCTGTAATCTGTAGGGGATTACATTTTAAAAGTAACCTTCCCAACACTGGTCATAAGTCATATGGTCATTGGTTTACAGGTGACTAGAGTCTTCCAGGTTTATGATACATCTTCTTTAGCCTTAGGACAGTATTTACATGTGTTTTGTTTTTCCAGATGGGGCAGGAGCTCACTGGTCTGTGGACAGTGTCTGCTTTCTGGAGATGCAGGTGTCAACAGAAGATGCCCATTCATTGACGTCAACAAGGAAGGTGCGTGTGAAAAAACATGGCTAGATTTTGACAACATTTGGTTCACTATAGAGCAAGGAATAAACAAATTAAATTAGGCCTGAAATTCATAACTATCCAGGACTAAATGAGGGCTTATAAACAAGAGGACTAAACAAAGCTTAAACCAGGATTAAAACAGGAATCCAAATCAATCCAAATTAAACCAAGGTATATCTTCATAAAAGGGTGGAAATACAGAATTTAGTAATTTATGAGGTAAAAATAGGGTAGTCTAGCTTTGCTTTAGCGTCAAATGTGTAATTATAGATAACAGTTAGATTTGATTTTTATAAACATGGTTAATAATGGCGTGGCCATAGAATAAATAATGACTTCAGTGAAGCAGTTAGAGAGTGAAGCTTGTTTTTTATTTATCATTATTAGACATTTCAACAGCTTCAACAACAACTTTATTCACTTTGAAATCTGTTTCTGAACTGTGAATAAAAACAGACGGAAAAGGACTGGCTTAGTGGGACATTCTTGTGTATTTTTTGGCACAGGGTCTCTCACTCTCCAATCACAGTCACATCCGACATACAGGAAGACGTGCATAGACAATTGCGATGCAATCTGCCAAAAAATTGAATTTTTCCGCCTTTAACAACTTCGGAGAATTTGAAACAAGCTTTGACCAAAATAAAATAAAATAACAATAACAGAAGGGGCATGATTTGCAGTGGGCAAATAGCTCTAAGTGTAATATTTGCGTCAGTTTGTTTTAGAGACTTTTCAAGATACTCAGCGTCACTTTACATTTTGGTGCATTACTCAGTTGCCCCTTAATCACATTTTGGTGGCCAAATTGGGCCAGCATAGGGGTTAAATTGCTATTACTCTCTCCTCACAGCAAGTAGGCTCCTGATTTGACTCCCAAGTGGCCCCTGTATGGAGTTTGCATGTTTATAATTCAACTGCAAAATCGTGTTTATTGTTCAACTGTAAACTCATGCCCCTGTGTCTGGGTATGTTTCTTCTGAGCACTCCAATTTCCTCTCATCAACCCAAAACATGCACAATAGAAGTTATTTATTCTGCCCTCTAATTATCAGATCTTTCATCATTACATAAAAATGCAGAGGACAAGGGATTTCCTTTCAGTTCACGATTTTGAACCCACAACACTCCAAAACAGGATTTACAGGAACAATATAATACATTTTATTGATATTTTGCAGTTTATTTGGTGCCTTTCTTGACATTCTTACATCAGTGAACATGCAGAAAGAGATGCTACATATATGGTTAAAGCAGAGGTTACAGTGACAGGAAATGTTGCTGTCTTGTCAGGTGGTTAACACAGTTTCGAACTCACTACATATACCATAAATTTCCTTCCACCTTGGCATTTTCAAAGTGGAAGTTTTTTTGTTTTTTTTTTATTATAAACTTTTATTTTTGTATCTCTGCATTACAAATGTTTTAACCTTAAAGTCAAACATCTGCTTCTTTTTAAACTAAGGGAGTGGATTTCTCTGAGACCTGGATTATACAAACAAATAAGGAACCAATTATAAAACATTCCTCAAACATGAGCCAGGGTCTATACTACATGTATTTAGATTCTGAAAGAAGAAAGTCTTTGTTTTTTGTGTTGTTTTGTCTTATATTGAGTTCTGCCCCTCTACCTCTCTCTCTCTCTCTCTCTCTCTCTCTTGCCCACCTCTGTGTCCCACCCTACCTTCCTGTTGATACTTTCTGTGACATCACACTGGGGACATTGTACATGTAACTCTTTGTTTTTTTGAGTTGTGTTTCGTTATAAATGGATGTGCAAATGTGACATAACAAACATGGCTGTATGTTGTCAGCAGTTACATGTCTGGATAAGGGAACATACACAGGCTATGTACAATGTATGTGAATATCATAACAAAATAAATAATAAAATAACATAAAATTAAAAGTTCATTTAAATCAGATGCTAAAGTAAAATATGCATTAAGAATAGAGTTTATCAGCTTGAGTCTAGGGAAATTTCACACATGTAAGAATACACTTCTCTATTGTGGAATGGACAACACAATGCACACATTAGCAAACACTGAAAAGAGATATGAGATGTTCTGAAAACTCAAGAAAACATAACATATTGATTTAAACAATCCATTTTCAGGAGCCTGAGATCAGTACCACTGTTCATGGTTCTGTTTAGGTGAGTGTGAGTAACTGAAAAACTGAAATGTATTTGTGTGTGTGAGAGGAAGATACTTTATTGATTGATATGGTATATTCATAAATATATTGATTATGTGAGAGACTTGTTTAAGATCCCCTGTTGTAGTTCCAGCTAAGTAAGTTCTTTCTGGTCTGATTGTGCTCATAAACTAATCTCAGTAACAGAGCTTCAGATAGAGCAGTGCCTACAGTTAACATCGCACCGCTAGGGAAGGTTGACGACATCAGTTGCAACGTATCAATAATAACTATACCTTAATTAGCCTTTTTAAAGGACAAACACATTCTTAATTCATAATGCATCAATTACTTACCCTGACACTATCTGCTAACCTGAACCTCAACCCCATAATGTAGTTACTAAGTCACTCTTAATAAACTATTTCTTTGCACATGCTTTATTAAGGCTCATTACACAGTAGTTATTAAAAGAGTGCTCAATAATCTAGTCTATCTGTCTGTCTGTTCAGGTGTAAGGATGCGCTCTCTGAGGAAGACCCTTCTGTTGGCCGTTCTGGTGTCAGTGGTGGTGGTCCTAGCTCTGCTTCACTCGTGGCCCACCCGAGGCTACTCCACTGTGGATGTATGGCAACACCGAGGCCCCCTGCTGGAGAGGAACCTGGAGGACAGGCTCACAGACTCTGACCATCAGCTCAGCATCATCCCCATTCGTGTAAGGGACAGTGTAGCTAGGTAAGTGTTAGAATCAAGAAGAAATTATGGCAGATTTGTATAAATATTTAAAGAATTCTTGTAGGCACATGCAAATTTCTGTGGTTTTATCCCACACATTTTGTATTATTGAGCATTCCTCAGCTGCAAACCAACGCAGCTGGGCTGTCCTTTGACACACTGCACACTCCTATCTGTTAAATGAGGCGCACAAATGAAACAAGTCTGGGGACAACCTGTGCAGGGTACTTCACTAGTCATTCCGCTAAATCGAAGCTAGTGTGAACGTGCTGTTGATCCTTAGTATTTTACATAGTTTAGTTTACCTAATTTAGTTTGTTTAGATTGTCCTGGTTTAAGGGTTTAGTCCCAGTTGAGTCGTTTTGTTTATTTTTATTATTTATTTATATTTATTTGAGAGTGACAATGCAATTATGCAGATTGTGCAGCTGGTGCAATGACAAATATAGTGTGGAAAGTTAATGCTAATTCTCAACTCCTGTCCCTGGTTGGGCTTTTTCCCTATTTACAATTCAAAACATCAAACAAGCACAATCATTAAAACCATGTACAACAATGTACTTTCTCACTTAAGACATCTTTCACACTTAGCCTATTGGTACTTGTTAGGAAAATGATTTAAATGAGAATGAAGACAGCATCACTGAGGTAGAGTCACACATTTAATTGATTATTGCAACAAAGAGTCCCACACAGTGAAACCAGGGATGTGAGATCCAGAGATGCCAGAGAATTTCTACCCTCAGTTTCTGTTCCATATTTTGAGTTTAGCTGAAAACAAACAATGTGTCTGTGTGTCAATAGGCTTTGTGACTCTTCAGGTAAAAGTTCAAAGTGGTTACTAAGTTTTCAGTTTACTTGTGAACTTTCAATTTATGTGTAAAGCACAAACTATCTTCAGTGTTTAACTAATCAAGCATAATTATCTGTTTTATACTAGAAAATCACACAATAACATTCAATTTATTTATTTATTTATTTATTTGAGACAGGGATAGCACACAATTTTCGCATTAACCTTGACAGGAGAGATGCATTGTACATCAGGTTGTAGCATCAGTGCTAATTTCCACTTGTAGTCCCTGGACAGGTTCATTGATTGATTGTATTTAACTGACCTTGACTATCAACTGTTCTGGAGACCTGTAGCATGTTTTGGGATTTCACAGAGTAGAAACTGAAACTTCAAGTATTTTTAATTCAAATTTTTTAATAATTTAGAATTAAAAATACTTGTTCCAGTTGTCCCATTAGAGACATTGTATCAACAGCTCTTAAGATCAAAATAAGTCAGCTGTGTACCATCTGCATCAAAGTGTTTTACTGTCCAAGAATCAGGAAGTGTGTTGTTATCATGCTAGTTGTTAGCAAAACTCCATCTGGCCTATGAATGCCATTAACCCTCTCCAGGCAGGCGTTGCAGATTTGCAACTAAATTCCAATTACCTACTTACTCCACATCCATATTTTATGAGCTTTTTTACTCAGGAGCCTTTTCTCCCATCCATGCTGATAAACGTGGGCGATGCAGACTGTGCGAGAATGGCTACACGCAAACAGCCTGCCAGAAGTGCAAAATACTTTTTTTGTTTACAAAGGATAAAAAAGTCAGGATTGTATATTATTGCCCCATATTATAATTTTCCCCAAATATCAGATTTTTCCTGATACAAAAAATTATTTGAGCCTGAGACGGTTAATTGTTTATCGGGTTGAAAAATTAGGATACTCGAAATGAATAAAGAAAGTGGGGAATAACTGCAAATTAGATTTTCAGGTGTTTAATACAGTAAAAATCTCATTTCGGTCTGACCATTTGTACCTCTGTCTCTCTCTGGTTCACAGCCTTTTGTCCCGTAACAGTTGTGTTTGTGAAGGCGACAGTGGAGGCTTGAACCTGCCCTTTGCTCAGCTCTTGTTCCCCCGAGTCTCTGCTCACTCTCTGCACACCGCCTTCAGGCCTTCAGAGCTGGACGAACTCAAAAGGAGGAGGGCCCAGGAGTACCAGAGCTTCCAGAAGAGGTGAAAATCTTACTCAGAGCTGTTCCCATTTCAGTAAGATTCTTTTTTCTGACCAAGGTTTAGTTTCTTTTCATACCTTACAGTTTTGGTTGCTCACTAGAGGTCTTCTCAGAGTAGTCACATGATGTTTTCAGGTCAGCTGGACACCAGACGGGGCTTTAAACCAGAACGAGGGAGCGTTTCTACGCTCACACACCTGAGATATTGTCCTACATAAGTCAAAACCTGTAAAAACAAAAACAAATTAACAACTAAAACAAACTACACCTTGGTCTCAAAAAAAAAAATAACAAAAATTAATCCCCAAAAATTACAAAAGTACAATAATTTCCTCCACAAAACAAAACAAATTCTGCTAACCTTGTAGTTTTGATCTGTCCAAACATGTTCTGAAATTTGTGATTATTGTATTAGTTTGGCAGTTCATATTCCAGTGTTTTTGTCAGTTATTCTGCAATTGCAATGCTTGTCAGAAAAATCTCAAGTAATTGAGATCTTTCAGTCTCCTTAATACAGTATTGTAAGTGGATGAGAAATATAATGGATGTTCCAGGGGATTTTAAAACAAGGTATAAATAATCACATTTTCAATTCATATATTTTTGATCGAATAGTCAGTGATTAACCTGCTTTTAAGTTTTTGTATTTTTGAAAGTGGACTTTAGGCAAATGATTCCTTCCTCATTTGAACAATTCTTTGAGGACAATTCCCCATTGAAAACATATAATATTTTGATTTGAATTGAGCTATTGCTAACAACAGAGGGCCATTGCCATGACAAATCCTTCAAATCAGGAAGAAATACTTATACATGAAGACTATAAATAGTAGAGGTGGGTAATATAATTAAAAAAACAGATACATTTTTGCTATAGTATATGATATGAGATATGCAAATTTTGAAAATGAAGTACATTGTCTATCATAAAACAGTTTATAAAGTCTGAAAAAAATTACTTAAAATATGATTTGTATTATTATGATTATATTATATTTGTTTTTTGGTTTTACTGTTTTTGCAATACTTGATTCTCAGACAAAACATTTACAAGCCCACTGGCCCACATTTCTGATGGACTCCCACAAAATGCCTGAATATTCTCATTGGGATATAGAGATATTCAATATAGTCACTTCTCCCACTTCTTTAGGCATGAACTGTAAATATTAATATTAAATACTGATTTCTGTATTAAAACTTCCTGCCCAGTTTGGAGCTCCTTTTACTCAGTGCATTTTGTGCTCAGGTCCCAGACTCCTGCAGATGTCCTGATCGTAGCCGAGGCAAACAGCCCATTACAGTTCCCCACACAGGGCGTGGAGGTGCGCCCGCTCAAAACTATCATCATCCCAGGTACAGCACAGTCACGGGGGAGTAAGATCTCTCCTCTGAACAAAACTACCCTCTGAACAATCAAACTAATGATGTTTATCTCACAGGTCTGGCCTTACACGACAGCCCCAGAGACCACTACACAGTAAGTTACTCATCTTTCTGTTCTATGAGACTTACTTCCTCATTTGTTGTTGATGAATCTTACTGACACATCCCCTCATTAAAAAAATAAAGTTGATTATTAAAGTTAAAGTTGATATTTTACGCACAAGATAATGTGAAATTAAGAATGCTACACATGTTAGGGTGTGTTCACATAAGCAAAACAGCACATTAAAATGTGTGAACGCACCCTTAATAACTAATTCTTTGGCTTAATGGTGACTTATTTGTCCCAGGTAAACTTAACTGCATCTCTGGGAACTCTGAATGTGGCGGCGGAGGTGGAGGGCGTGAGGTTAAAGGGTGATGGAGAGAGTCGCATGACCATAACAAGCTCCGCCCTCAACACTTTAAACCGACAGCTGCAGTTTGTGACGTACACAAACACACTGTTTCACCCCAGCACGGCTGATACAGGTGAGGACTCCAGCAGAGAGAGAGTAGTTTTTTTACATTAAAATTAACAATGAACTTAATTACTTTTTGCTTTGCTTTGAACTAAAACATAGCAAAAATAACCACAATTAAAAGGGCACTGCTTAAGTATAAAAAAAAATCATAAAATTAAGGGTTGCCTGTGTCATAGTCTGCTATGAGAGTGTTCTACATGTATGTCTGTGGTAGAATGGTCAGCAGTAAACATGGAGACACAATGCACACATTAGTCAAAACTGTCAAAAAAAGTTTAAAGAAAAAAATACAAAATGGATTTAAACAAATAATTTTCAGAAGCCTGTGATCAATACAAGCACACATAGTCCCTTTTTTTTGTATTCGTTTTCATATTTATGACAAAAAATAAAAGAAACATTATGACAAACAACCACATTAATAAAGCTCTTTGCAATGTCACAGTCTATTAAAATACAGTCAATTCAGCAGAACTGTTGTTTTGCTCTGGGTGATGTGTACTTTAGAGATCAAGCCTCTCAAATGCAGCAGTCTCTGTCATCAGTCTAATCCAATCCTCAGTCTGTGGTTTGTGGGGGCTTTTCCAGACCCTTTCCAGACCCAATTATTCTGACTGCCACAATAAAGTCACCACAAACCTGTACATTGTACATTTCCATTTAATTTAATTAAGAGTCCAGGGAGCATGAGACACTTATCTCCCAGAAGATGGCAACACTGGGATAGGTAGGCCAATCCACATTTTCAAATTTTTAATAACATCCCATGGTGTCATCAAATGAAGACACCATGGGACATTCCCACAAAACCTGAAGATATGTACCAATATCAGATTTACATTTCCAGTAGTAGGTGTTTGATTTTCAACAAAAATGGTGAGTGTGACTAACTGGAAAACGGCTAGCTTGTGATTTGTGTCAGCTGCTAGCTTGTCGCTTGTGTAATTTTATGTGTGAGAGACTTGTTTAACAGCACAGCTCATCTGTTTTAATTCCAGACTAGTCACTTCTTTCAGGTCAGATTGTGTTAAAATAAAGCTCAGGTTCAAGTCCTAACAGAACTTCAGATAACACACCCACAGGGAATGTTGATGACATTAGCTGAAAAGTGTTTTTGGTTGAGCCCAGATAGTTTCTTTCTGGTCCCCCATCCTTTACCACACACTTAATACATTTAGTTAGGTACATCCCATCTACTCATTAACTATGTTTCCACCCATATAAAATGCACATACTAAAATAGGCTTTAGTTTCTCTGTTCCCTAATGATAATACACAGAAGAAAAGGACCATTTGTTCTACATTTAAAACCTGTTATTTTTATTTCATATGTTTTAGTGCAATTTGAAACAAACCGACATCAAGCCTCATTTGTCATAAAAATCCGTCATGGTACAACTCCTAAACTCTACAACACTGGATCAAAACAAGGTAAAATTAACTAAAATAAGTCAAAAAATTATAAACAAAACAAAACAAAATAACAGCAACATTAAAGCAACCCTAATTCTTTTCCCTGTCTCTCTTTAGAGTATAATGTGAGTGCCCTGGTGACCATTGCCACAAAAACGTTCCTTCGTTACGACAAACTTCAGGATTTGATTGACAGCATTCGCAAGTATTACCCCACAGTTACCATAGTGATTGCTGATGACAGTGAGCACCCCAAAAGCATCTCGGGACCCTACATTGAGCATTACATCATGCCCTTCGGAAAGGTGAGGGAGAGATTTTGGTCTCACTTTAGTCATTTAAGCTGGGTTTAGGCTGGATGTAGACCTGATATGGTCCTGTCTCCTGTTCTCCTGGTTTAGTCTAGTCCAGATTTTGTTATAGGCTTAGTCTCAGTTTCATCCCAATTTATTGTTGTTCTTGAACTGTTTTTGCAACACTAGAATGACCCATTATGGGACAAATAATGGTTGTATTATTTAATCTTATTTAATACAACTGCAGTGAGCACAACAAGTATGAGAATCAAACAATAAAAATGCACATGTAAGATGAACAGTAGAAAACCATGTGGGAGTGGTAGAAGCCAAAAAGGTTATTGAAGACAGAAAGTAAAAAGTAGGAAAAAGCTGGTCAACAAAATCAACTAATAAACTAACAAAACTGTTCACAACATCTACTGTAGATTAACAATTTTGATTGCAAGACATTTCACCCAAGTTGCGTAGTTTCAAAGTGGTATGTGTGTGCTGGTCATAGGGGCCAATGGCGCAGCGTGAAGTGATGGGCCAAAGCACAGTGTAGTTAATATACTAACTTGTACACTGACATTTGTTGTATATTTCAGGGCTGGTTTGCTGGTAGAAACCTGGCAGTGTCACAGGTCACCACTAAGTATGTTCTGTGGGTGGATGACGACTTCATCTTCACAGCAAACACCAAACTGGAGAGACTTGTGGATGTTTTAGAGAGGACTACACTGGATCTGGTGAGTCAACTGTGTGTGTGTGTGTGTGTGTGTGTGTACATAATATTAGGCTACATTAATATTCATTGTGCCCTTACATGCATAAGAACATAATAATTCTCCCTGTCTTTATGTGTGTATGTATGTGCCTGTGTGTGAACTTAGTTGTTTTTTTGTTTTGTTTTTACTAATTTTGATTTTGTTCATACTTTTCCTTCCTGGTTGGGCATGAGCAGCACATAGTTAAATCCATTGTTACAACTGTTACCTAGCAACTTAATGTTAAAGGATCAAAACTTGTCTAAATTGTTATGACTAGACTAATAAAATAGACACCTTGATTTTGTTAAAGGAAGGTAACTGCCAAAAAAATGCCTTCCTTGAGCATAAACTGTTCCTGCATTTTGAGTGGAATTTTCCGTGTTGATGACAAAGGTGTACATTTCTTCTCATAATTTTCCTTAACTGATGTAAAACTATGATAAATATTGATCACAAGTACTATTCCAAGAAACCAAGTCATAATTAGAAAAAACACAAAAAACTGTTATATGAACTTTAAATGTTGTAGGCTTATTATTTTTGAAACATAGATATTAAACCACTACACTGGCACTCAGATTTACAGTTTGCATACACATCAACAATAGCATCACCATTCCCTGTTCATACGATATAATTTACGTGTTTTCGTGTCTGTTTCTTATATCTGTTCAGGTGGGCGGAGCAGTGCGAGAGGCCACTGGTTACACTGCCACCTACAGGCAGACCATCTCCATTGAACCAGGGGAGGAGGAAGGGGACTGTCTGCACATGAGAAGAGGGTATCATCACGTCATTGAGGGGTTTCCAAACTGCGTGGTCACAGATGGAGTCATAAACTTCTTTTTGGCTCGAACCGATAAAGTCCAACAGGTTGGATTTGACCCCAGACTGGCCCGAGTCGCACATTTAGGTCAGTGTCAGGCTTCAGAAGGATTATATCTATATTTGAGTGGGATCTGTACACTTGAGTGATTCTTAATAATTGAGAGAGTGCCTGATTTATTTGACTGTAAATGTTAAAGGAGCACTATGTGACATTTTGGGCATAGGGTCCACTACTTACTTGGTGTGGAACGTTTCATAGTACGGTGTTAAGCTTATCCATCTCCAAGTAGAGTAGTAGGTGATGCCACCAAACGGATGAGCCCACTGAGTTATTTTGGAGCCGTACATGTTCTGTAAAAGATATATTTTGCCATACTGTGGAACATTTCCAGTTTGGTATCTGAACTTATTTCTAATGACACAATATTTATAGATATACTTAACTCTGCCACTTGCTTGTTTCCATGGAGAAATGTTATCTCTTAACCTTTAATGTTCCACAATATGGTATGAAATTAAATTAACTGTATCACCAAAAAAAAAAATCCAATCCCACCGCCACGTCTTCCGAGGAGGAGGCCGAGGCTGGGGACTCGGAGGCGGACTCATCCATCACCCTGGCTGAAGTCACTGAGGTGGTTGGAAAGCTCCTTGGTGGCAAGGCTCCGGGGTTGGATGAGATCCGTCCTGAGTACCTTAAGTCTCTGGATGTTGCACGGGCTGTCTTGGCTGACACGCCTCTTCAACATCGTGTGGCGGTCGGGGACAGTACCTCTGGACTGGCAAACCGGGGTGGTGGTCCCTCTGTATAAGAAGGGGGACCGGAGGGTGTGCTCCAACTATAGGGGGATCACACTCCTCAGCCTTCCTGGTAAGGTCTATGCCAGAGTACTGGAGAGGAGAATCCGGCCGATAGTCCAACCTCGGATCCAGGAAAAGCAGTGTGGTTTTTGTCCTGGCCATGGAACACTGGACCAGCTCTACACTCTCCATCGGGTGCTCGAGGGTTCATGGGAGTTTGCCCAACCAGTCCACATGTGCTTTGTGGACTTGGAGAAGGCATTCGACCGTGTCCCTCGTGATGTCCTGTGGGGGGTGCTCTGGGAGTATGGGGTCCGGGGCACTTTGCTAAGGGCTGTCCGGTCCCTGTATGACCGGAGCAGGAGCTGTGTTCGCATTGCAAGTCAGACCTGTTCCCGGTGCATGTTGGATTCCACCAGGGCTGCCCTTTGTCACCGGTTCTGTTCATTGTGTTTATGGACAGAATTCTAGGCACAGTCAGGGGCCAGAGGGGGGCCGGTTTGGGGACCACAGGATCTCATCTCTGCTGTTTGCGGATGATGTTGTCCTGTTGGCTTCATCGAACCAGGACCTGCAATGTGCACTGGGGCGGTTTGCAGCCGAGTGTGAAGCGGCTGGGATGAAGATCAGCTCTTCTAAGTCTGAGGCCATGGTTCTCGACCGGAAAAAGGTGGCTTGCCCTCTCTGGGTGGGTGGGGAGTCTTTGCCTCAAGTGGAGGAGTTCAAGTATCTCGGGGTCTTGTTCACGAGTGAGGGAAGGATGGAACGTGAGATTGACAGGCGGATCGGTGCAGCTTCGGCAGTGATGCGGTCGGTATCGGACCGTTGTGGTGAAGAGGGAGCTGAGCCGAAAGGCGAAGCTCTCGATTTACCGGTCAGTCTTCGTTCCTACTCTCACCTATGGTCATGAGCTCTGGGTAGTGAGCGAAAGGACGAGATCGCTTGAAATGAGTTTCCTCCGCAGGGTGGCTGAGCGGTCCCTTAGAGATAGGGTGAGGAGCTCAGTCACACGGGAGGAGCTTGGAGTAGAGCCGCTGATCCTCCACGTCGAGAGGAGCCAGTTGAGATGGCTCGGGCATCTGTTCCGGATGCCCACCGGGATGAGGCCCCGGGGAAGACCCAGGACACGCTGGAAGGACTATGTCTCTCGGCTGGCCTGGGAACACCTCGGGGTCCCCCCGGAGGAGCTGGAGGACGTGTCTGGAGTGAAGGAAGTCTGGGAGTCCCTGCTTAGGCTGCTGCCCCCGCGACCCGGCCCCGGATAAGCGGACGAAAATGGATGGATGGATGGATGGACCAAAAAAAAACAAAAAAAAACCCATTCTTATTGTGAGTGTGTAACTATGCTTAGACTGCTGCCCCCGTGACCCGGCCCCAGATAAGCGAAGGAAAATGGATAGATGGATGTGAGCAGGGTCGCCTCCACAGATATGACCTGTTATCCACCTGGTAGCGCCACATGCTTGTCTCCATGGAATTAGGTATGAATCATTCCATACAGAGGAAAATTACAAGCAGTGCAGTAACATCTCCATGGAGCCAAGCAGGGGGAAGACCCTTCACAAAAGGTCAAATAGTGCTGCTTTAAATCTAGATTTGAGTTCAATAAAATAATGGCCGCAAGTTAACAAATTGCGGTCTTAGATTTTAACTATAATGCAACAAATTTTAGAATAGAGCATTTAGAAAAATATTGCCCTTGATTTTGTTTTCCAGAGTTCTTCATAGACGGCCTTGGCTCCCTTCACGTCGGCTCCTGTGATGACGTCATTGTGAATCACGCCACCAAAATCCGACTGCCCTGGGTCAGCCAATCAGAGAGCGACAAAACCTATGCCAAGTTCCGCTATCCTCCCGCTTCCTCGGATGCCACACAGACCAAGAATGGATTGCTGTATTTTAAAAATCGCTTTCAATGTTTGACTCATAACTAAGACCCCACCCCACCGCTGTCATCTTGAATTCTTCTGCTCTTCCTCAGTTGCCAAAGAAGATTTTTGTGTACAACCATTCGCAGCAGACACCTTTGTTTTTCTGGAAAATCACAATATGTAGCTGGGTTAAAATGACTTGATAGCAATCTTAATTGAGTAGATCGGTGGATCGGTTATAATTTATCTACTCAAATGAGTTATTTCATCAAATTAAGAATATGTGTAACTAGGTATTTGCTGATACCCAATATTAGCCAATATCAGTGTAGGAACTGAAAACGTTTTTTTTCCCCTGAAAACACAATTTATTGAATACAAAATGGATCCACATGTTATGTAACTGTTATTTGTTCTGCAAGTAACTACTGAGCAAGTTTGTAAAAAGTAAAAAAAAAAATTGAAACATTATGAGATGTTCTGGGTCTACAGCAGATAGCAGGAGACAGCCAAACCAAGACATCAGTTGAATCGATATCATGAAACTGATACCTGATCCAGCAAATAGTTGATACTTTTATCAGTATTGGTACAAGCCTACTAATAATTCTATTCTACTGAAAAGTCTATTTTTCTTTTTTCTTTCTTTAATAATCATAATTTATGATTATTAAATAGTATATTGAAACAAGTAAGAACTATTTTGAACTAATCTAGACCAAACTACTCAAATCAAGATTATTATTCTGAAGTCATATATTTTAACTCATCTAGAAATGTCATTTTTTGCAGTACTTTGCAGTCTCATTATCATGAAAAATGTCCGTGCTTTTTGTGGTGACCCAGAATTCCCTCATTATCTTGTATGAACTGTCAGGCTCAAATTAAGGAGCTGGACTAACAAATCATGTTTACATAGATTTTTTAAGCATCTGTCTAGTTCACATCGAGACAGGACCTTGAGGGATTGAAATAAATGTAAAAGAGGCTATTTTTTTTTTTTGAGACAGGACTATGTGTTGCAAAGTTCTTTAAGACTTATGTTTATAATATTTATTTTAGAGTTGTTTTTAAAGGTGCACTATGTAACTTTTTGGCTATAGTGTTCATCACCTCCTTGACTCCATGTAGATGTTTATACATACGCACGGGATGTTTTACAGTATGGCATTAAACTTGTCTATCTCTGTGTAGACAAGCAAGAGATGCCAGAAGACCAATTTAAAGGTCAGATCTGTGGAGAGGCAAACCTGGTCAGGGTAAGAATGTATGATTGTCAAGGTAATTTTGAGCTAGAAAAACAGCAGTAATTAAATAAATACTAAATAGATATGTTTTAATATCATACTGTGGAACATTCCAGGCAAAGCAATAACATCTCCAGGCTGGTGACCCTAAACTAAAAAGTTAAAATTGTGAACTTTTAGATTATGGGTAGACTTATTATTATATGTAGACAAGTTTCCGATAATGATTTGATTTAATTTAATTTAATAATTTAATGAAGTGTCAGTCAGATGGCAGCTGATTACAAAAACACAAATAGAAATGAAATTGTGTCAGGAATTTATAATTTTATCATTTTGAGTGTTAAATCAAAAGGTGCATTTATTTTTAGACCTGGTTTAGGCCTGGTTTGGATCAAGTTTACATTTTACACCAATTTTGTTGTTTAATTACTTACTTTGATTACATTTGTAAAGATTCAAGTTTGAAGTTAATTTTTTAAGCAAAATTTGGGTCTCAATGTCCAACTAAGCGAGGAGTTTTACTATGTTGTCCATTATGTCATATCTGTGCGCTATGGCAAGGATATTCTCCATATTCGTCTTGAAACTACTTTTTGTTGACCCCCAGTGCTCATTTTCTGCTGTCTGGCACTTCACTTTCTTCTCACAGTGTTACAACTAAGGAGGTGATCAAAAAGACTTCAAAAAGAGACTACATTTTATATAAAAACTGCCTTGAAGAAATATGGGACGAACCAAAGTGCATGTTTAAGCTTATGGACGGAAGGGAGCCGAGCATGAACGCTGTTTGGACTTTGTGGAGACTGCGATAACTTTTGCCTGAGGTTGATACGCTTTTTTTTATACCATTGGCCACTAGAGGGCGCCCTTCTACCACTCTATTCTTTTTCCTTTTATAGTTTCTAGTATTAGTAATGAGGTGCCACATGTATTTATTGATTTTTTAAAAAGGGAAATATTTCTTGTGAGTTTTGTGCATCTGATTATTTATTACTTTGTTAAAATCAAAAGTAGCTCTCGGGATGTGTGTTATAATATCATATACTAAAAGTAAGGTGACATTTTGTAATTGGTTTTTCAAACTATTAACTTAACACTTAAAACAAAAACAACAACAATATTTTCATTTAAATTTGAGGACTACATTAAATTACTCAATGACAGTAAGTGTCATTGAGTATGTGAGTTTGAATGGGCAAATAAAGAATACTGGAAATCTGTTGTTGACATTCATTACTTATTTTATTTACTATAGCAAAAGAAAATTTAATTCTGAACTACAACATCAGCCTCTCCAGCTCTAGTCCTACAACCTGGTACAGTGCATCTCTCCTGTTAACATTTAATGTATAATTGTGTGTTGTCCCTGTCTCGTTAAATAAAAAAAACTAAACTTCTGTCAACTGGACAAACGTTTTGGAATGAAAACGTTTTGATGTTTGTCCAGATGATAGAATTGAAATTTCTTTTGCTATGGAACCTACCTAGATGACTGAGAGATTACACACATTTTATTTACTGTAACAATTTTTAAGAATGTTTATCTTGCATTTAAAGATGTACTATGTAACATTTCTAGTGGAGGATCTGCAACATGCTTGCCTCCATGAGATGGTTTTACTCTCTGAGGAAAGACAAATTTGCACACAATAGAACTGCATGTGGAGTAATAATGGTTATTTAATAAAATGCTATACTGTGGGACATTTTCGGCAAAATAAAAAATACATGTACTGTTTTGATTGAGGTTTCATCAGGGTTAAAGGTGTACTTGCTTGTCTCTGTAAAGATACTGCTTTGACCAAATGTTCCACAATATGGCAGTATACTTGTATCTCTATGGGAAGATGCCACCAGGTTAAGTTACAGGTCAGACATTCCAAGCGAGTAGACAGTATAATGATCCTTGTCCATTAGAAGGTGCTGCTGTCAGTGAAATATAGCTTCCGGTATTTTAGCCTTATAAAATGTTCACTATCTGAGACTCAAATCAACATTAAAAAAAATAAAATGAAGAAAAGTATTATTTATAGTCCTGTTGTCAGATGCACACCCCTGTGTAAGTCTAGAGCATTGCGTCACTGTCCTTGTGAATGTGTTTTACCTCGATAACACAGAAACAATGGCGGAGCTAAAACGGGAAACCAAAAGGGAAAACTTGACTAACTGTAACTCAGTGGGGCTCTCACTTTAACCTGTCTGCAAACGTGATCTACAGTTCAAACATAATGCAAGGATACAGTCATTTAAGGACTTAGGAAAAATAGAGAGAGGTAAAAAGAGAGGTAGTTGGATTTTCTGAAGAGAAGATGCTGGGAGGTCCCATAAGAAAACATTTAAAGTGGGACTAAATAAAGTATGGAAAGAGATCAATTTAAATTCAAAAACTCTAAATTGCGCTCAAATGATTCATATACAGACATTTTTGTATTTACATTGTCTTACTTTGCACTTAAACATGTAATGCATTTAGTCACATATTAAGAAACTCAATCAATGTACTGCTTTTATAGACCTTTAATATTACCACTTTACCAAACCCACACATGACAAAAGAATATCCACTGAATTCAAAACAAGGACAAATAGTGAAAATAAAAGTGAGGAATCTGAACGTGACTTGGGGCACGGGAGAATCCGGAGATGAAACCACTCAGTTTGTGTCCACAGATTGCTGCCGGTGCATTGTCCCGCTTTGAAAAGTGTCTTCCTGGAAACTAGTGGTTGTATCCTGCCAAAACAAATAAAGAATGAATAACTGTTACTCTATATTGAAAACAATGGCTCATTAAAAAGTTATACAAAGTCATACTTTGTAAAAACGGTTTGATCTTTTTATATAGAGATTAAAAAAAAGTAATAAATATATACACTTTGACAATGTATATATTTTCATATTTATTAATAACTTTGTTATTTCTGTGTATAAATCAGTGTACTTACAGGTACAGGAGGGCTGTCTGAATATTTATTTGCTGTTGAAATTCTCAATACTATAACACATCAGAAAAACAGAACCACTCTGCTAGTTTGGATCTATTGGAGGTTAAGAAGCATGTATATACTTGTATAAATGGATATAGCTAGCTTGCTAGCCAGAGCGTTCCAAATGAAGTAAACATCAATTCCGTCTCCAATTCACTTTGTATTGACTCTGTCGCCCCTCTCTCTGTAACTGCTGCTGACAGACTCCTCATTTTGTTCTTAAAATGTTTGCATTAACCAGCTCTACTTGATCCTGGTGTTTTTATTTTGCTATTTTGTCTGTAAATTAATTCCTTTTCCTAATATGGAACTGGCTCCAATTTCAGCCCATAACTGCTAACCTCTGTGAACTTCATTTGGCTGGAGCCAAATGCTATGGTAACATCAAACTCACTTAGTCTTCTTCTCTATAGAGTCTATGATAATAACCTCATATTAACTTACACACCTGTCCTGAAGGTGGGAGTCCACTGAAAGCTGCTGGAAACATTTTATCTGAAGCAGAGAGCGACCGATGGGCTTCACAGGGGGTCGAAATCTAAAAAATAAAATAAAAGGCAACAATGAAAACAATTTATTATAAATGTTTTTTGTATTTTATATTTATTATGCTGAGGATGCATTCATTTTATATAGAGCTGTTCCAGACACTCAAAGTTTCTTTAAGTCTGAGCATTATTCATTCACTCCACACTCCGTGGTGTTGAGCTCCTATAAAAGCCACAGGTCCCCTGGAGCACACTGACAGAATCGAGGCTGCCAATCTGCACAAATATCTTCAACACTCTTCCATCCGAATTCTAACTGGGCTTTGCTTTTGTTACCTGAGAAATCAGGCTTATACAAGAAGGTTTTTATGATCCTCCTTAACTCATCAACTAACTAAGTTCGTTAAACAGAACAGTCAGGTCCTGAACCTTTTTTAACTAAGGAGAGTACCAAACATACGTGGAACCCTTTGAACTAGTGATCGGAAAATGAAGCTTCATGAAGCATTGAAGCCTTTCATCCAATTGGTTCACTCTAGCGCAAAGCTTCTTGAAGCTTCATTTGCTCTAGCAGGACATCTACTGGACACAAAAATATCAGTTGCCATGAATTTGAAGTGTGTGACATTTTGCAGAAAGCCTGTGAATAAAACTGTCAGCAAAATAAAGAAGTATGCAAAACATGTATATTGTAGTGATGGCAGTGTCCTGTGTATCTATATACTGGCAGTATGGAAAATGATTATTTGGAAATGATGAAAATGGAAATCGCAGCAAAATCCGAACCACTTCCTGAATCAGTCACGTGGTACAGCCGGGCAGCGAGGCTTTGGACGTCATCATTTTCAGCTCCTCCCCTAAATGGAGCAAGCCTTGATACGCGCATCGCGGAAACGCCCCCTCCCTACTCGGCACACGCTTCGAAGCCTCGATACGGAATGTCACATCACTACTTTGAACAGGATACTCTTTAACATTTTGAATGCTCGTAAGTCCTTACAGCAGGACAGTAAACGTACTGCACTCACTGTTTTATTGGCAGGGCAGTGCTGTTGTGGATGCAGAGTGGGAAGAGAGGTGTTGTAGAACAGGAGGCTCTGGTGGCGCTCCATAGAGCCGGAAGAGTGAGGTCTGAGCTCTGAGGCTGAGGCCGTCTGAGGCTTCGAACTCCGCCCCAAACTGCATGACTTCCCCTCACGACGCTGGTACTCTATCGGGGACTGCAGTGCTGGATAAAGAGAGGGAGATAAAAATATATCCAATGTAACAAGTGTAGATTAGAGGTGAGAATCAATAAAATATTAATTAATCAATTAGCAAATTAATTGCAGTTAATCACATCATAACTTTTTCATATATAAGGAATGTATGTAATTTAAACTGAAATGTTTTGTGAACTGTTTAATTTAGTTTAAGGTTTAAAGATAGCAAGTATCAAGAAAAGAGGGCAGGTGGCATAAGATTGCTCTTCTTACAAATTTTTCGTATGTTTTATTTTTTAACACTCTTGATGGGTTCCATATTTTTTTAGATAAATAAATAAACAGATTCTGTGGTTGAAATCTGCATGAATCTTCTACCATTGAGAAAGTTCCTCTGTGTTTCCAATATCTGCACAACGTCATTTCTCCAGGCCCTCTGCACCTCTGCGGACGGAGCAGCCATGATGAACCGCGTCACTGAGCCATTTGTGCCGCGCGATGTCAGCACCAAACAGCAGGGGTCCTCGTCTGACAGATGCTCCACACCCAAACAGCTCACCTGAAACAGAAACAGTATGCATAGGCCTAGTGTTAGATGTCTCATACTCAAACCTAAATACTGCTATTGATATTGAAACTGAAAAAATACATAACGGCATCTCTAATTTATTTATTTTTTTAAATTATTTTTTTAAATAAACTGTGAATACTAATGTTTAAAGCACTGCGTAAGTGAACTTGGACAGGGACCCAATAAGACAGTTAATGGTTAGACCAAAACAAAACCTTTAACCTACTTAACCCATATCTTAACTTGAAATTCTGTCATCGATCTAATAATAATATATTTACATACTCTCAGTTCATGGGGACCTGATTTTGTCACCATGAAAATCTCTTTAGTGTTAGTTTTAGGATGATTGTTTGTGTTTTGATTTGTTTATATTATGATTTTAATAATATCTTTCTTATTCTGTAAAGCACTTTGAATGACTTTGTGAACTAATTGTGCAATACAAATAAACTTGCCTTGCCTACACAGATTTTGGTTCCCACAAAGTGATAAATAACCACCTACAGACCATATTCACACATAGAGAAGGTAGGTGAAGTGTCTTACCCAAGGACACAATGACAGTATGCACAGACTGGCGCTAGGATCAAACCACTAACTTTGGGACTGATGGGTGAAAATTCTAACCACTGACTGACTCCTGTCCCCATGTGACTTTTCCTATATTCAAATATTCTTATAATCTGAAGTAAGCACGCTAGTTTATACCTTGATACTGTTCTTGAATGTGTACCCGGTCAGAGACAGACCCTTTTTCTTGTCGATGGGTTCGCTGAAGATGACAAGTTGCTCAAACAGAAACACCCTCCTCTCTCTGCTCCGGTTCAGGACAGCCCCCTCCAGTTCCTCCGTCACTGAGAACGTGTCCTGCTGGAGGAGTTTACCCTGAGCTGTGATCTTACCCTGAAAAGAGATACAAACACAGGGCTGAAGCTTATGAAATTTCTTGGACAAAACAATAAAGCACACAAAAAATATATTGTTGTGTTGGGGTGTGCAAGTAATTTGATTTTAATAAAGATAAGGGTTCAGTCATTTCTTATCGTCAATGATCATCTTGGGTCTTTTTAATCTACAGCCAATCCTTTGTTGGTTAAAGCATGTGGTTCAGACTTTGGAGGAATTTTGTTAACTGCCTGCATCTAATTATAAAGTGTTTTATCGTCTTATCAGGATCAGGTATCAGGAAGTGCACTGTTGGCATGTTAGTTGTTGTTAGCATTACCGTGATGGCAAAACTCCACTCTAGTCACTGAAAGTTGTTGGGAAAAGTGCTTATAATTTCATCACAGTCAAAAATTAGGATGCTTGGAATGCATAAGATAAGTAAGGAATAACTTTGGACCATTACAAACTATTTAAAATGAACTCAATCTGTTTTTTACATTTTTAAGATAATAAAAATCAGCTCCTTTAAAGTCTGGATTGTATTTCATTTTAACAAATAGCAGATTTGTATTTTTGAAAAATGTCTATGCGACATTTTGGAACAATTGGGCATTGTCCAGAATTAGATTTTTTAAATAATAATTACAAGAATGTATATAATGTGGTCTGGGTGGAGATATGGGGTAGGAGAAAATTGTTCAATGCAGGACAATACAAGGTTACCCAAACATGCATGATTCAACTGAAATACAAATGAGAAAACTAATGATGAGTGATGACAAATGCATGATTAAAAGCTTATAAATACGATCCTGCCCCACAGACTCAGGGACATCATCCATACTAGTGAAACCGCACATTTATTCCTGGACACTGCTCTTGTTCATTGTTCTTCTGGTGAAATCATTTCCTCCTCACCTCAAACCCCTGCAGCCGACCCACGTTCATCATGTCATTACAGCGTTTGGGGACGAAACACGTCACCTCCACAGCTCTCTTCAAGACAACAGGTGGTAATAGACACATACAGATACAGAACACTACTTTCATGTAACTCAGCAATCTTACATTTAGTCAATAACAAGTCTTTTCTCCTTTATTTTGTTTATTTATATTGTTTATTGTATGCTGAAAAATGTCTTATTATTAGCGACTCAATAGATCTGACCAGTAACATGATCTGGTTATTGTGTCCATGGAGATAAATCAAGTCTAATGCCATATAGTGGAACATTCAAGGCAAAGCAATAACACAGTAACATCTTCATGAAGACAAGCACGTGGCAGACCCTCTACCAAAAATGGTAAATAGAGTAGCTTTAAAGGACATATTGTGGAACAATTTTTTGACTGTGCTTCCAATTGCATTCAGAATTACAGTAAATTCTGTTTTTTGGCATTAAATCAGTTCTTAAACAGACCTGTAGCTGCTCAACATTTCTTCCTGCTTTGCTGTAGTATTTCAGAAAATCCTAAAAAAGAAAAAAGTAATAGTAAGAGTTAGTTCAAGTGAAATGTCCTTTATGGTTATAGTACATAGTTATAGTCACTACAGGTGTTGTGAAGTTTACCTTGAGCAATAGTTGATATTTCATAATCCTCTGAACAGGTTTGATGAGGAGGTCGTTCAACTGCAGCCTGTGACCAAGCTGCTGCCTTAAATCCTGATGAAAAAATCAAAAAAAAAATCAAGTAATACATCAGCATTGAAAACACAATGAGACGTAAATAAATAATGTATAAAAAATCCATAAATGTAAAAACTTAACACATTTGACAAATCCCTCACCTCAAAGAAGGTCTCGATAAACTCTGAGACAATGTATTCAGACTTGGGTTTGTTTTGACAGTAGACAACGTACATGTGGAGACGTCTCTCCTGCAAAATGATTGAGATTATTTAATATATACACAAATGTATGTTGTGGCAATTCAGATTGTGGGAAACTGAATAAAAATTTGATCTAATCCTAATGTGTCAATTGGACAAGTTGGAGAAATGGTTATATGGTTAATTATGCAGTTCTTTTTTTTCTTTTTTTTGGTGGATTTTAGCCCTGTGCATTCAAGATGATATTGTAGCCTCCAGTAAAATAGTTGAGTTCAAATATAGCAGAAAATATCAATTTACTGTAAGATAAATAGAAGTTCAGATTGCATTACGAAAGTATTTTTTTGTAATTGGACTTTTATTTAACCAGAAAAATCCTATTGCGTTTCAAAGATTTCTTTTCAATGGAGTCCTGTCCAAGAGGCATCAACACTACAATCCATAGACAAAACATTTCATATAAAACATTGTTATAGATAGACAAAACTAAATATTAGAGTCACAATTTTAGCTTTGGTGCCTCACTGACAGTCTTCTGTTGTTTTCCATGTTTTAATTAAGTGCTTGTCTCTGCAGTGGGGGAAGAGCAGTTTGTCTTTTTGCACTACATCTTAACTCAGTGTTTCTCATCATGGGTTATTTTTGTGTTTGGCCTTTGACTGAACTTTGGGGGCTCTGAATGAAGAACGAATGACTTTAGCTGCCAAATATGGAAAACATATATAAATCTGTTTCCAAGCAGAATATTTGACCTTCAGAAAAGTCCTCAATTATGATCTCTGCTCGTGCAAAAACATTTTACTCCTACAATGAGTCTGACCATGTTTTAAAATGGACATCACATTTTATGAGCTTTTAATTGTGTTATAAAAATGTTCCTTCATCATTAGCTTACTTAAAGTTGTATTACAATTGATTCAGGCAAGCATTTAAGGCTTGCACTGAGAATATGACAGTTTTTACCTACCCCCTATCCCCGCCCCGTGCTCTGTATTTACTTGTGATTAGTCAAGAAATTCAGACTCAGACAAGTAAATTAAATTTGCTGTGTGTTAAATTAAATTTAGAGAAGACAGTAGATCAGGTAGAAGAGGGAGAGAGAGCGAGAAAGAGAACACGGGGTAGTCCCACACTTGGTTTTATACAGGTGGTACAAAGGTATGTACACAGGTCATCATGACATAAATAATGAGGGGAGGACTGGACAGTGAGGGGGTGCACCTAAGAGAGGAATGCCAGTTTCAGTGGAAACGTACTGACTGAAATGGGCCAGATAATAACAGTAAATATGTTTAAGGACATGTTGAAATATATTTTATAATGCTACTACATACTATGAGGGGAAGGGCCTCTCAGAATTTTGAACAGATAGTCAATGGACCTGTTTCTAACATTAAGCCATTTCAGATCAGAATATTGCAGTTTACAATGAACAAAATATAAACTAATAATTTATGTATGATAGATAAGGCCAATCTGAGTCTGGTAGTGTGAGCAGGGGTGGGTTGTCTGCCAAAAAAGTGAGTTTTGTTAATCCTACCTGTCACTCATGTTTATGCAGAATAAGACAGGATATTTTGTTGATTTGCTAATTGCATTGGGATTACAATTTTAATTTTGATATTATGTTATTTTCTATGTTATAATGTTGTTTCCTCATCAAAAACAGACCTGGAGGTAGCTATTAACATGAACATCACTAGGTGGAACAGAGTATTTTGAGCTTTGGAAATGCAGACAGATTAAAAATAATGTTTTATTATTATTAGTCTGTCTATATGTATGAATCAAACAAAACACAACTCTGTTTCTGATGACATTATGTGATTATAGTATAGCTATAAAATCACAAGAGTCAATTTTGTGAAAGATAGGACCTTTAATCTTACATCTCTATAAAACACAAATAAATCCACAATAATTTTCCCGTGAGCGAGTATATACAAGTGGCAGGATATAACGTCACAAACAGCAGTGTGTTTATAGACTCAGACCTTTTGTCCAAACTCCAAATCTAAACAGTATCTTCTCATTGACACTTACATGTTTAATGAAGAGCTGCGCCAAAGAATCGGGTTCAGACACACACTTCTCCAACTCTCCCAGGAAGTAACTGCAACACACAACACCGCCACCGGGGGCAGAGTGTCAGGAAGCTCAGGAAAACAAACAATGGTGAGAGCGGAAGTGTTGGAATATGTGGAAGTGGGAATTATGAAACAAACTCACTCTTTGTGCCAATCGTAAATCTGGTGGATGTTTCCAAAGATGATTCTGTCTTTTCCCTTCATTTCTTCAGGAATGCCCTGGTTTGTCATAGCTGTCATGTAGCCCTGCAAAAAAAAAAAAAAAAAAGAACGTTAAAATAGCTGGGACTAAAAGCTTAGACTAAACATGTTCCTGACTCATGGTTTGAAATCAGGTACAAGTTCTTTATGGTGTAGTTATTATAAAATGTTAACAACAATGAATATGAAAAATGTTAAAATCTTGCTTTCAACTTTAAAATCTAACCTCGACAATGAGTCCCAAATCTTCCACATATAATCTTTCGGTCTCAATCAGTTCCGTCAGCACATATCTGCAACGATAAAAGTGTCATAGAAATTTATGTGTGCAGATTCTGAAGTGGTTTCCTTCCTCTTAGTCACTCACAGGCTTTTCTCATACGCTGCTGCTCGGGCCTCCTCTGTATCTGCCGGAGAGGAACACTGGTTTGAAATATCGTCATTCTCCGAGCTGTTGTTTTCACCTGGCAACGCGGAGAGGCTGGTGTGGCCCTAAAACACAGAACAGTGATTACATGATTACACAAGAGTATGCGTGCGAGTATTCATGACATTGCTGGGACTATGCATGGGTTGATATAGAACGTTTGCGTCACAATTATAATGATTAAGGATAAGTATTTAAACTTCTGTCAGTAATGTAAAATGGATTAAAAATAAGAATAGTCACTTAACACTACTTAATAAGTGGCAGTGGTCACATGTGCACTCAAAATCTGATTAATAAATTTTTTTTTAGAGTTATAGCATGGTATATGGCCGTTTTTGAGAGAGAGACAGAGAGCAAGAGAGACAGAGAGCAAGAGAGACAGAGAGAGAGAGAGAGAGAGAGAGAGAGAGAGAGAGAGAGAGAGAGAGAGAGAGAGAGAGAGAGAGAGAGAGAGAGAGAGAGAGAGAGAGAGAGAGAGAGAGAGAGAGAGAGAGAGAGAGAGAGAGAGAGAGAGAGAGAGAGAGAGAGAGAGAGAGAGAGAGAGAGAGAGAGAGAGAGAGAGAGAGAGAGAGATACATTATTGATCCTGTGGGAAATTCAAGTTTGGCTATCTGGCTTACACACTGAGCAGTTTTTGTAACCTTGTTTTTTGAGCTCAGTTTTTAATATCAAGAAGTGCATCATGTGCAATTTAAAGGGACTGTGTGAAATGAAACATTTGTTTTTGCTTGATCCATGGAGATAAGGAGCTAGCTATGGACTTTTGAAATTCTATATGCCTTTTACACCAAATGTGACAGCAAATGGGGCAGAAGACCTTCAGAGGAAATCCTCCAAGACTTTCCAGAGAGAATGAACCATGTCATCACCAACCGAAACTAGAAAAAGTAAGAGTAAGAACAAGGCCTTTCCTGTTGTGTTCACCTGATTCTCCTCAAACTGCCCTGACACAGATCTGCTGACCCTACCTGACCAGTTCTTCTGTTCAGTGGATAGTCAAGGTCAGTTAAATACAATCAGCCAATGAACCTGCCCAGGGACTACAGGTGGAAATTAGCACTGGTGCTAGTGGCTGACACTTCATCCTCATTGCTTAGTATGAAAGTGGTGCATGCGTGAGTGATGGTGGTGGTCGGAGGGACTGTTGGTGTCGATTGCCATGGCAGCCACTCCTATGCCAGTCGCCCCAGGGCCGCTGTGGCTACAACAGTAGTTTACCATCACCAGGTATAGAGTGAATGAATAATATGCTGAATGTAATGCTCTGTAAAAGCGTCTCTGTGACAAAAATGTCTGTGAAAAGTGCTATATAAATAAAGACTTACTTACTTACTTACTTACTTAAACTGCATTGTGACCTTTGACTGAGACACAAAGGTGAGTAACTGAGAAGTATAGTGTAAATGTTGGTGTAAAACTGCAACAAAACTTGAATTTCCCTTGGGATCAATAAAGTATCTCTCCCTCTCTTATAAGATTATTTAAATGGAATGTAAAAAAAACAAATGACCTAATTTTCTTTCTGGTTCGCAGTTTACACATCATTTAAAGTTCTTATATTGTGCAAAATTAACTTTTGTGAGCTTTATGCCTATCTACATCTTCAAAGATAAAATGCTCTGTTCCACCTTGTGATGTCATGAAGCAGTAGTTTTCAAGTTAAAAGCTACCTTTTACATTTTATTCAGGAGAGATTGGCAATTCCAGGGCTGAGATCATCCAAATGACTCTAGTAACAGTGTATGAAGTTTAAAAACACAGTGGAGCACATCCTGTATTACCACATGACATTGCAAGGTGGAAGGTGAAGTGTTTTCCATATGAGAGAAGAACTCACCCTAAATATGCAGGATTTGCACGTGAAACATGTGAATGAAACAAAACACAACTATATGTATGCATAAGTTCCTCTTTCTACTCACTCTGGTGGTATAATTGTGATGGTCTTTGTTGACAATTACACTAAATCTACAGCAACTGCTCTATACTTTTAATTGCAATAAACTTAAACAATATTTAAAACTGTACTGTGTGTGGTCTTAACCAACTGTAGCACTTTGAGATTTGTTTTTCAAAGTCCAGAATAATTAAAAATCTATTATCTGAATCACTAAACCAGGGACCAAACTCTAAACCTTAAAATACAAATTAAGCCAGGGCCAAACAGGGCCAAACCAGGGCTAAATCAATACAAACCTTGGATTAACCAAATGGAAATAACATTAAAATGAACTTTACAATTTTATTTGACATAGTAATTTTGCTCAACAAGATGTAATAACTGTTGACATTGCATCTATCATTTTAATGTTTAGGTTGGTAATTGTGGGTTTGTAAGAAAAAGTAGGCGGTATAGAAAGACAGGAAAAAGTCATTAGTTTAAAATATTGCTGATGCCGAAGAACATAATGTTACATTAAATCCACCAAGTAAAATTACATTAATAAGCACTTTTTGGGGGGAAAGTTGGAAATATGTTGTATAATCATAGTATTAAAGGTCATATACCCAATTTAGTTAACAGTTGCTTCTCTCATTCTGATGCTGAACCAAAGAAACAAGTATCTTGAATAAGCTCAGGCAGATGTTTCCACATAGTTCTCATTCAACAAGGTATCTAATTTGATAAAATGAAGTACCACACTGTTGCTACTTCATTGTTCCCATCCAATAAAATCTCAATTACAATGCATATTAGGCAGTATTAACGGTCTCATATATTAGAAGAAATAAAAAATGAGGTACAGGCCTTTCAGTAGCTTTGGATCAATGATAGATAAATTTGAGTATATGAGTAAAAATAAAAGATAACACCTTTATTTTGTTACACTAATGCTAAAACATGTTATTCCTCATCTAACTTGTCCCTGCATTGTCCCTCATCACTCCTTCCTGTATTCTGTTCTTTTATCCTCCACTTTTTTCCACAAACTGCCACTCAACTGATGTAAAACTATAAATATTGACCACCGGAACAATCCCACTAAACCAAGTAATAAGTAGAAAAACATGAAAACAAGTCACTTTAAAAGCCTATCTTTGCCACATTTTGCCTCACCAACATAAGACCAACCCTCTTCCTCTCTGCTTATATAACTATCACCTAAAGATCAGGTCTAATGTGAATTTGCCTATAATCCTTTGGATTTAGCTTCATCTGGCCACATCATGTTCCCTCTGCTCTGTAATCCCAAACGCTTTCTGGGTCAAAAACGAACCAAGTGTTTATTATTTTACTGCTTTCTCTCCAGGTCAGATTTTTTAATGACATTTCTTCGCTGCTCTACTCCCCGACAGTGGAAACTATGCAGGAATAATAATAACTTTCATGTCATAAAAGTAGGTTAGCAGGTAAAAAGTGGGGTCTTGTCTAGTCATTCTGGTATGATGATGTTTATGCATGTCTTCCACATTGGCCTCATTTTTAAACATGAACATGTATGTCCCATACAGATTTTTATAGTGGCACAACCATTTCTCATTTTAATAATTTTACTTGATATATGTGTGTATATATATATATATATATATATATATATATATATATATATATATATATATATATATATATATATATATATATATATATATATATATATATTAGTGCTGTCACGTGATTACAAAAATTGAGAGATTAATTCATTATGATCTGTAATTAATTAATCTAATTAATCTCTTTTTAATCTCACCTAAAAATTGCTGAGAAAAGCCTTCAATTTGAGGTATTTTCATTTAAATTCATTATTACATTATTGTGGCAGATCAAAAGACTGATATAGAACAAAAAAAAGTGACTTTATAAAGTCATTTATTGTTTAACAAACTTTAATAGATGCAGTCACTTACATTCCACAGTATCATCATTATTATTACTATTACTAATCTGCAGTGTTGGGAAGGTTACTTTTAAAATGTATTCCTTACAGATTACAGATTACATATCCCAAAATGTAGTTTGTAACTTAATCCATTTAATTACTTAAAGTGAGTAACGTAATTTGAATACTTTGGATTACTTGATATTGTCATGCTTTTTAAAACTACATGAATGTAGCAACCGCATCCTGCAAATGTTGTTCTTGTTTGTTCTCTTCAAATTGGTTGTTGAGCCCAAGTCTCCATGAATAAGAAACTGTTTGCTGTAAAGTAGCAAAGACTAGGAAATCTGAACATAATAACTTTTGTCTACTTAAAGACAATAAAAAGTCCAGTCTTTCCTTAACCATATTAAAAATATTATTGATAGAGAAATGCTTTATATATGAGATCACTGGTTTTAGTCCTTGTTTAGACCTGCTTTAGTTCTAGTTTAGTCCTGGAATGGGTTAGTCCTGGTTTTAGTCCTGGTGTTAGTCCTGGTTTAGTCCTGGTTTAGACCTGGTTTAGACCTGGTTTAGACCTGGTTTTAGTTCTGGTTTTAGTTCTGGTTTAGTCCTGGTTTAGACCTGGTTTTAGTTCTGGTTTAGTCCTGGTTTAGACCTGGTTTTAGTTCTGGTTTTAGTTCTGGTTTTAGTTCTGGTTTAGTCCTGGTATAGTCCTGGTTTAGACCTGGTTTTAGTTCTGGTTTAGTCCTGGTTTAGTCCTGGACTGGGTTAGTCCCTTTTTTAGTCTTGGTGTTAGTTCTGGTTTAGAGGTTCACAGGAGGAAGCGCGGTTTATGCAGCGTACGCGAGAAAACGCACACGGCGCACGGGAGGACAGCGGTGTCCGCGCAGTAACTATGGAAGGAAACGTGGTCCGTGCATTCTCAGGTTAATGACGATGATGAAGGTGTATGTTTGTGTTTGTTTGTGTTTGTGTGCGTGTCCCCTCATGTGGCAGGTCACTATAGGACAGTAGTGCAGACATCATGAGTCCTATGCAGGTTGTTTTCACCAGTGGCATTTAAGTTGTAGGCGATTTTATATTTGTTATTTTCTTTTATATTTCACGTCGGGAGAATAATTTCCAAGACACGAATGTGTTTTTACCTGTGCACTGCTGGCTCTGTTCTACTGGCTCTTCGACCTCGTCCATTTGGCGACTGACGCCACCAACGTTAACATGACGTTTACATCGCTCTTACTGCGCGCATTTTGTGTGGGTTTCCGGCAATGAGTGGAATTACCGAAATAAAAATTTTTATAAATGTGTTCTTTTTTGTGTGTGTGTTGTTGTCCCAACAACACATAAAAACAGATATTATAATAAAGCAAGTTGCATACAGAAACAGTAAAGTCAGAGATTAAAAATGAGATTAACGCGATTAAAAAACATGACGCGCTAAATATGACTGTAATTAATTAATCGCAATTAACGCGATAATTTGACACCCCTATATATATATATATATATATATATATATATATATATATATTATATTTTTTTTTTTTATTCTGGGAGGAGTAAAATGTAACTTGTTGCCCCTATTTAATCCTAAAGCTATCTAGTTAGTTGTTTTCATGACTTTTAATGTTAAAGATGCACTATGTAACTTGTGGGGTGGGGTCTACCTGTTTGTCTAATTGGAGATTGTATTTGGCAGGAAAATTTCCATAATATGGCATTAGACATCTTATCTATTTAGCATTTATTCAATCACACATTGCTCAAAAATATGTAAATCAGGTCACCTTTCTACACATCTGACCTGTAACTTGTCCTGGTGGAGTCACCTGCTTGTCTCTGTGAAGGTAGATAGGTGTAATGTCATACTATGGGATATTCAGGGCAAGTAATGTAAGTAATTGCAAACTTGCATATCTCCATGGAGACAAGCAATAAATATACTTTCCTGTATTTTTATTCATGAAGCCCAAACATGAAGAGATTAAGACTGTGTTCACCTTGTCCACATGCAAAATTGGGTCTAAACAGGGACTAAACTAGGAACTAAACTTGAATTAGACCAGGACAAAACCAGGACTAGAGCAAGCCCAAACCAAGTCTACAACAGGACCAAACAGGGATCAAACCAGTGAAGTGAACATAGCCTATAGTATCATATAGTTTTATACAAGGGTTACAAAGCCTAAACATTATAAGGTCTCTTTACGTCTACTCATCTCATTGAGGTCCTCAGTCTCTCACCTTTGGCCCTGACCCAGTTCAGTCTTTTCTTGATCAACAACAGATGCTCCGCCATTAGAGAAATGTGAACTATGCAACTGCTACTACAGCCACTGTCACTCCTGCTGGTCAATAATATCACTTTAGTATTGTATTTAGTATTTAGTACAATTCTACAACAATTATTACTGCTACTCCTTCAACTACTACTCTGACTACTACTACTACTTCTCCTACTATTGCTACTATTGTTATTACTACTACTCCTGCTGCTGTGGCTGCTGCTGCTACTACTATTACTACTACTACTACTACTGCTACTACTACTGCTACTGCTACTACTTCTACTACTACTACTATTGAAAATCTTGAAATCATAATTACAAACTATGAAATTGATGGGTAGCTTTTTCAGTTTGAATTAAGTAACTATGGTAATTAAAAGTGGGTACGTACAAAATTTAATCATTGTTTAGAAGTTTTGTGAAATGATTTTTTTGCACATCATTTGACACTTGGACTTCTACTAAGACATTTAGAAGGATGATTTATCACATCTATAGGTTAGCAAACATATAAAAAACATATTTTCATAGATTGATACAAACAAAAAAACAAGATTAAGATGAAAAGTGACATTACTGGGCTGTCTGTGGCTGTTCCCTGCAGGATGTCGCTGAAGTAGTTTTGACCTGGTGTTTGTGTGGGAGAAGGAGAGGCAGGACTCAATGAACCGTCTTTAAACATCTGAGAAAAACAAGAAACAAGAAAGTCACATAAGAGTCTCAAAGGAATTAGTTTAGCAATATCTACAAGAAGTAGATGGCAGACCATATTACACTTTTATGGGGTATTAACTGGCAACACATATAACACACATAATTAGATAACCATGTTACCTTTTATTGTTTTGACAAAACAATACATTAACATGTGTAATAACTTTCCCATTCATTTATGATGCACTGGAATTACTCAAACATGCATGGATGACATAAAAAAACAATTCAGGCATGTTTTTGATGAGGAAACAACGTTCAGTGTAGAAACTGTAGAAAACTCAAACACCCCCTCTTGAAAGCAACACAGCGTAACATTCTGGACATGACACCTGCGCGATTCAATGAAAATAGTTAAATTAAATACTTTTAAATATTATCCCTGGAGATATATAGTTTCATGTCATACTTTGGAATATTATAGCCAAAGCAACAACATTACAATGGAGGAAAGCAGGTGAAAGCCCTCCAAGCCAAATAAAAGTGAGGTTTGTGGAGACGCAATCCTGCTCACAGTAAGAACCCTTATTAATCTAGTTATCTATTTTTCTGGCTAAAAAGGCTTTAAAGTTGGTAATACAGGTCATTGGCTCTATACTGTCTTCTTACCATGTCGCCAGATGGCATGATGACTGACTGGTTATGTTTTTGTTTTGGCGTCTTCTCCTCTTCTTTCAGGCTTGTCTGTTTAACCAGGTTCCCGGCCCGGCCCTCTGTGCTGAGCTTTCGGATGGGATTAGAGAGCCACTTCTTCAGGGTGTTGACAGGGCTGCGTGTGCCCCCAGAGAGAGACTGAGAGCAGGGACTGGAGCTGCCCGAGGTCTGCTGAGGAGCGGAGGGGGTCATACTACCATCACTGCCCGCAACAGAGTACGATTCTGCAAGAAAGACACCAGTCATAGGTGAACATAACTAAAGATCCACCAATATGTTTTTTTTTTCATGAGCAATGATGATACTATTTGTTTAGAATCCAGAGAAACTGATGGCTGATAAGCTCTGCCGATATTTTTGGGGCGATTTTATTATTTTCCCCAAATTCTGCAATTAAACTGTACTACAAACTCACCCACAGTCCTTTTTTTATCATAAACCTGTAAGAGAGCAGTGTAGCTATGCTAAGTGCAATTATCTCTAACACTACATCATTTGAATACAACTTTATGTAAATTCTTTAAGCAGCAGGGTGGCAAAAATCAAATACTGGCCTATGCTGGGTATTTTAGGCCGATAGCCAACTGATATATACACACCAGGCTTATCTCAAAACATAAGTAGTGCTGTAGGCCTTTAATTGCTTAGTCAATTAAGTGGTTAACCAAAATTAGTCAACCAAAATTTGTATTATTCAACCAATGATTTAGATAAGAATAATAATTTAGATTCTAAAGATTTATAAGAAACAGCAGAAAGGAGAAGTTAGTGAAGAATTAAACTTGTGACTCACAAGTTCTGTCTATATAAATACATTGTTTCCTAATGCTTTTTTCTGTATAAACAGTTGTTTTTGCATGAACTCTTGTGCTAGAGTACATAGAGCTATGTAATAGTTTTGAGAGCTTTTGTCACACTGCCTTTTTAGTCAACTGATCAATCGGCAGGACATGTTTTTAGTTGACCAAGAATTGATTTAGTCGACTACAGTTTGAAACATAACATTACCTACTGAAGTCAATTAATCTACATTATAAAACACAGTGAATAATTAGGATGCTTTGAATGCATAAGGTGAGTAAAGAATGACTTTAGACCACTGTAAACAGTTCAGAATGAACTAGTTCTGTTTTTCATGGTTTTTAAAACAGTAAATTTCAGGTACAGTGCCTTTAATGAGCGTTTTGTGTTTGTTGCACATCTGAACATCTGTATTTGGTCTGGCCTAATTCTGCACCTCTGGGCCACATCTGCATTTTGTTTAGTTTCTCCCAAGTGGAAATATTAAAACCCCATTTGAACCGCACTGTTTTAATCAAATCCTACATTTCTCTGTATCTTCTGCTGATGGAAACACAGTGGATACTTTCAGAGGAGCAGAGGTTTTACCCAGAAGTCTGTGGTCTTCTTCTGTCAGCACATTTACATAAACCACAATATTACCAAGATGCTGGTAATATGTAGGTCAGTGCTCAGAGAACTGTCTCATGGAGATTAGACAGAGAAAAAGAGAGTGAAAAATTAGGTCTTCTTTCTAATGTTTGTTGTACACTGTAATGTACTGTTACTTCAAAGTACTACTAAACTACAGCCAATTACTTTGCGCTGCAAGATTTTGAGGAAAAAATCTAACTGCGATATGAGTTTGGTAATTTATCAGCTTTTATCAGTCTTCACTAATAGTCAGTGATAATCTTGGGCCTTTTTAATAGAGAGGTCTACAGCTACTCACCAGTCAATAAAAGCATGTGGTGTGGAGCAGAGTTCAGACTTTAGCAAAAAATTTATTATTTTTTTGTTTAAATATTTAAATGGCAATGATTTTGAACTTTGAAAACACTGTCAAACACACACTCTTACGGTGGAACCATTTGTATTCCCTCTCTTGGTTGCCTCAGTTTGGTTTTAAACATGAGTCTTTCCTGACAGCCATAAGCCTCTGTCTCTCTCTGCACCTGAGGTTAATACACCACAGCTCCATCAAATCAACACAATGATTAGGGCTTATGTAACAGAGCAACAGAGCAACCTACCCAGTGGGCACAAATGATTATAGTTANAAGTGAAGCTGCAAATTTGCGATAGTAACTCTTCTCCCTTTTTACTTTATTGCCAATCTTTTCTTTAAAAATCATGTATCTGTAATATTGCACCACATTTCACAAATAATAACACAGTTTTGACTTGTATCTAAACTAGAAGTGCAGAGCTCTGATCTTTTGAACACTTAAGAGTTTCAATGCGAGTTGTTTTAAATGCTGATGTGTCCGAGTCCGACCTGAGCCCGTTGGACTTCGGTTGGGTTTCCATGCTCTAGGTCCAACTTTATTCCTCACTGGCCTAAAGCATTCCGGGCATCCTAATTATTTACTGTGATGAGTTTATAATCTCTCTATACAACTGTCAGGGAACAAAGCAGAGTTTTGCTTTCACGATAATGCAAGACTAATGTCAACTAGCATTCTAATAGTGCACTTCCTGGTTCACAGATGATGAGAATGCCGTATAAATAGATATAGACAGTGCAAAATTCCAATGTGTCTGTACTGGAGCAAAACTAATATTGCTTTATTGCATGAAAAACTGTACAGTCCCTTTAAGACAAACATAAACAATAGATTTGACACATTTGTTTCTGTTTTGTAGATAAAAGAACAGGAAAACAAGACTCACTCAAACTGGGTAAGTGTCTTGATAAAAAAAAAAAAAGAAAGAAAAAAAGCACAAATTTAAATAACACAATTTGAATTACTTTTTGTTTTTTTGGTAGATAACTGCAAGAAATGCTGAACGGGCTCTCAACCAGGAGAAGGTGGAAGCATCAAAACTACGAGAAAAGTGAGTGGGACATAATTCTATCCAATAAATTAGGGCAAAAGTAGTTTCCAGTTTTTATCAATATTTGTCAGAATAGTTGGGACAATGTTGTAGTTTACAGTTCCCTTTGTTAACAGAAGTTTTATTAGGAGTTTGGGCATGTTCAAATGAATAGTAGTGTATATATATGCTCTATGTATTTTTCTATAGTGGTGGGTCCGACACGTATTTTATTGTTAGATTTGTTTACTTTGCCTAAAAAGTAAAACTGAAAGATTTGGAGAGGGGGAAATCTATCCTTCTGATAAGCATTACGATTAGATTTGCTAATTATAGGGTTCTGTTCAAAGTTCACATTTTCAGCTTTCACCAGAGGAATTGGCAAAAAGACTGAAATAAGAACTGTAAAATCTAACACAATAATCACATTTGAGAACATGTTTGTACAGATCTAAACTACAGTGTTATCAGTTTTTACGTAGAATAAGACAGGAGATTTTGTTTGTGGAGGAAATAATGATACTTCAAAAATTTTATAGTTTTGCATAAACTATCAATAACATTTTTTTTTTCTGAATAAATGCATAGTGTAACAAAAAAAATCATCTTTTCAATAAACATGATTTCAATATTGATCAAAATAATCATAATCATGATTTTTTCCATAATCGATTGCTGTGGGCAGGGTTGCCTCTCCACAAAGCTGATCTGTAACTTTGCATAGTGCTGTCACCTACTGGATGGATAAATATAGATTGATCATGCGGCATTTTAATTATACTTTATGTAAATGCTAAACCTTTATTTTTTCCTTTTAGATTGACACTACTCACAACACAGCTGAACGAAAAGCGCGCCCCTCTCTTCAGACCAAACTCGGGGCAGTTCGCTGGACCTCGTCAGGGTAAGAACTTTTATTACTCTATTTTCTGATCGATTTATAATACAGTTTCCTCATCACAAACAGACCTGGAGGTGTGTTTTGTTTCATTCACACATGTTTAACACACAAACCCTGCGTATTTAGGCAGACTTCCACCTTCTGATATCATGTGGTAATACAAGAAGTGCTCCCCTAAACTCCATACACCTTCACTGGAATCATTTGGATCATTTTAGCCCTGGAATTGCCAATCTCTACTGAACTAAAGGTAAAAGGAGCTGTTAACTTGAAAAACTATGACTACATGATATCATAAGGTGGTGTTTGATGAGGTAACTGCATTATAACATGGCTCAAAGCGTAAAATTTGGGTGATATTGGACCTTAAACGAAATTATTCCAGCATTATGTTTCTTTTCAAATGGTTTGCTCCCGGTAAAGCCCACACCGAGGACCTCCTTTGGCATGTTAAGTGCGAACTGCTTTGTGTGCTTTGTGTAAACTGGCTGGTTCTGGTTACGACAGGTGATTCCTACGGACCGTCTCCTGTGAGTGGGGGAGCACCGTCTCCTCCGATCATGATCGAGGGACCCAGGCGCCCTCCCTCCGCCCCGGTGGGTCGCAAAATAGACCAGTATGGTGAGTTCCGGGTCTTTCTTCACTGGCTGCTGGACCTCCTCCCTGATCCTCCCTGATCCAAGTCACTTCCTCTACTTCTTTAATTTCCTCTTGCATCCCTCTTTTCACTTCTTCTTTTCAGATTTTTGTTTTAAGTTACGTCATGTTTTGTTGTAGCATCGCAGCCCGTCTTCACTGTATGTTCTCTTCTTCCTATGTTGTTCCTCTGTCCCTTTTCTCTTTCACGGGTTGACACTATAATCTGTGGTTCCATTACAAAAAAAAAAAGACTATTGTTACATTTACTTTAGCATAATACGGTGTTTTTTGTGGTGTACAGGCCCCAGACCTCCGTCAGATCCACACGGACGTTACGCTGACAACAAGCACATGTCTGGAATGGGTATGTCACTTCATATTTTTTGTTTTGAGTTTAAAGGGGGGTATTATGCTAAATTGACTTTTTGGAGCTTTTTACTGTGTTATAATGTTCTCTCATCAAAAACAAGCCTTAAGAGTTTTTATGTAGCTTATGTCACTTCAGAAACCTGATGTGATGTGCAGTGGTGTAGTCGGGATTTTTAAAAATGTTTTAAACAAGGACTGAACCAGGTCTAAATCAGGACTAAACCAGGTCTAAATTAGGGCTGAACCAGGACTGAACCAGGACTGAACCAGGACTGAACCAGGTCTAAACCAGGACTAAACCAGGACTAAACCGGGTCTAAATTAGGACTAAACTAGGTCTAAATCAGGACTAAATCAGGAGTAAACTAGGACTAATCTTGGACTTGAGAGAGGGAGAACCCTGAGACCGTGGTGCAGAGTATCCGCAAAGCCGCGACTGGGCAATGGCTGCAGAGCTCTGCACCGGTCCTTTCGCCTGCAGTCACCCGACGGTCTATGCGGGTGCACCTCAGGGCCTCTCCCGACACTCAGTCCTGGTTCAGTCTTGGTTCAATCCTGGTCCCTCATGTGGCAGGTCACTATAGGACAGTAGTGCAGACATCATGAGTCTATGCAGGTTGTTTTCACCAGTGGCATTTAAGTTGTAGGCGATTTTATATTTGTTATTTTCTTTTATATTTCACGTCGGGAGAATAATTTCCAAGACACGAATGTGTTTTTACCTGTGCACTGCTGGCTCTGTTCTACTGGCTCTTCGACCTCGTCCATTTGGCGACTGACGCCACCAACGTTAACATGACGTTTACATCGCTCTTACTGCGCGCATTTTGTGTGGGTTTCCGGCAATGAGTGGAATTACCGAAATAAAATTTTTTATAAATGTGTTCTTTTTGTGTGTGTGTTGTTGTCCCAACAACACATAAAAACAGATATTATAATAAAGCAAGTTGCATACAGAAACAGTAAAGTCAGAGATTAAAAATGAGATTAACGCGATTAAAAAACATGACGCGCTAAATATGACTGTAATTAATTAATCGCAATTAACGCGATAATTTGACACCCCTATATATATATATATATATATATATATATATATATATATTTTTTTTTTTTTTTTTTTTTATTCTGGGAGGAGTAAAATGTAACTTGTTGCCCCTATTTAATCCTAAAGCTATCTAGTTAGTTGTTTTCATGACTTTTAATGTTAAAGATGCACTATGTAACTTGTGGGGTGGGGTCTACCTGTTTGTCTAATTGGAGATTGTATTTGGCAGGAAAATTTCCATAATATGGCATTAGACATCTTATCTATTTAGCATTTATTCAATCACACATTGCTCAAAAATATGTAAATCAGGTCACCTTTCTACACATCTGACCTGTAACTTGTCCTGGTGGAGTCACCTGCTTGTCTCTGTGAAGGTAGATAGGTGTAATGTCATACTATGGGATATTCAGGGCAAGTAATGTAAGTAATTGCAAACTTGCATATCTCCATGGAGACAAGCAATAAATATACTTTCCTGTATTTTTATTCATGAAGCCCAAACATGAAGAGATTAAGACTGTGTTCACCTTGTCCACATGCAAAATTGGGTCTAAACAGGGACTAAACTAGGAACTAAACTTGAATTAGACCAGGACAAAACCAGGACTAGAGCAAGCCCAAACCAAGTCTACAACAGGACCAAACAGGGATCAAACCAGTGAAGTGAACATAGCCTATAGTATCATATAGTTTTATACAAGGGTTACAAAGCCTAAACATTATAAGGTCTCTTTACGTCTACTCATCTCATTGAGGTCCTCAGTCTCTCACCTTTGGCCCTGACCCAGTTCAGTCTTTTCTTGATCAACAACAGATGCTCCGCCATTAGAGAAATGTGAACTATGCAACTGCTACTACAGCCACTGTCACTCCTGCTGGTCAATAATATCACTTTAGTATTGTATTTAGTATTTAGTACAATTCTACAACAATTATTACTGCTACTCCTTCAACTACTACTCTGACTACTACTACTACTTCTCCTACTATTGCTACTATTGTTATTACTACTACTCCTGCTGCTGTGGCTGCTGCTGCTACTACTATTACTACTACTACTACTACTGCTACTACTACTGCTACTGCTACTACTTCTACTACTACTACTATTGAAAATCTTGAAATCATAATTACAAACTATGAAATTGATGGGTAGCTTTTTCAGTTTGAATTAAGTAACTATGGTAATTAAAAGTGGGTACGTACAAAATTTAATCATTGTTTAGAAGTTTTGTGAAATGATTTTTTTGCACATCATTTGACACTTGGACTTCTACTAAGACATTTAGAAGGATGATTTATCACATCTATAGGTTAGCAAACATATAAAAAACATATTTTCATAGATTGATACAAACAAAAAAACAAGATTAAGATGAAAAGTGACATTACTGGGCTGTCTGTGGCTGTTCCCTGCAGGATGTCGCTGAAGTAGTTTTGACCTGGTGTTTGTGTGGGAGAAGGAGAGGCAGGACTCAATGAACCGTCTTTAAACATCTGAGAAAAACAAGAAACAAGAAAGTCACATAAGAGTCTCAAAGGAATTAGTTTAGCAATATCTACAAGAAGTAGATGGCAGACCATATTACACTTTTATGGGGTATTAACTGGCAACACATATAACACACATAATTAGATAACCATGTTACCTTTTATTGTTTTGACAAAACAATACATTAACATGTGTAATAACTTTCCCATTCATTTATGATGCACTGGAATTACTCAAACATGCATGGATGACATAAAAAAACAATTCAGGCATGTTTTTGATGAGGAAACAACGTTCAGTGTAGAAACTGTAGAAAACTCAAACACCCCCTCTTGAAAGCAACACAGCGTAACATTCTGGACATGACACCTGCGCGATTCAATGAAAATAGTTAAATTAAATACTTTTAAATATTATCCCTGGAGATATATAGTTTCATGTCATACTTTGGAATATTATAGCCAAAGCAACAACATTACAATGGAGGAAAGCAGGTGAAAGCCCTCCAAGCCAAATAAAAGTGAGGTTTGTGGAGACGCAATCCTGCTCACAGTAAGAACCCTTATTAATCTAGTTATCTATTTTTCTGGCTAAAAAGGCTTTAAAGTTGGTAATACAGGTCATTGGCTCTATACTGTCTTCTTACCATGTCGCCAGATGGCATGATGACTGACTGGTTATGTTTTTGTTTTGGCGTCTTCTCCTCTTCTTTCAGGCTTGTCTGTTTAACCAGGTTCCCGGCCCGGCCCTCTGTGCTGAGCTTTCGGATGGGATTAGAGAGCCACTTCTTCAGGGTGTTGACAGGGCTGCGTGTGCCCCAGAGAGAGACTGAGAGCAGGGACTGGAGCTGCCCGAGGTCTGCTGAGGAGCGGAGGGGGTCATACTACCATCACTGCCCGCAACAGAGTACGATTCTGCAAGAAAGACACCAGTCATAGGTGAACATAACTAAAGATCCACCAATATGTTTTTTTTTTCATGAGCAATGATGATACTATTTGTTTAGAATCCAGAGAAACTGATGGCTGATAAGCTCTGCCGATATTTTTGGGGCGATTTTATTATTTTCCCCAAATTCTGCAATTAAACTGTACTACAAACTCACCCACAGTCCTTTTTTATCATAAACCTGTAAGAGAGCAGTGTAGCTATGCTAAGTGCAATTATCTCTAACACTACATCATTTGAATACAACTTTATGTAAATTCTTTAAGCAGCAGGGTGGCAAAAATCAAATACTGGCCTATGCTGGGTATTTTAGGCCGATAGCCAACTGATATATACACACCAGCTTATCTCAAAACATAAGTAGTGCTGTAGGCCTTTAATTGCTTAGTCAATTAAGTGGTTAACCAAAATTAGTCAACCAAAATTTGTATTATTCAACCAATGATTTAGATAAGAATAATAATTTAGATTCTAAAGATTTATAAGAAACAGCAGAAAGGAGAAGTTAGTGAAGAATTAAACTTGTGACTCACAAGTTCTGTCTATATAAATACATTGTTTCCTAATGCTTTTTTCTGTATAAACAGTTGTTTTTGCATGAACTCTTGTGCTAGAGTACATAGAGCTATGTAATAGTTTTGAGAGCTTTTGTCACACTGCCTTTTTAGTCAACTGATCAATCGGCAGGACATGTTTTTAGTTGACCAAGAATTGATTTAGTCGACTACAGTTTGAAACATAACATTACCTACTGAAGTCAATTAATCTACATTATAAACACAGTGAATAATTAGGATGCTTTGAATGCATAAGGTGAGTAAAGAATGACTTTAGACCACTGTAAACAGTTCAGAATGAACTAGTTCTGTTTTTCATGGTTTTTAAAACAGTAAATTTCAGGTACAGTGCCTTTAATGAGCGTTTTGTGTTTGTTGCACATCTGAACATCTGTATTTGGTCTGGCCTAATTCTGCACCTCTGGGCCACATCTGCATTTTGTTTAGTTTCTCCCAAGTGGAAATATTAAAACCCCATTTGAACCGCACTGTTTTAATCAAATCCTACATTTCTCTGTATCTTCTGCTGATGGAAACACAGTGGATACTTTCAGAGGAGCAGAGGTTTTACCCAGAAGTCTGTGGTCTTCTTCTGTCAGCACATTTACATAAACCACAATATTACCAAGATGCTGGTAATATGTAGGTCAGTGCTCAGAGAACTGTCTCATGGAGATTAGACAGAGAAAAAGAGAGTGAAAAATTAGGTCTTCTTTCTAATGTTTGTTGTACACTGTAATGTACTGTTACTTCAAAGTACTACTAAACTACAGCCAATTACTTTGCGCTGCAAGATTTTGAGGAAAAAATCTAACTAACTAGTAGACTAATCAGTCTTCACTAATAGTCAGTGATAATCTTGGGCCTTTTTAATAGAGAGGTCTACAGCTACTCACCAGTCAATAAAAGCATGTGGTGTGGAGCAGAGTTCAGACTTTAGCAAAAAATTATTATTTTTTTGTTTAAATATTTAAATGGCAATGATTTTGAACTTTGAAACACTGTCAAACACACTCTTACGGTGGAACCATTTGTATTCCCTCTCTTGGTTGCCTCAGTTTGGTTTTAAACATGAGTCTTTCCTGACAGCCATAAGCCTCTGTCTCTCTCTGCACCTGAGGTTAATACACCACAGCTCCATCAAATCAACACAATGATTAGGGCTTATGTAACAGAGCAACAGAGCAACCTACCCAGTGGGCACAAATGATTATAGTTAGTTATACTGAACAGGGCATCCTAAATTAAGGTTAAGGTATCGATGGGGTTCTAAAAGACAAAAAATGAGAACTGATGTCATAGCAATGATCAATTTAAAACAAAATGTCCTATCTTCTGAATGGTGATAAATAGTCAAAATAACATAAAACTGAAAACCATTATTTACTATTAATAGAAGAAACTATGATAACCCCTCAATAGTCTAAAATTCTGCCCCATAGTGTGAAAAGAACATGGATTAAAGACAATCTCACTTTGTTGCTCCTTGTATTGTCATTCACATAAAAAGTAACTACACTGATTAAACAGGCTGCTGAAATATGAAATACAGGCAAAAAGTGACATTCAAACTTCACAACCTGTATGAAAGAAAATTAAGAATCTAAAAAGTATTTATACCACCACATTATGAACAAAATTTATAAGAAACTCTAAAAACCCACGAATACTTCAAAAGTGTTCACTGCATTTGAGCCATCCTTCTATGCCGCAGGGGAAATATGTCAGGAGAACAGGATTATCTAATTTAGTGCATAAAGGGGCACTGTAAATGTGAACCTCTGCTTAGAGCCAGGGCTATTGTTGTGTCCTTGGGCAAGACACTTCAAATCTATCAAATTGCAAAGGCTGCTATGTTGTGAAATGCATGGTATTCTTGTATTAATTTATTAGAGAATATTTCAGTCTTCTCTCAAATTTTAATGCTCCCAGAGTTGTTTACTATGCGCACTCTGAACAGAATTATACAATTTAAGCATACAGTATTGCAAATCTAATCCTCACAATTTGATATTTTTCCAGAAATAACTCCAGATGTAATTAAGCTATTTTTATGCATCCCAGTGGCTTCAGCGTCCTCATGCATTGTCAAATAAAATCCAAATGCATATTCAAAACAACTAAGACATTCAAAACATTAATACTGTATATACTGCTCATGTGAACTCTCCAATAACATCTTTTATTTATAAGATCATTGGGGATAATTGCAGCATCTCCACACAGGGCTGTTTTAATTTTCATATTTCACACGTCTATTTACAGAAGCGATTGGTGGAGGAGGAAAAAGGGAAGGGGGGGCTTCATAATCACTACAAAAGCTACAGGAACAGAGCAGGATTTAAGGGTCAGGGTTACAGATGGGAGTGACTGTTCATATTCAACTACAGTCTATGTCAATACTGTAGAGACCGGGAGCACGCTGGGACACACTATGGTGAAGCTAATGGAGTAACAGGACAATGATGGCTCCCTTTAGTAAAAAAAAACCCCAAACTGTCTCTCAAGCTCAGGTATGTGCACCACTGATGATTTGTAGTCTCTGGTACATTGGACACTGGACTGAACATTTTGAGCATTTGTTTTATTTAGTTTTTGCCCTCCTTTGGGTTAATTATTCATTTAGAATTTCCATGGTTTAGTTCCTGGACTGCATAAAGATGTTTTTCAAAGAGATTTGGAGTCAATGGAGCCGGAAGTGCACTCACTTACTCACTTCCTATTTGGAATGTGGCTGCTGTTACAGCCCCAGGCCTCCAGTTCTCTGACTTTTTGGTGTGTGTTGTAATTGGTGGGACGCTTCTACAGCAGGCCAATCCTGCCTCACCTGCAGCCACCTCCACCTATTTGAGAAGATTCCCAAAACCTGTTTGGGGCTGCTGGCCTTTGTGGCCAGTATGACATTTTATGTCTGTGTCTTTTTTGTGCCAGTCACTGATTTGTGTGTGGCACACTAGTTTTTTAGTTGGGACTCAATTCTGTTTGTGGGTTTATGAGAGCTTATTTTGGGACACTTGTGATTTAGTTGTGTGTCATGTGGCCCTTAGTTTAGTCACTTGTTTGTTTTTTATAGACCTAAGTGACCTTTTTTTTTGGCACAAAACTTATTTGTTAATCTTGTTATTTTGTTTCTTAGTTTATTTTGTGTATATATTTTAGAACACTTTTTTTTTTTTTTTGTCTTTTCAAGCCCTGTCCATTACATTATTACTTAATTTATACAATTTTCCACCTTGTTTTTTGTTACTTTCCTGACCCTTGGCTTGGTTGTAACACTACTAGCAGGTTAGCTATGTCCATTTTTATATATAGTCTACAGTTTAGTCTCATTTTAGACCATGTTTAGCCCTAATACAGATCTGATATAGACCAGGTTTAAATCTGGTCATACTGGGAAAGCCAAATATTATCTTAGGTGGCACTTGGAGTCAAAAGTTTGAGAACCACTGGTCTAAAAAGGAAAACAAATCAAACATTGTTGCTGACTGAATTCTTATAATCATATAAAAGTAATTATAGAAAACTATAGATTAGACCAAACATCTTTAAAAAGAAATAAAGCAGTAAATGACAGTATTGTATTGACATTATACACAAATAAATATATGATAAATATAGGATTACAAGATAGCATTTACTTAGGCTTATCCTCCCAGTCCAGCTTACTCCTAACCATGAACCCAACTCAAGGTCCAACTCACTGCTCCAGACAGGTTGCCCAGTTGCATTAAAGGATGGGTCAAATGCAGAAGACCAATTTCCCCAATATACAATAAAGTATAAATTATATATTATTATGTGTGTGTGTACTTACATGGTCCAGGGATACAACAGACAGCCTTTGACAAGAGAGATCACATTCAACCTTACATTCATTCACTTTTGGCTATTTAAAAGTGCACTGTGTATATTTTTTGTATGCCAGCTGTCTGTCTTCATAGACAATGTTCCACAGCATAGCTTTAAATATATCTATCCCAGTGGAGACAAGCAGGTCACTTCACCAGGCAGGCAGAGTTACAGGTCAAATCTGTGAAGAGGTGTCCCCACTCACAGTAAGAATGCATGTTTTTCAAAGATTTTTTTGAACAATAAATGCACCCATAAGGAAATAAATGGAAGATAGATACTTTAATGCCAGTGGAACATTCCAGGCAAAACAATAATGTTTCCATTACCAGAAGGCAGCATACCCTCAACCAGAAAGTTCCATAAAAATATTAGCAGTATTCATATTTGGCATTTTAAACCATACCTGTCATTGTTTCAAAACAGCATCCACATTTACCAAGGAGTTTTCGGGAGAGGTGCACACAGCCACAATCTCTCTGCTTCTTCTGGCCCTTTTTCATAATGTCCCAGACAACATATTACACTCAAATCTATCAAACACTGAAGTCATGGTCCAAAAACCTAATCCTACAAGTCCATATATAATCCAAAATTCAATAGAAAGAAATTCAATCCCATTGTTGGCAGCTATATTCCGGTTAGATTCTGTCGCTGACGTCCCGTAGAGTGGAATAAACAGGAGGATGTGGCTCTGTGGTGGGACAGTGGAGATTAATATGAAGCTGGAGGAGAGGGAGAGACAGGCTAAAGGGGGAGGGGCTAAGATAACATGCTACGCTGACACTAGCATCTGTTTCCTCTGTGTTTGCTCCTGCAGTTTTCTTTTCTGTAGTCTTGAATGAGCAAAGCTTTAAGGTGCACTATGTAACTTTTCTGTCCCCTCGCTTTGTCCCACAGTATGGCATTAAATGCTTCTATTTAGACGTTTGTGGTGTTTTTAATACCTTGAAACCTTGAAAAAAGTGCATTCTTACTGTGAGCAGACTCGCCTCTCCACAGATCTGTGCAGCCAAATCTGCACAGATTTGTGTTGCTGCCTGCTTGTCAACATAAAGATAGTTGAGTTTAATGCAAGATGGTGAATAATAATTAGGATGCTAAGAATGTGTTAAGAAAGTGGTTGGAGGGGTTGATGGTACAGACTGACAGTCTCACTTCTGTCAGGCTACATGAGGGGAGAAGTGGCAACAATAGCTTACCACCCTGAGTGTGATGTGAATGAATAATGTACTGTATGGGTGTCTTGAAAGGTGATATATAAATCCAATGCATCATCATCAAAGTAAGGAATAAGTCTAGGCCTCTGTTTAAAATTAACTACTTCTGCTTTTCATATGTTTAAGACAGTAAAAATCAGGTACAGTGCCTTTTAAAAACAATAAAAACAACAAATGCAGCAAAATACCACATTTAAAGAACTACTGGTCTAAAAGGTTTAAAAAGTGTATTGTTCTTATATTACTGTGTACTTCCACAATGAAGCAAAATAAACATCAACATGTGGAAATGCCCAGCTCTTACTCACGAGAAGGCTCATTTAATCTCAGAGCCAAGATTAGGTATTCATGACAGGATCATGTCCGGAGCACATCTGTCAGACTGACCACATCTGGAGACTTCACCAACGAGAGACTGACACGAAGTCCAACATGGAGAGAGAGGAAGTAACCCTAAATATAAAGCTGCAGGAGAATTAAAGATGGCTTCATAAAAATAATCCCTACTTTAGCCTTTAGAATAACATAAGAAATGGTACTGTAAAAATCTTCAAAATAGCATAAGAAGTAGTACTGTACACAACACAATAACTACATCTTTTTTTATACATCTTTTTCCAGTGAATTATCTCCCGGATTCCAATAATATGCATTTTAAATGCAAAAGAAGATTAAAAGTGCATTATGTAACTTTCCTTGTAGAAGGTCCACCAACTGAAGAATTAAGGTTAGATATTTTTCTAAATCATTCAGCTCTATACAATAATTACATTGTATTATTAACTTCCATGCCACATTAACACTAAGGTTAAGTGGGCGGTGTCTTGGTCAAGGACATCACAACAAACTAGGGAGTTAAGATCAAACTGTCAACTCTATCACCTAAACTAATGATACCTTTTTGTTGTTGATTTCACTAAATATTCAAATTTCACTGTATAACTCATCTACAGATTTATGTAATTTATTCAATGAAATTCCTCCAGAGGAAAAAAAATGTTATTTCAATCCAGTAGCACAGATTACAGTATTTAAAATATCGAGCGTTAAGCTTTTAAAACACAGAAATGATGATCCCAGTGGAAATCCAGGCATCTCAACCCACAATGTTGGATTATTCAACCCGTTTACTTCTAGTATTCTAGCATTTTTCTGTCACGTGCAACAGACAGACACTGCACCAGATCTAAAACAGACTAGGACAGAACATGGTAACATAAACATGGATTGAACCAGGACTTAAAGTGCATATGATAGGTTTTCATGTTTTTTAAATTGTTACTTGGTTTAGTGGGATAGTAAAAAAAATAAAAATAAATCATTGTTCTAATCAGTCAAAGGGCAGTAAAAAAGGTGAAAATGTAGAAAATACAAATAGCTCTACCTACAATATGTCATCAACTCTGAAAATTTCATCCAAAATGCAAAAAACATTTATGTGCAAGGAAAGAATTTTTGTTAGGTTTAGTTTAGTTAAAACATTCATTTAACAAAATGTAAGCAAATGTAGCAAAGTATAAATGTTATTTATTTTTAATTGTCTGCAATTGAGGTTTTGTCTCTTGATAACATTATGGTTGCTAGCTAATAGGCGAAATAACTGCTGCCCATGTCCAACTTGAAGGTAAAATTATACACTCAATAATTTTAGTAAAATCTTAGATATAATGATGTTAATGTTTATGTGAAATGAGTACTCTACCCTTTCATATGTATTTTAACTAGGACCTAAACAAGATGAATGTGTTCACTGTTACTAGACCAGGACCAAACAAGGTCTACATCAGGACTACACTGGGCTCAAACCAGGACCCTAAACTAGGACAAGTGTGAACACAGTTTAAATCAGGACTAAACCAAGGCCAGACTAAGAAGGACTGCAACAGGTTTAAACGAAGATAAGGCAAAGATAACACGTGTCTAGACAAGTTCTCACTCAGGACTTGGTCAGGACTAAACCAAAACAGATAACAATCAAGACCAAAGCCCAAGACCAAAGCCCAAAATCAAGCCGGGACTTAAATCAGATTAAAAACATCATTAAACCATTAAAGAAGGTATAAACCATGTTAAGTCAGTAAACAAGTAGTACTAAATCAACCCAACTGCAGTCATCATTTTCAGTACCAAACTAAACCAGATCTTAAATGTCTATGGCTTTCACCTTCCTGTTATAGGTGACACTTTGAAGACTTGTCACCAATCAAAAGATATAATATTTTGTTTTAAATTGTTAATTGCTATGGCAATGTTCCTAATTTGTCATAAATCCCAAATCCATTGAATAAGTAAATTATTCAAAACCATGAGTGAACCAGTGTTGAACCAGGGCTAAACTAGGTCTAGACAAGGTCTACTCTAAACCAACAATACTAGTTCTAAACCAAGACTAAGTAAGATCTAAACAGGAGTATGCCAAGACTAACTTTGTTCTATTTAGACATAAAAAACCCACTAGGTAAACCAGGACTAAACCAGGACTATACAAGATCTAAACCATTTACATGGCATTTAATAGTGCCATAAATACCAAATGTGTTGCTTTTCCAAATGGCTGTGATGGACTTTTTCCGGAACTTTAACTCCATCCTCATTTCCTGCTCATCAGACAGCAATTTATCCGTTAAATCAGAAACCTTAAAACAAAAATACAAAAAGTAGGTTAGAAAAGCAAAAGAAAGTGAATTGTGTAATGTTTACATGTTCAAATTGGCCAGCTATCTGCAGGACCATCACAGCAGCAGCAGCAAGAGCAGAAGGAGCTTGAGGGGGCTTTTTTTTGGTACAACTTGTGAACTTTGACCTTTAAACTCCACGTCAAAATAAAGAAAGCTAAGGAGTTCTAATCTAAAGAACAGAGGCAGAAGAGTGGGTCAGAACACAAAACTAGGTCATGGGTATGTTGAGTATAGCTTGAATGTGAATGGTCCAGACAGGTTCAGTACATTATTCAGACAACTAAAAATACTATTGGACATCTTGGCAATGTTATTTAATACTGTGTAACAAGAAAACTAAAACCTACATTGCCCTGATCAGAGATGGGTAGAGTCTAAGAAATTACTCAAGTTAGAATAAAAAATGGATTTGGAGAAAATACTACTCCAGTGAGTAACTGGTGAAGCATAACATGATGAAATTATTTAAAGTTAATGTTAGTGGAAGAACAAAATATAAAAAAAATAATAATAATAATTGTATTTTCAAAAGATGATGCAAGATACACAAATGTTCAAATCATTATTGTTAACACAAATCTTTTTTTATTAGTGGATTTAGCTATAGTGAAAAATGTAACCAAAACCTTTACTGAAGCAAGAAAACTGTTATACCATAAAATATATTATTTTAATAGGGGTAAAAGTATGGTATATACCATGGTAATTACTCAGAAAAGTGCAATTTTACTAAAATCACATCAGTCAAGTAAATGTATTGAGAAAAGGTAACTGAGCACTAGATTTCTACAAACACACCACCAGAGAGCGCAGTAATCGACCTGCTGAGAAGGAGCAATGTAAACCAAGCTAAAAACAATAGTTGCTAGCATTGATGCATGCTGTTAGATTTATAAAAAAAATGTAGCAGTTAGTGCATTTAACAGGAACATGTCAGGTGTGTTTGAGTAAACATTTAGTTTTAAGTAGTCTATTCTGGGCCTATTTTTGGTGCTACCTCAGTGCTTTTATCTTATCTGAGGAATTTGTCTGGAGAAGAAACACAAGAATTTGTGGCCACTGAAATGTTCTATATTGTTTCCCAGTCATATTTAATCCAAATCACTAATATTACCTGTAACTAAAACACCATAACAGCCAGTTGTTTGCAAATGAAATATTACAACTGTGGATTACATAAAGTAAATCTGAACAGACTGTATAATGTGAAAAACCAGGAACATTTTACCTAATTGCCCATAATGAAAAAAAAAACTATACTAAAACTACCAATGAAATATTATAAACAAAATAATAACATTATAAAATAAAAATGAACAAAACATTGCACGTATTTATTTGTGGTTTTTCCTACATTTCTAATAACAAATTGCAAAAGTATATTAGTAGAAATACAGTCCTAATTCAACATTTATTGAACGATATAAGGCTAACATCACTTTGTACTAATGATATTTACTATGCAAAACCAAAAGAATGACACAATATAAAGAAAACACACTGGCCATTATTATTCCTTTGATAGTTCATTTAGGTTGAAGCAAAAAATACTATTGTGAAACTGGTTAAAAATATCTTTAAACCAGTCTAAAGATCTAGACACAAGTATATAACATATTAAAATTAGTTGAAACTACTCTAATAACAATGAGCGTACTTACTGATTTTAAGAAATTTTAGCCAAACATACCTTTTTAACAGTGAATAAATTTAAAACTTCACATTTACCTTGCATTTAGTTCACATACCTCCTGTGCTCCCGACGGTCCCAAACTTCTCACTTTTTCCGTCATAAATTCCATAAACTGCTCCGTTCTTCCCTGTACTTTGCCCAGACTCTTCATCTCCACAAAACACCACCTCCTACGACCTACACTTTAAACTCTTTAGGTTTAGTCCCGCTGTGGTCACTCACATTCCTGTTTCGACCTGAAGGAATTTTCTTTACAAATCAATCACCTCTCAAAGACAAAAGGACATTCTATTACAACCTACAAAAAAACAGAACAAAGTTACCTCCAGTGGGCAGTGTCTTCAGGGTCCTAGTTTGACTGCAGACAGATGATGCACTGCAAAAAATGCCTTTTATATTGCCTTTTATATTAATATTGTATTGTATTTTTAAAAACATTCTCTCATGTTTTACTTTTAATGTGTGTGTAGCGCTTGCATTATTAATAAAATGAATAAAATACAATTAATATTATTATTATTATTAAAATGAGTTCAAAGGACTTGAATTAGGAATGTTTGGTCTTGACTCACCATATTCATTTTATCTTGTCTATTAAGAGGAGTTGAGTATAAGATTTTAACATAATCTACTTGTATAAGTCAATTCAACATAAGATATTTATGAACGATGATACACTGCAAAAAAAAAAAAAAACTTTAAATGACTTGAATTAATGTTGTATCCTGACTCGCCATATTCAAGTTAAGATAATCTACATGTATATTTTCATTCACCATAAGATATTTCATTTATGGTCAGTGACTATTTATTTAGTGTAAGTTAAAAGTTAATTATATGGATATTTTTTTACATAACAAAAATTTTTTTGCATAAGTCATATACTCAAACCTATTGACAAAGATACAATTTTCTTTGTTATAAGTTAAGTTATATTTCTGATTGTGTTTTTTTTTCCTAATTTTAAACCAAAAAATAATGCATCTAGAGAAATTATCTTATGGGAAGTAAAATGATGTTTACAGACTGATACTTTCTGTATTTCTTCTACATTCTGTTCAACTGTCTTGAGTTGGATCCTGGGGCATTTCAGTGCAGAGAGGGGGATAACAGAAGAGGAGAGGGGAGAGGAGGGAGGGGTAACTATGTCCAGACAGGACCAGCCTCATCCACACTGTCCCAGAGGCTTGTTTCAGCTGGGGTCATTCCACTTAGTCTGGGAAAAATAAGAAAGACATTTAGCTGTGACGACTCATAATAACTCACTAATTATTAAGCAGTATTAGATATGTAATTAACTTTATCTTAGCTATTTGGACTTAACTTATAACACTGACTGTAACTCATGGATTATCAACACTGGGGCAATCTTGATGACGCTACTTTTAGATTTATACATTTTAGCAACCAAAGCATTTATTGCCTCCGCCAAGGAGGTTATGTTTTTGCCGGCGTTTGTCTGTTTGTTTGTTTGTTTGTCTGTTACCAACATAACTCAAAAAGTTATGGACCGATTTTGATGAAATTTTCAGGATTTGTTGGAAATGTGAAAATTAAGAACTGATTTCATTTTGGGGGTGATCCGGAAGAAATCCTGGATTCTGGATCACTTTTAAATTTTAGTTAACATTGTGGTAAATGGGGCCAAAAATTTTGTTTCTCAATATCTCGGTTAATTATTGACCAAACCCCATGAAATTTGACTCAGGGATGGACAATGGGATCCTCTTTCATATTCCAAAGGCTGATCCGGATCTGATCCAGAAGACTGATTTTATCGCAATTTATATAAAAAATGGGGGTAGTCCTTGGCGGAGGTCTGCACTCTCTGAGTGCTTTTCTAGTTTAAAAATGCAACATCTAACTTTTCTGGGGCAGAGACCACCACCTGCCTGTCTCATGGAGAAGTTATAGCTTTACCTGGAATGTTGCAAACTCTGACATTAAACTTATCTTATCTTGCATTTATTCAATTATAAAAAAATATGTAATTGTAATCTTTTCCACAGATCTGACCTGTATGTAACTTGGCCTGGCGACACTGCCTGCTTGTCTGTATGGAAATAGATGTGTTTAAAGCCATATGTAACATTCCACACAAAGCAACATCTACTCCAGATAATAATTAACAATTATCCAAACAGTAAATTATTATGTTAGTAATCAACTGTCAGAAATTATGCCATTAAATTTTTATAGCCACAGTTCTCATTAGTCATTTATTTTTCAAAAAACATAATGCAAGAGTAAGAGTAGAACAGTATGGTGGAACTAAACTGTAGTCTAAAGTCTACACATCCAACATCTCCCTCTAGTGGTCAATAAGAGAACTACAGAACTATAACCTCTTGCTTCCTGAGGCCAAACAAAGGATGGGATTAAGTGGCTTGGTTTACGTTTGTTTGTAGTCAATTAATACGTTTATATTTATATAATCAGCTTTCACGTGACATTTAATAGAAATACAACTAATTTTTTTGCAATTTTCACACATATACCTATGGCGAGATTTAGAAAAAAAATAGTTTAAAGGCGCACTATACAACTTCTCTAAAAGAGGGATACCACCTCCTTGGACTAAAAAATTACATAATGCAAGTTATTTTACCTTTTTGTGCAAATTCTATCTGATATATTTTGTTTTTTATACTTGGTATATGACATTAAAAGGTAAAAAGTTTGTCGCTACTGGTGGTGAAAGTAGATAATAAGAAAAAATAAGTATCTTGCTCAAGGACACAATGGCAATTTCTGGTTTGTGGGCAAAAACTTGGCCACCACCATCAAATGTCCTGTAAATTAATAAATGCATGATAGATGTTTAATGCCTTATACTGTGGAATATTTCAGACAAAGCAATAACACCTCTATAGAGAAAGGTGGTGGCAGGGCCACACCAGAAAATTACTTCACCCTGAAGTCTGGACAGTATTGCTGGGATTCAGATTACACCATTTATTTAATACAGATGCTAAAGACAGCTAAAATAAAGTTTAAATCCAGTTTTTTTTTGTTGTAATAGAGCAAGTCAAAGTAAATTTGTAACTTCTTTAATTTTACCCATTGCCAGTTTCAAACCATGAGTCAAAACACAGCACTGACGTGGTGAGCATGTGACTGGTTTATTCTGAGGGGGGCTGTTCCTCTTTTAGACTTCCTATGTGTTCAGAGGGGCTTTCAGGCCCTGATCCATTTAAGTCAACAAAGCTCACAAACCCCTCCCATCTCACTATGCACAGGTGACTTTTCCTAATCCTAAAGATGAGACTTGTGACTGTCTTCAGTTCATTTTTGACAACCTAAAGGGAGGAAAATAACTGGAAATGTCATGTATTTTATAATAATATTATAGATTTTTTTCATATTTATGTAGGTTTTGGGTACAGGTTTTTGCTCATCTTTTTTGGATAGATTTGATAGCCAAGATTCTTAATTCCTACCTTACTTAAAATTGCATGTTTTGTGATATTTCCATTTGCATATAGGGATTTTTTTGTTGCTGCCAACCTTTAAAAAAAACAACACATTTTTAAGCTATTTTGAAATTTTGAAGAGATGTCTGCATTTTTATAGCCAAATCTTACTGTGTTTGAGACTGCATGCATTTTTGGATAGTAATTTTGATGTGATATCTTATTAAAATGTAGACATAGTACAAGGCTTAAGTCAAATCTTACCTTTAAAATGGCGAGAGCAGCAGAGGACCCACACCTTGGCTCAGGCCCAGGAGAAGATGAGGAGTTGTCCCTAAAAGGAGACTCAGATTCAGACAGTATTCTCTCAGATGACTCGGTGATGCCTGATCGGCCCATGGTGCAGAGGGCCAGTGAGGGTCCAGTGTCACGGCTGTACCAGGCCTGTGTCAGGAATGAGCCCATGACCCTGAGGAGGATCCTGGAGAGAGGGGTGACCCGGGACGAGGTGATGGAGGTTCGACGTCAATGGATGGGTGAGGAAGTATTGTAGACCTGTCTGTGAAACAAAAGGTGCACTATGTAATTTTTCTGGTGAAGCATCCACCACCTGCTCATCTCTATGATGAAGTTACAGGGATACAATGATTAATCTTTTTCAGTCTAATGACATCAGTGTATATGTTCAACCAGTATATGAGTTGAACCGATATTTGGATGCCGATATCCGATCCAGCTAATTTTTAAGATACCAGTATCGGATCGGTGCGCCCCTAATGTTAAAGCTTTACTTGGAATGTTCCACCATATGACACAAAATTTAATGTGTAGCATCTGATCAATTACAAGCATTTTATTAATTTGAAAAACATGCATTCCTACTGAGAGGGAGTTATATTGTCCATAGATCTGATTTGTAACTTACCCTAGTAGTCACCTATATGACAATATATGATGTTTTATCTGTAATAACTTAATAATGCCAGAAATGTGATTGTAAGTTAATCCTGTTATTTCTCCATCCTTCACAGAGCGGTCTGATGGTGGCATGTTGTAAAGGCTACATAGACATTGTTCATGGACTTCACGGCTGTCCCTTTTTAGATGTGAACCTCCAGGACAAAGAAGGAAACACAGCGCTAATGATTGCGTCTCAGGCAGGTGAGTCATTATTCTGTCCATACTCTAGAGTTTGTATCTTAATACATTACATACTAATAAAAAATACATACATTCTACATACATAATGCATTCTTAATACATTATTTCACTAATCGTGTCTATTATTTTATTTCACTACTCTTTTATTATTATTATTATTATTATTAATAATAATAATGCATTACTGTTCTATAGCACTTTTGTAGACACCAGTTTTAGATGTTACATTATAGCCACAGCTGCCCTGGGGCAAACTGACAGAAGTGAGGCTGCCAATCTGTGCCATATGGGTGAAGGGTCTTGCCTAAGGTCACGACAACTGTTTTTGTAACTAGCACCCCACTGTGGCACCTGGAGTTCCCATTTCCCACCCAAGTATTATTTATTTATTATTAAATTATAACTAATTATTTATTATTTTATCTCCCCATACCCAGGTCATACAAATACAGTGATGTACCTCCTGAATTATTATTCAGGACTGGACATTGAGATTAAAGACATCCGCGGGTTCACGGCTCTTATCAAAGCCACAATCACCGGGAGGGACGATATTGTAGCAGCACTGGTCATGGCAGGTGAGTCATGTTTAAATGAGCTGAATGTTTATAAAATGGAAAATAATTATTAGATACACTTCCCAATTCCAATGGGTCTAAATGCACATATACAACTTAATAAACCAATCACAGGTCACCTCTACACAGATGTAATCTATAAATTGGTCTGGTGGTGTCTCCTGCTTGTCTTAATGCACACAGGTTTAATGATATACTGTGGAATATTATAGGTGAGGCAATGGTGATATCAATTGAAACAACCCTACGCGTGAAAAATTACATAGTACACCTTTAAAGAGTATTTCAGAAGCTATGGATAAGGCTTTATTTCTCAGTTACTTTCTCTTAATAACTTCTCTTTATAACTGTATTTTCTGTCACCTACTCTAGAAGGTCAAAGACAATACAGACCTATCTTCTCTTCCCCTGAAATGAACCTAAGAAATAAATGTACTGAAACAACATTACTAACGTAAATGCCAAAAGAAGTAGTGATAAAAATGGCTTTAATTGCACATAGCTGCATTTTGTTTGTTATGAAATGCTTTGATTTGAATTTAATTTCAAAGTCACTGTCCCAGAAAATTCCTGTAGTCTACTCCTCTTCTACACTAAACTCTGAGAGCTGGTTTGGTTCAGTTCTGGTATAGTCCTGGTCTGAACTTCTCTATTTGATGGTATGTGAATTCCTAGTCTAGTCTACAGTACCAACTTGATCTTTTTTGCACTTTGTGTTAACCATTAGTCCATGTTTACAATTACTGTAGCAATAGTTACATTTTAGGCTGCCTGGGATTCGGAACACACAGTTCTTCAATACTTCACAAAGATGTGAGTTCAGATGGGCATGACTGACAGTTTAAACAATCAGCGAAATGTATGGTCCGACCATATCAAAACAAATGGCTGCTTATGAGTAAAAAAGTAAGAAAAAAAATAGGCCTGGTTAAGACTTGGTGATGGTGATTTGGTAATGTTGTGACTATGAAAAGTAGTTCTGCAGTATGATATATGATGATTTTTTTCTTCACCTGACATATGTTCTAACTTTAGCTAATGAGTAAATACTTATACAATTTTAGTCCTGCTAGTTCTTTTATTTGCATCTCTCTCTCTCCTCTCCCTCCCCCTATGTCCTCTCCTCTTTCTCTCTCTCCCTTTCTCTCTTTCCTACAGTGCACATTATCTCACCGACCTACTATAATCTGAGATTTACTTGACTTGGGAGCTGGTTGTAGATTAGAGGGTTGCTGGGCTATTTAAGTCTACAAGAAGGCTAAAAACACTAACTATGCACCTTGTTAGGCCCGAGCCCCAACAGGGCGTAGGGCCTATTGCTTCCGCTACGCGGAGCGAATGGGGAGCGACGTGCGCATGGCCGAATGCGACAGGACGACATGCAATATTGTCCTCGGTCGCCCCCGGCACGAACAGCAGTATCCCAGTAACCCACGCCCAAGGCCTGAGCCATATTTACTACTGCTAAAATGAATGGAAGTCAATGGGAGGCCATGGATGACCTCGACGAGATGGTGAATGACGAGCGCGTCAGTGCCTGTCACTCACCAATGACCCCACCGTGACGTGGGGAAGGTCGAGAGCTTTCAAAAAATGTATAATATGTTGTTCTTATGTTTTCGGATATATTGTTTTTGCTCGAATTATTATTATTATTTTTTTTTTTATTATTATTATTTCTGCTCTTTGAGCTCTGATTTGACCCCCTAAAACATGTTCAAAAACTCACCAAACTTGGCACAATATTCAGAAGTGGCGAAAAATTCGATAAAATATTCGTTTCGTGCACGGGCATTAAAAAATGGTGACACAGCGCCACCTGGAAAAGTCAAAAAATTTGGCGCCTATGGGAGACGTCCCGGTCAACTTTGTCGTAGAGCTACGAAATTCGGTACACACATTCGTCATGTGAAGACAAACAAAAAATATGATTATGGCCACACCCCCTGACAAAACAGAAGGCGGCCATCTTGGATTGAAATTTGAGGCCGCATTTTTCGTTGATGTTGCATTTGAACGCACTCCTCTGAAGGTGCTTCACCCAAAGGCCTAGAAAATCACCGTACATCATCTAGAGAAGGGGGCATCTAAAGTTAGCTGATTTATTTTGATAACTGTCATGGTTTACGTGCGGCGAGGCCGCAAATTTTTATCAAAATTTTGCCTAATTTCAAGGTGACATTATTTGCTCCTGTTCGCACAGACTTAGTCCGATCGAGCTGAAATTTGAATCACTGATTGAAACGTCAACATTATCAGATCTGTACCAAATTTGGGAATTACATTCTATGCATGATTACGAGCAAAAAAGGATATTATGGACATGGGGAATTTTTCATGGTTGGCCAGCAGGGGTGCAAAGACTCCCAACAAAAATATTGAAAATAATATTACATGCACATGCTTAGTCCGATTGTGCTGAAATTTGAATCACTAATGCATGACCTCAGTCTGAATATAATACACTATAAAACATATGAAACCTGAACACTATAGCGCCCCCTACCATAGACATGAAACGTCAACATTGTTGGATTTGCACCAAATTTGGGAATTCATCTGTATTAATGACTAGAAACAAAAACATATATTACTGACATGGGCATTTTTCATGGTTGGCCAGCAGGGGGCGCAAACAACATTTAAAGGTGTACAATGTCATTTCACCGTTTGCAAGCATAGAATTTGCGGACACGGTGTTTAGGGTATGGTGTTGGCGGAGCGCACCATTTGTGGGTGCGGCGTTTGCGGGCGCGGCGTTCACGGGCGCGGCGGGCGAGGACCTTTCGACGCCGCTTGCTTATTATTGTACTCTATTTAGTGTCTTAATACGTACAAAGTTCTAGTTTTAATACCTATTTTAATTATTTTAATGCTTGTGTGTCTTGCATATTACTGATACAGAGCTTTGGTTTTGCAACACAAATATGTCCCCCCATTGTGAGACATATAACAGTTAATATCTACCAAATAAAAAAGATATTAATTAACAGTATGCATCCATGGTGGTATTAAATTTCAGGTGATAACTGCCTTTTCATGTTTTAGATGTAGTGTAAGTTATTGAATATTCTGATTCATTTTCATTTAAATGGGTTGCAGTGGTCCAAAGCTATTCCTCACTTACCTTAAGCATTCTGAGGATCCTAATTATTCATCGCAATGTGTTTGTAAGCACTATTCACAAGTTTCATGAGGTCCAGAGTTGACTTTTGCCTTCACGCTAATGCTAACAGTAACTAGCATGCAAATCACGCACTTCCTGATTATCGGAATATCGCTTGCTTTGTAGTAGACATTGCGCAGCTGACTAATTTTGACGTCAAGAGCTGCTTATACAATACTATACAATACAATACTGGGCAAGACAAATTTTGCTCAAATACAGCATACAAAAAATCATTTGCATACCCTTTAATTAATAACTAACTCTTATTGTTTTGTTTTTCCAGGCGCTGATCTTCACGCCACAGACACGACCAAAGGAAAATGTGCTCAGGAGTGGGCCCTCAAAACCGGACGCTACGAGACACTGTATCGTTTCAGGCGACTCACCCTACAACCAAAAGCTGAACAGTTCTGTCCAAGCTTTGTCCCGGAGTGGCCTGATCTAAAGGAGAAAGTAGCTAAAGCAATGGCTGAAAAGAGCACAACGCAAAAACTCACCCAAAGTTTAAAGAATACATTTGGATTTCGGTTACCTCGTGACCCAGAAGACAATGGCGTAATGGACCATATGGTTAGAATCACAACAAGCATTCACAGTCCACTGGTTTCAACTGGATGTCGACCACTTTGTCCAACCAGCCCTCCTCAAATAGGGAAAAAGCGACATGCAGTGCCAGATCTGGTGAAAAAACATCCAGAAAAAGACTTAGAAACTGCAACTGTATGCCATACAAATGGTTCAGTATCACACATGGTACCTTCAATTCAATCTGCAGAGTCTATAGCTACTAAATGTTGTGCAAATGGGGACAGGAGAGGTAGTATGCTGTCTATGGCCTCTGATAAGGTCACTTCTACTTTCATCCCTCGCAGTATGGCTAGGAGAAATAGTGTTTTTCCATCTGGTTGTATTCCGAATATTAGTGTAAGCAGGCCTGCAGATAACACACCTAAAAAGAAGAAGAAAAAGAAAAAAGATAAGAGCTATTTAGAGCCACCGAAGTGGAAGTATAAAGAACAGAGAGAGGAGAAGAAAAAGGAGGAGAAGAAAAAGAAGAGAGAGGAGGAGGAAAAGAACAAAAAGGAGAAGTCCAAACAGAAGGAGAGTAAAAAGACCAAGAAATAAGGGGCGACATTTGCATTAGGCTTGTCACAATAACAACTTTTGAAGAGCGATATATTCAAACTAAATCAAACCAATGACACAATTCTTTAAAAAAAAAGTTATTTAAAAAAAGCAGAAGGAAAAAGTTAACTTCATTTGTATCTATAAGGAGTTGTAGAACGTATTTATTCAACCCTTTACAGCTCAAATCTTATAATATCATTTGTACTGTCAGTTATTGAAAGCTAAGTAATTAGCTTGATAGGCCTACTTGCAATACTGTAACTTCTCAATGTACTGCTGCCCTAGATTATAATTAGTGATTTGTCTGGAATGCTGCACAGTATGGAATTAGACTTGCGTACTTCCAAGGAGACAGACACCCAAAATTAAATTAATGTTAGGATAGATAAAGGCCTTATTGTGAAGTAAAGCAATAACATAACCATGGAAACAAGCAGATAGCAGACCATCCAACAGTAAAGTTACATGGTGCACCTTTATTAAGCTTTAATAGACAACACAGTATGTGGGTGAAGAGTGTGGAGGGACATTCTGAATTGGGACATTGATCTAGAATTGATCGACACCATGCAGTCAAATAATAATAATGAATTTGAATCTATAAAGCGTTTTTTTTCTCATTCATTTAATCTACAGCCTAGTAGGGTAGGCCTATGTTGTGATTAAACAACAAACATTACAAAAATATAAAAAAAAAAATACAGCCCTATATCAGAGTGGATTTTTTTTTAAACTAGTTGAGAACAAAATATCAGCATGAATATGAATATATTTTTAAAGATTTGTTCCATCTTAAAAATAAGGATATGATACAGAATATTAGTCACACATATTCAGCACGTGTTCTATTTATGACTAAACTTTGAAGGGCAGTGTTGGCCCTCATGACCTTGGTAACAGAGACAATTTATTATTGTTAATGTTCACTAAAGAAATGTACACTATCTACCTCACTATGTGTAGCCATAAATAGATGAATGAAGTAAACAGACAAATAGTTCTAAGTTTATCTACAGTACATGTTTGAGATTGCCTATATGAATGTGTGTACATAATAGGCCTGTTGCCATGATTCCAGTGTGATATCTACCTGTAAATAACTTGTAAATAAAGCTGAATTAGATCATTCATTATTTGATTATAAAATTATTATAGTTGTAAATCAGTAGGTTACATAATATTTGTCTTATTGCCTCTCCCCATGCTAGCTAACTTTTTGAAGTCCATGCAAACTTACCACGTGTTAACTTCACACATTCACATAATTAAAGAATATCTGAACGACTATAACATATGTTTTAGTTTAATTGTTTTAACTAGGGGTGTCAAATTATCGCGTTAATTGCGATTAATTAATTACAGTCATATTTAGCGCGTTATGTTTTTTAATCGCGTTAATCTCATTTTTAATCTCTAACTTTAGTGTTTTTGTATGCGAGTTGCTTTATTATAAAACCTGTTTTTATGTGTTGTTGGGACAACAACACACACACAAAAAACACATTTATACATTTTTTTTATTTCGGTAATTCCACTCATTGCCGGAAACCCACACAAAACGGGCACAGTAACAGCGAAGTAAACGTCATGTTAACGTTGGCGGCGTCAGTCGCACAGTGGACGAGGTCGTAGAGCCAGTAGAACAGAGTCAGCAGCGCACAGGTAAAAACACATTCGTGTCTTGGAAAATTATTCTCCCGACGTGAAATATAAAAGAAAATAACTAATATAATATCGCCTACAACTTAAACGTCACTGGTGAAAACAACCTGCATGATGACTCATGATGTCTGCACTACTGTCCTATAGTGACCTGCCACATGAGGGGACACGCACACAAACACACACAAACACAAACATACACCTTCATCATCGTCATTAACCTGAGAACGCGCGGACCACGTTTCCTTCCGTAGTTACTGCGCGGACACCGACGTGCCCCCGTGCGCCGCCCGTGGATCGTGTTTTGTCGAGTAAGCTGCGTAAACCGCGCTTCCTCCTGTGCGCCTCTAAACCAGAACTAACACCAAGACTAAAACCAGGACTAATCCAGTCCAGGACTAAGCCAGGTCTAAACCAGAACTAAACCGGGACTAAACCAGAACTAAAACCAGGTCTAAACCAGAACTAAACCAGAACTAAAACCAGAACTAAAACCAGAACTAAAACCAGGACTAAACCAGGACTAAACCAGGACTAAACCAGAACTAAAACCAGAACTAAAACCAGAACTAAAACCAGGACTAAACCAGGACTAAACCAGAACTTAAACCAGAACTAAAACCAGGTCTAAACCAGGACTAAACCAGGACCAAACCAGAACTAACACCAGGACTAAAACCAGGATTAATCCATTCCAGGACTAAACTAGGACTAAAGTAGGACTAAAGCAGGTCTAAACCAGGACTAAAACAAGGACTAAAACCAGTGATCTCATATATAAAGCATTTATCTATCAATAATATTTTTAATATGGTTAAGGAAAGACTGGACTTTTTATTGTCTTTAAGTAGACAAAAGTTATTATGTTCAGATTTCCTCGTCTTTGCTACTTTACAGCAAACAGTTTCTTATTCATGGAGACTTGGGCTCAACAGCCAAATTGGGGAGATTTGTTAAACAATAAATGACTTTATAAAGTAACTTTTTTTTGTTCTATATCAGTCTTTTGATCTGCCACAATAATGTAATAATGAATTTAAATGAAAATACCTCAAATTGAAGGCTTTTCTCAGCAATTTTTAGGTGAGATTAAAATTAGATTAATTAGATTAATTAATTACAGATCATAATTAATTAATCTCTCATTTTTTTTTAATCGCATGACAGCACTAGTTTTAACACAATTCTATATCTCAAGTCTGCTTAAGAGCAGTGATTTGCTGCTTCCTAGTGGCTGGAGCTGGCGTGTCTTCTCATTTTCTGACAGTCGCTTCTGTGTTTGTCATTACATCAATGGCCACCTCTCACCCGAGCTAACTTCACCTTTATTTATGCGATGCTCCGGGTCCTCCTCGACCATGGCTAACCTCGGGATTTATGTGGCGTTGTTGGTTTTGCAGGCAGTCCAGTTTAAAGCCTGCCACGGTGAGTAATTTGTTTATTTTTCTTCACCACGGCGCTGTCATCATCGAGAGTCTGACTGTTAGCATGTTAGCTTAGCATGTTAGCTTAGCATTTAGCCACATATAAATTGATCGCTCCATATAAAACGAGGTCGCTTCTGACATTTGTTTGCCAGACTTAAATATCGATTACAGTTGCTTATTATAAACGACAGGCAGCAGGAATAGCGTTTTTAAGGGTGATACTAGAGCTCATAAAATGTTGCCTACAGTGTTAGCATAAAATAATTACACATTTCTCACATGATTGCATAACTAGGAAGCAACTTTATAACCATTAACTATCTCCCCTTCTTTTATCATTTATAACTGAACCTGTTACAGCATATCTAAAACTGTATTCTTCCATAACTAGTGTTAAATATTCATTCATTCATATATATAAAATCCAAAATGTAAATTAATGATTGATGAAATAACAAAATCAAATTCCCTACTGTGCTGTGCTGTTTATTAACTTTTCGAGGATAATTAATGAGACATGTTTACTGTATGAAAAAAAGATTGTTATAAAAAGCAAACAAAATCCCTACTTATCTGTAATTTTATATTCCTGTCAGATAATCATAATCAAATCAGTTTACACCTTGAGTCTAAATTATTCAGAGTACTATTTCACCAAATTTCTAATTCCAAGGTTAACATGTGTTTTTTCAAGTTGTTTTTTGTTGCAGCGTATTTCAAAACTGCCCATTCTTTGGTTGTGTAATAATACAATACTGCACCTGTTAGATTCTGCAGTGAATGATCTGGTTTGGGGAATATTTACTACATTAAACAGCAACATTCTTATTTTCCCAAGGTCAGGTCTTGTTTTATGTTTGCGGCTGCATTGTTTCATCTCACTGAATAACAGCTTGTATGAGGTAGGTGTTGCTTTGAATGAGTCAGAGCCACAAAAATGTTGCTGGAAAACCTTGAAGGGATTTTTCACAATTTGCCAAATCACATATTTCCCTCAGTTCAAGTAGAGATTGTAATGAGTTTTAAGATTCTTATTGTCTTTTGAGCTGCAGACGGTTATTTAATCACTTGGTAATTTTCTGGTGAAGCTTCAGCCACCATACACCACCCACTTTAACGCTTCCTCTGTGTTTTGGCCAATCTTTCTTCTGTCCCATTGTTCTTTGAGTCATAACCGACTTATGTTCAAAAACCACACACCAAAACAATAGAAAGAGACATTGTGCTTATTGCGTTCTGATTGAAAAACAAAACAAACATTAATATTATTATCTGAAATAATACAAATGAAAATTAGCTGCATAAATTATCAAATGCGCAGTAAGCAAATTAGTTTGGCTTCAGAAACATCACATGATAACACTGACTCACTAGAGCTGTAGGCTTTAGTCGTTTATAGGTGTCTTAATTCTATCTTTTTAGGATTATAAGGATTTGTTAGGATCAAAAAAGAGCAAAAAGGAGATGGCACAGAGTGAGTTTTAAGCAGAAGTCTTAAATGACTGATCTGGGGACTTTTCCCCATATTTACTATTTATAGTATACACATTGCACCATTTATACAATTTGTACTTTTTTGTATGCATAGGTCTATTGTGCATTTTTTGGCAGATAAATTATCATCGAAATACTTAAAGCATTGAATAGGCGATTACCATGCCATCCTTTCATTAAAGGTGCAGGTATGCAAGCTTTTGGAGGTGGTATGCCGCCTGCATGATTCTATGGGAATGGAAAGGTAAAAAAAAAACAACTTACTTTAGAACATTGTCTATGGAGAAAGATGCGTTTTATGCTATTCTATGTAATAGTATCACCAACAGAACAACATTTCCATAGAAGCAGGAGGAGGTTCTTCAGGCAAAGTAAGAGTCAGGTTTTTTCTAAGTGTTTCAATGGAGTAAACAC